GAAAGGCCAAACCAGAAATCAGCAAGGCAATTTTGAGAAATTTAGAAGTATCAAGCAGCCCCATGTCTATTGTCTAAGATTTAGATGTAGCGCTTGATTCCCTTCTCACAGTATCATGTGCAAGTTGAAATTGTGGGGTGTTGTTTTGTCAAAGTCGTATTTATACCATGTGAATTAGATGATTAAATTGTGAAATTTGACGGCGGAGTCGTTTGTTTTCGTTCAGGGGAGTCGCCAAGTAGCAGTGGTTTGTAAGTCGATATAAATCGTGAATCGAGCTTATCGCGCATTTGGACTTGATAGCGTGTGTGTTTTCCCAATCTGATTAAAATACAGATCTATATTTCGTTTCGTTTTTTTATACTTTCGATCTGACCAGTCGTACTGTGAGATCGCGTCAGGAGTTATATGAGCGGCTTTTGAACCTATGACCTCAGGCATTGATTAATCAATCAGCGTTGACGTTTCTAGGGATTTACCCACAGTTCCGTGCAGAGCACACCAAGAACTCACCGTAACAGACCGTTTCATTGGCTAATTCCACAAATCAACTAGAACGCCTGTTATGTAACAACCCTTCAAGATCCTAGTGTTATAAAACAAGTAAAACGAAATTTAGAATTATAAAAATAACGGAATAGGGTCTGTGTTTTAACCGGATTGGTGTTTTCCCAACCGAAGGCACCGGGGCATATTCTAACAGGAGATATCTATACCTACCACGGTAGTATTCCATTGCATGAAGTCACCCTCTCCCTACCCCCAACATCACAACTCGCCTTTCACAAACACACCCAACTCCCTTCCCGCCACCCCGGTTGTACGTGACAAGGAGTAGGGTCGCCTGTCCAACCTCGTGGGTTTTCTCCGGGTCCTCCGGTTCCCTCCCACTGCTAAAGACCCCTATGCGCAAGCGAATTATTGAAATAAAATTGAACCATGTTAGTCCCGAAATGACCTAGTTTGTGTCGAGTGGACGTTAAACCCCATTTCTCTCTCTCTCTCTCTCTCTCTCTCTCTCTCTCTCCCTTCCTTCCCGCCCTTTGACTCCCCATCAGTAATTTGATCGGGCGATGTTGAAATAAGTGATCGTTATACTTCGACCAGTTTCGAAATCTATATGATAACCTATGACCTTTAATCGGTGATCAGCGATGTTGCAATAATCCCTGAACACGAATTCTGCATAATAATATTCAACTTTCCCAAGTAGCCATTTGGTTAATCGCATATCAAAGATCAAACGAAATCCAATTTCATATTGTCTTCTTTTGAGACACTCGACTAAGATCTGTTTAAATATTGTTTTGAAATTTGCATGGATAACGAATTGAAACAATCTGATTAAAACACAGATCCAATTTCGTTTCGTTTTTATAGTTCAAAATTTCGATTTTACTTGTCTTTACTCATGTAGTGTAGGCCATCGAAAGTATAAAAAACGAAACGAAATATAGATCTATATTTTAATTAGATTGGAATTGAAATTAAATGAAATTGGATTTAAAGTCCCTCTTTCCTGCGCCGCCATGGCCCAATAAGGGAATTTTGCCCGGACAGCGCCGCTCCGGCCTGCTCCTATATTGAATTCCAACTGTCAAGGATTCTCTTACGTTCAAACCAATGTGTACATACGACCTCGGCTTTTTGTCCCACCCAAACGACTAGATACTCTTTTGTATTTCCATGGATCGCTGAAAAGTTTGAGAAATCACACGTAAATGACGTCATAAGAAGTGTACACGCGTAAATGAAAAACAAGCCTAAGACTGCCAAAGATTAAAGGTGAAGCCCCAGCCTTATAACGACTACACCCTACTTCGAATGGAGGTGCCCACTTACTGTAATATTTGTTGTTTAACTACATCCCTTATTTCGAGCGGAAGTGTTCTCTTATGCAATGATCAGCTTTCGAGCACAAGTGCTCGCTTTATGCAATTCCCTGTTTTCGAGCGGAGGTGCCAACCTAGTGCTACGCCCCTGTATTCGAGTGAAATTTTGATGGAACCTACAAATGGATATTCGTTGTCAGTGTAATGTACTGAACATCCTACCGTTCCGACTGGGCTAATGAAGACGAGCATACGCCATACAGTGTGCTTATAATATGAGGGAAATTTGCCCGGGCGCAGCGGCACTATGGCCTACTCTTATATTAAATTCCAACTGCCAAGGGATCTTTTACGTGCACGCCAATCTGTACACGGGACCTCGGCTTTTCGTAACCATCCGAACGACTAAACAGTTGTCCTTGTCAGCCCCTCCTTCCTGCACCACTGTCAAGGGGAAACCACGTCGGCAATGTATTAAACCATTAACACTTGGTTGTTTTAACTAAAATATTAACTTTGTTGTTTATACAAAAGATCAAGAGAGAGAGAGAGAGAGAAATGGGGGTTAACGTCCACTCGACACAAACTAGGTCATTTCGGGACTAACATATGGTAATTTTATTTCAATAATTCGCTTGCGCGAAGGGGTCTTTAGAAGTGGGAGGAAACCGGAGGACCCGGAGAAAACCCACGAGGTTGGACAGGCGACCCTACTCCTTGTCACGTACAACCGGGGATTCGAAACCACACAAAAGATCAATACAATGCAATTTGATCAAATACAGATCTATATTTCGTTTCGTATCTTATACTTTCGATGACCTACACTACATGAAGATCTGACCAGTTGTACTACAAGGTCGTGTCAGGGGTCGTACGAGCGGCTTTTGACGCTATGAAGTCAGACATCGATTAATCAATCAGCGTTGACGTTTAAAGTGGTTTACCCACAGTTCCGTGCATGGCACGCCAAGAAGTCGCCGTAACAGACCGTTTCATTGGTTTATCCCTCACTTCAACCAAAACGCCGGTAATATAACAACTCTTCCAGATCCTAGTAAGACAAGTAAAACGAAATTTTTGAACTATAAAAAACGAAACGAAATAGGATCTGTGTTTTAATCAGACTGAATACAAAGAAAATATGGAGATAGAAAAAGCAGGTGATACGTAAATGTAGTGATCCGAATAACATAATCTCAATTGCTCCATTTCCATGTTGGTTTTCTTGATACACAATAACCGTGGTCTGTCTGATCCATACAAATTATAGAAGAGTTATGTCCCTTCCGTAGGGCTATCGGGTGAGAGCGATGTAAGTCCGATTTTGTCATAAATGAAATGAAATGAAATGGGGTTTAACGTCCTACTGTTCTGCTCCTAAACTGGGCTAATGAAAACGGGCATACGCCATATAGTGTGCTATGAGGGAAATTTTGCCCGGGCAGCGGCGCTACGGCCTACTCTTATATCAAATTCCAGCTGGCAAGGGATCTTTTACGTGCACGCCAATATGTACACGGTTTTTCGTCCCATCCGAACGGCTAAACAGCTGTTCTTGTCAGGCCCTCCTGATTTTGTCATAAACAAAAACATCTAATTCAACCGAAAGTGACATATTTGGCATCAGGAATGTTGAAATTTGAAATAAGGAAAAATGGTAATAATAAATGTGACATAAAATGAAATATGGATGGATCGGGGTAAAACGTGATACCTAATTAGGTGCTCTTGTTCTTTTAAAAGAATTTGACTGGCCAAGTGTTTAATTGAAACCCAGGAACTCGGCTAAATCTATTTGTTAAGGCGAGTTCAATTTTTGTCAAAGTTGCTGAGGTGTAAATAAGGTTAGGGCACGTGATTGTTGGTGAGATTGTAGGTTAGGGTTAGGGTAAGCATTTGGGCTAGGTCCAGGGTTAGGGTTAGGGTTGGGATTAGCGCTTACCCTGTTTCCATCTCGTGATCTTTGACCAAACTTGAAGCCGGCCTTATCAATAAAAAATTAGATCTGTATGATTATCACGGTAAGAGATTGTAGGTTAGGGTTAGGGTTGGGATTAGCGATAGCCATGTTTACATCTCGTCACCTATGACGAAAACTTCAGTTGGCCTTATCATTTAGCACTAACCGCCGCAGATAGAAAATGATAAATTAAGTGTTGAATCACGAACGGAGATCCATCCACAGGTTATTAGCGCGACCTTGACAAAAATTGAGCTGGTCTTAACAAATAGATTAACCATCTGCGGCGTTGTTCAACAAACCCATCCCGTGCTGCGGGTTATTCATTTGGACGCTCGTCTTCTTCATCCGCCCATTCAGTGCATAAAAGTAGGACGTTAAACCCAATTTAATTTCATTTGGAAGCAAGTGTTGAAATTTCCAGTGGTCCCTTACACCTGTATTGTTTAATCGATATAGACCTACATGGATGTATAATCTTACAGATTTGGTATTTATGAACGACATAATCTCTCATTCAATTCTCTTATTTCACGACATTGCTTTCAACACACTTTGTTTTTTCCTGTTGGTTCACACCAACGTCATCACCACGAGGTGATTGCTCAAATCGGACGTAATACGCCACCATAACAAATCAATCATTAAATACAGATCTATTCGTTTCGTGTTTTAATACTCTCGTTGGCGGTCTGGTTCGTTCTAAATATTAAGGCCATCTGCAGATTTAGTCAAGTTTGACGAGAGGTCTGGGGGATTAACCGAGAATTTTATAAAATCAGTATATATTATTTCTACTCATTGAGCGAGGCCGACACGGCGGCAATGGCTACGCACGTTTGTTTGTTTGACTTCATATCGATAAATGTCTAGGAGAATAAAAATGCTCTGCGCTAGCAAGGGAGGGTCCAGACTCCCCAGACCCCCATCAGAACACGCGCCTGATACGATAACTACCCAATCCTTTTAAAGGCATTATTTGTACACACAGTTTCAGTATTATAAATACAGCTTGTATATGTCTCGAACAAGCACTCATATCGGCGTCGCCTTAACGCATGGAGGAGTCCGGGGTCCCACAAGCATATGGTCCCTATGCTAATCTATATATTATATATATGTTGTGACTTGCTGTTCAAACACTGATTTTATTGGAAGTATATATACCAATACAATAAAAAATATATGTTTAATTTCATCGACCATTTACATTTTTATTCATTTAGGTAAGGGCCCAAGTGCACCGCTTTGCTCGGGGCCTATATTGCTGTAAAGGCGGCCCTGACTCACACATTTTCCAACTTTAAAATGCAGTATGCTCTCTTCGTTGTGCAATCTGATTAAAACGCAGATCCTATTTCGTTTCGTTTCTTATAGTTCAAAATTTCGTTTTACTTGTCTTCACAATACTAGGATCTGGAAGAGTTGTTATATTATAACATGCGTTCTGGTTGAAGTGAGGGATCAGCCAATGAAATGGTCTGTTACGGCGAGTTCTTGGCGTGCGATGCACTGAACTGCGGGTAAACCACTCGAAACGTCAACGCTGATTGATCAATCAATGTCTGACGTCATAGGATCAAAAGCCGCTGGTGCGACCCCTGACGCGACCTTCCACTAGAACCGGTCAGATCTTCATGTAGTGTAGGCAATCGAAAGTATAAAAAAACGAAAAGAAATATAGATCTGTATTTTATTCAGATTGTTCGTTGTGCTGAAAGTGGTTTAAATGCTGGCTCATCTACAGAGTCGACATGGACAAAACCACAACCGTCTGAATTTGGTGTGGACAAATCATCTCTGACGCCAGATTCTATATCGGAGTCAAATTTATCTTCTTGTAGACTGTGTAACCAATTAAATACTTTTAAATTTCGATGGGAACGATTTAACTGTTGACCGCGATCCCATATTTGGACATCTTGTTTTCGGATTTCATGATAACGCGGTCTGCCCATGCGCATTCGAATATCTTGTTGGATGACGCTACTCAATTCAGGAGATATTCGAATGTTTTGGGGATGGTTGATGATTGTACGCTTGTTAGTGAGGGTGGTGTTCGGTCGAGTTCCTGTCACGCGACTGACTCTTTCCAGAGCGATGTTCGTTGATGCAATTCGTTTTTTGACTTTATCAGACACGCCCCCTTTCAGATCGACGTCCATTATCTGTTCATCAACTTGCCACATTCTAACTTTCTCCTTAAACGGCGGAGTGACCGTTCTTATGGTCGGTGTGTTGAAGGTTGGAATATCTCTACCAGCAGACGTAACGGATTGTTTCGAGTGATTGGAGGCGTTCAGGGACCTATTACTGCCTGGTGAACTTTTCTTCGCCAGCAAAATGTTATTTTGACGTGCGGCTTGTTTCTGGAGTTCCTTAAAGTCAGATTTCTTGCCATAAGTGGGCACAACATCAAAGTGAGAAAACCTTCTGATCTCAGCTTGGCTAATTCTATTGATATTGGTACTGCTATCGCTTTTCTTTAATCCTGGGGCCATATTGAGTCCGGCCTCCAACCCACATCGAAACAAAAGCTTCTTTTCATCTTCGTCCATCATATCAAAAGCGATATTGTGTCCGTCTCCTAGCCCCGGTGCCGCAGCATGAGAGGTTTGCTGCCTTAGCATTTTATCGAACATGCCTTGTCTTCGATTGGCAAGTGCAATCCACTTACTTCCCGAGGAGTTGCAAGTTACGGGTCGACTTCCTTTGCTCTTTCTTTTTCGCCGCTTCCTTTCATTAGAGTGGTCATTTTTACCGTAAGTCGAACAACTTAGGAGAGACAACTGAGTAACGATTGATTCACAACTAGGAATTCTTTTGACACGCGGCTCTTTGCCCAATTTAGCACTATATAGAGGTTCTTTTTCTGAGCGAGCATGTGGTTCGATTGGGGTGACAGTATAGTCTGGCATCCAGCCCTGGAGGATATGCGAGAGCCGATCTCCCTCAGTGAAAAATACCTCCTCATCCTCAGCTTCGAATGTCTTGGAGATTTCAGATTCACTTTCGGAGTCTGCTAGGTCATCTGTTCCGTCTGTTTCTCCATCAGAAGTATCTTGCCACTGAACTTGGTAACGGTCGTCCTCACCGGTGTCGTTGTTTGCTTCATTCATAGTTAATCTGAAATACACAATTTAAAAACAATATGAACGTTGTGGCTTTTTTCAAATTTCTGATCGAAGTACCAGTTTTAAAGGGGGGGGGGGGAAGGCTGGATATTGTTACCTTTTTTGTGCCCAGGTGATGGGTTTTGGTTTTGTAATGTGCCAAGTATCGCGTAATTGTGGATTACTACTTTGTAGTGTTCAATTTGGGTGTTTTGGCGCGGTGTTGCTATTCTAAACCAAAAGGTAATGTGTTTACTCCAGTACTATGTCATTTCGAGACTAACATATGGTTCAATTTTATTTCAATAATTGGCTTGAGCGTAGGGGTCTTTAGTAGTAGGGGGGAACCGGAGGACCCACAGAAAACCCACGAGGCTACCTAATCACCCTTATTCTATACCACACACATCATCAGATGATTCAACAAGTGGTGTCATCACACCATTCAATATATAACTGGGGGCGTGTCATCACATCCTTCAATATACCACTGGTATCATCAGACTATTCAATATGATACTGGTAGCAATATACCATTCAATATACCACTGGTATCATCACAACATTCAATATACCACTAATATCACCACACCATTCAATATACCACCGATATCATCACAGCATTCAATATACCACTGGTATCATCACATTCAATATACCAACGATATCATCACATCATTCAATATACCACTGGTATCATCACAACATTCAATATACCAACGATATCATCACATCATTCAATATACCACTGATATCATCACATCATTCAATATACCACTGATATCATCACATCATTCAATATACCACTGATATCATCACATCATTCATATACACTGGTATCATCACATCATTCAATATACAACTGGTATCATCACACCATTCAATATACCAACGATATCATCACATCATTCATATACACTGGTATCATCACATCATTCAATATACAACTGGTATCATCACACCATTCAATATAAGACTAATCGTCAAACCATCAAATATAGGCATATCATTGACATCACATATCAATATACATGTACCACGTACATCATCAATATAGGAATATCATTGAAATCGTCACATCATTCAATATACCACGTACATCATCAAACCATTCAATAAAGGAATATCATTGAAATCATCACCATTTAATATACCACGTACATCACACCATTCAATATAGGAATATCATTGAAATCATCACATAGTTCAATATTACCACGTACATCACACCATTCAATAACGGAATATCATTGAAATCGTCACATCATTCAATATACCACGTGCATCACACCATTCAATATAGGAATATCATTGAAATCGTCTCATCATTCAATATATCACGTACATCACGCCATTCTATGTATAACTTACATCAATCATTCCACATACTCCTACAAGTTATAGCTGTAATAATAAGACTTAACGTGAGTCGCATTATGACGTATACATCGAGGTAACAAGCCGTTTATATAGCCCTCCTTTGATGTATGAATTATTTAATCATTACATAATATTATATACGTGTACAAGTAAGATCAGAGGACTGTTAACAGGGCGGTAATCATATGGATTACGGCCCTGGATGAATTTCAGCACAACATAATGAATTGAGCAGAATATAGCACCAGCAATCCTAAACGGCAACCAAATTTCACTATAGAATAGATTTTCTTTAAAGAACTAAAGTCTCGGAAACAATTATAAGAGTAAGGATAATTGTAAAGAAAGGCTCGCTTGTCAGTGATGCAGGACGTGGGGGGTGGGCGGTGGTACGGAATATGTCCTTATCTGGATAAGAAACCCTGATAGAGGCAATTCACTGAAGAAGGCTCGGAAAAGCCGCTGTCCAAGCAAAGTTTCCCAATAGCACAGCACGGCTAAATCTATTTGTTAAGGCCAGCTGAATTTTCGTCAAGGTCGCTGCGATGTAAATAAGGTTAGGGCCCGTGATTGTTGGCGAGATTGTAGGTAAGGTTAGGGTAAGCATTGGGGCTAGGTTCAAACTTGAAGTTGGCCTTATCAAATAGATCTAATCCCTATAGCACAGAACATGGTGTATATCCATTTTCATTAGCCCGACTAGTGCATCCTGACAAGAACAGCTGTCTAGTCGTTCGGATGGTACGGAAAACCGAGGTCTCGTGTATACATTGACTTGCACGTAAAAGATCTCTTGACAGTTGGAATTCGATATAAGAGTGGGTCCTAGTGCCGCTGTACGGGCAAAATTTTCCTCGTAGCATATGGTGTATGCCCCGGAGCACAACAGTATGACGTTAAACCCCATTTCATGACCCATTAGTGCAGAATGGTAGGATGTTAAATTCATTTCATTCTGTAGACAAAGATATCGATAATCTAGAATCTTGATTGGCCTGTTAGGCCCAGTCATCATATAATAAATAAATATATTGCCATATCATGTACCAATCTGTAAAAGTCAATCAGCCGGATCAATAAATCAATATCTGTTTGTTATCATTAGACAATACAGATCCATTAACAGTACTATACAGGTCTAAATTTTTATTAATTATTTATTTAAAGATAAATTATGGGAGATTAGTTAAAGAGCGGGCAGTTCTCACTATAATTGTTAAAAACTAGATAATGTAAAGGGAATAAGCTGAAGATTTCAGTCGAATTGCTCCAATCTGAACCGAGATATTAGTGATTGATTTCTTAGGCCTAGCAACGATCATCTTTACTAAAGTCTCGATTATCGGCTTTTGGATATAATTATCAATGACCGTTGAGCAGTGATCCAGTGGCAATCCGACGCATAAGATGGCATTGAGAGTTGACTAAGGTCTTTTCATGTTAATAAATGTCTTATTAATAGTCTATATAACATTTCGGGCCTAAAGAAAGACCTGCAATAGGCAGATTTACCTCTTGCATAATGTATGTTTAACCTCAACAGTCTCGGGAAGCCGCGGTGGCTCAGCGAGTTATACGCTGGCTCGCTAACTAAGAAGTCTCGGCCGCGCACACCGTGTTCCTCGAAATTGTTGGGTGTGGTTTCCCCTTGTCTATGATGAAGGAGGTAATGCCTGGCACAAACAGTGTCTACTCGCTCAGACGGAACGATAAGTCTCATGTACACGTTGTCATGCACGTTAAAGAACCTCTATACAGTTTGAATTAGAAATGGCCTGTAGTGCCGCTGTCCGGGTAATATTTCCCCCATGACATATGTCCGTCTTCATTATGGCGAAATCTATTTGTTAAGGCCAACTCAATTTTCGCACGTGATTGTTGGCGAGATTGTAGGTTAGGGCTATGTAAGCATTAGGGCTAGGTCAAGGGATGGGATTAGCGCTAGCCCTGTTTACATTTCGTGACCTTTGACCAAACTTGAAGTTGGCGTTAAGCGGCCCATACACATTCAATTAATATCAATTAATTGTCGAAATTGACCTTGCCCACACACGATCAATGTTTTAGCGTCAGTTTTCATTCTGATCGAAAACTTCGAGATGAAAGCATCTCTGGCACTAGTACACACGGTATATTTAATTGACGAGCCATCAATAAATACCAAAGGAATTTCGATCCGTCAATTAATTGATTCGATTAAATTGTTTTATTTTATGATCAGTAGTGGAATACCGCGTTTTATCAGTGAAATAAAAGTGTTATTCCACTGGCTAGCAGTAGTCCGTGTTGTTTTTACCTAAAATCAAAAAATAAATAGACCATTTGTCGTTTTGTCGTGAATAACATATTTTATTTCATCTCTAAGCAAGAAAACGTTTATATTTTCATTCATGCTACGCATTCGTGAAAATATAAGTTTTCTTGCTTCTCGATGAAATAAAATATGTTATTCACTCTAAAACGACAAATATCCTCTATTTAATTAATTCGCCGTCAATGCCCTCCATACGCGAAAAAATTGAACGTGTATATATGGCGGCTTTACCGATTAGATCTAAGGCCTTATCAATTATCCCGGTAAGTGCAGAAAATCAAGACGTTAAACTCCATTTCATTTGGCTTCGTATTACTCAACATGTTTTAAAGTTACAGTTTCATATTTTCTAAGAAAGTCAAAACATAATTATTTCTATGTCTTTTGCTCAATAGGTTGTCAACTCACTATTATACGATCATAGGTATCATTCACACACTTAAAAATCATTCACCCCAGAAATAATAACACCATTACCTCCCTTGTTTTTCTATTCCCCCCATGGAATAGCTATCTTCAAACGTTTGAATTTGAAGTTGAAAATGATATTTTTGCCAATTTCTCAACTGGCAATAGTGAATTATAGGATTATTCTTTAACAAGGTAGGACTGTTTATGGATACCATCTATTTTAGGGCTTTATTTTAATACATTTTAAAAATATAAGTTAAAAATATGAAATTGTAACTTTAATGTAATTGATATTTAAATATATCAAAGGGTTTAGCACTTTAATATGCGTGATGGTTTCAATTGTTAAATAGTATTATCTATGTCGTAAATTTGTTTATTTAGAAGTTACCTTGGAGCGAGGTAAAATATACTTATATTTAACACTTGACATGGATCGCATACCTGTTCAAATCTACTTATCTTAATTCAAATACAGGTGTCTTACGTTGTATTATTTACAATGTCGCGTATAAGTATCCGGAGGTGGAGGGGAAGGGGTACACAAAGCATTTAGACGTCCTGATAGAATAGGCGCGAACCATCAATTTCATGAGCAATGTATTTCCGTTTTTCGGGCACAAACATTAGAGAATGGGGAACATTGATTTGTTTTTTTTTTTTGCTTTATATTGTTGTGTAATTAATTTAAAATAAACGACCATCTCAGCTTTGTGGAAAATTCGTTTTGTTTAATGATTGATTCCTTCTGAAAATTCGTGTGACAAAGAAAATTTTCGGGTAAATAGCCCCAGCCTCCCCCATTCCCAACTGAGATTTGCCTCCTATGCCAATACCCATCATAGCAGTGCTTTATTAATAAACTTTATTAATTCTTTCTGGAAATCCACATATTAACAACTGAAAAACGGCAGACTAACTGAACGCCAAGCGCGGCGAGGCACAAATTTTATTAGATCTCCCCCTCCCCCTCTTTAAAACGCATGGGAAAACACAGTTTGCCCGTCTTTCCGCTATTTCTTCTTTTTTTTTTTAAAGTGTTGCGTTACTTTTGTTTTTAGAATACGGGATAGTAAAAAAATAGTCCACGACTTGTGCCCCCCCCCCCTCAGTCTCTAGGACCGTCTCAACGCATGGACGCGCTGGTCTATAGTTGCCGGGCGGGTTCACGTGAACTGCTTTGTCTAGGGGCCTATAATGCTGCATTAAAGCGGTCTAGTCTAGTCCAAGACTCAAGCAAGAAGTCTAAGCAGAACAACCTGGTCCAAGTTCATCAAGATATTACTATCGGCATATTTCAGTTCTAAAGATACCTTGCATTTAAAAATTTTGTACGTCTAGGCTACATTATTTTCAGCTATTGATATCATGGGTATATCTAAATAATCAAAAAAAAAAACCACAAAAAAAATACTTACTGTACGTGAATTTCGTTTTAGATATCGGGGAGTTAATAAACTTGGTAATTAGCCTATTGCTTACTCATATTAGAACCAGTCCTCGTCAATATAATAATTTAAAAAAAAAAAAAAAAAATACTTACTTTAAGTGGATTTTGTTTTAGATAGCCATATGCTAATAAACTTGGTAATTATTCCCTGCTCAAATTAGCTCTTATAACCGGCAATAAACACTGACATATATCCCTCCGTATATAGCGATATAAATTTTATGGTATCGTTTTACATATCTTAAGAGTCAGAAAATTATAGGTTTGATTTGAACAAACAATGAGGTTGTACGATCCGTGATATAAAAGAGCGGCGGTATACACAGTGGAAACTATAAATCCTGCTGGTTCAACTATAGGCCTAATAGCTTAAGTGGTAACATAATCTACCTTACGTGACTTCTGCCAAGAGTCAATCAATCGGAACTATTCAATATTTATCGCTGTGGAGTAATCCCAGACCAATTGTTGAGCTTCGTTGAGTAAATAAAATAGACTAATATTAATTATTTATTGACTAGCTATTGTACTCAAACCAAATCCTGCTGCTCGTTAACTATTGTGCAAGGTCGAGGAAACTGATCTCCTTGAAGTGGCCTACAAACTTTACAATCAGACCCAAGGAGAGGGGGTCGAATCGGTACATGTTTCCGGGGCTCATGATTATTGGATGGCTAGATCTATTTGATAAGGCCAACATCAAGTTTGGTCAAAGGTCACGGGATGAAAACAGGGCTAGTGATAATCCCAACCCTAACCCTAACCCTGGACCTAGCCCTAATGCTTAGCCTACCCTAACCCTAGTCTACAATCTTGCCAACAATCACATGCCCGAACTGTATTTACATATCAGCAACCTTGTCTAAAATTGAGCTGACTTAACAAATAGATTTAGACCCCGCCCTCCCCCCAGCCCCCATGATGAAATTTAACATATACAATGTAAGGATCTAAAGATCTTGGAGGAGTTAGATTTTTGTGCATCGCAGCTTCTTGGGTCAGGGCATTCTCTTTTTCGCAAAATCTGAATTGTATAGAAATTGTGGACCCTCTAGAGTCCACCATCTTTGGTGAGATTCGGGTGAAACTTCACATTAAGGATCAACAGATCTTGGGGGAGTGGTTATGGCCCTTGCTGTTTGTGCAAAATGTGAATTGCACAAGGTGCGTGAACCCTCTCAAGATCATAATAATTGTCCAATTTAGATGAACATGTGTTAAGGATTAATAAAATAGGTATTTCGTTGCCCGAAAATCGACCATCTTTAAAATTGTCGCCATCTTGGATTTTTGAATGGCTAATGGACCTTTTCAAGAGTAGTCCCCAAGGAATATTTGTGCCAATTTTGATGTAGGCATGCTGTTAATTTTGTCTATTTTTTGATGGTGAAAGGACGCCCTTCTTATCAATCTGATTATAATACAGATCTATATTTCGTTTTTTATACTTTCGATGGCCTACACTACATAAAGATCTGACCTGTTGCAGTAGAAGGTTGCGCCAGGTGTCATACAAACGGCTTTTGACCTTATGACATCAGACATTGATTAATCAATCAGCGTTGACGTTTCTAGTGGTTTACCCAGTTCCGTGCACCTCATGCCAAAAACTCGCCGTAACAGACCATTTCATTGGCTAATCCCTCACATCATCCAGAACACGGAACACAGGTTATGGTTATATAACAACTCCTCCAGATCCTAGTGTAGTAAAGAAAAGTAAAACGAAATTTTGAACTATAAAATACGAAACGAAATAGGATCTGTGCTTTACCCACAGTTCTGTGCACCTCACTCCAAAAACTCGCCGTAACAGACCGTTTCATTGGCTAGTCCCTCACATCAATCAGAACGTGGGTTATATAACAACTCATCCAGATCCTAGTGTAGTAAAGACAAGTAAAACGTAACTTTGAACAATAAAAAATCAAACGAAATAGGATTTGTGTTTTAATCAGATTGCTCTTCTTTTCACATCATATCCGATTTTAGAAAATCCAAGTAAAGGACGATAAAAACCCCACACCCGAAAAAAAGGAGGGCGGAAGATTCCCTAATACAGTGCAGGCAAGCCTGGATCTCAGTGATACATCCAGGGATAAGCAGGAACCGATCCGTGAAAAATATCAAAAATAGAGTATCCCCGGCAACAAACTTCACAACACTGTGTAGATGGTTTAAAAAATTATAATCTAGGTCTGATTTTATTCAACTTCCACCTGTGAATATCAACATGTCACATACATTTGTTTTAAATATTTATTTCATAACAAAATATTAATTCAATTAAAATCAATTCACCTGTTGAAAACAATATACAACAAATCGGATTAACGACAAATCTGACAAATAAAACATGGGTACTGTATTACATGTAGTATTAACTTAGGTACTAAGTCAATCTGATTACAACACAGACCCTATTTCATTTCGTTTTTTATAGTTCAAAATTTCGTTTTACTTGTACTACACTACAGAGAACGCTAGGTCAGAGACGGTCCTGCATATTTTAGCACATATGACGTCATGTGTGGATTGTGGGTAAGGGTTAGGACCTGCAGATTTCTTCAAAGACTCGAGATGTAAACAGGGCTAGCGCTAACCCAAACCCTGGACCAAGCCTATCCTTTATGACGTCATATGTGCAGGACCGTCTCTGATGTAGCGTTCCCCCTTTTCTACATGTAGGATAGGCCATCGAAAGTATAAAAAAAAAACGAAACGAAATCTAGATTTGTATTTTAGTCAGATTAGGTACTGAGTACAATAAAGATATGATTTGACTGTTTACAACAAACCCAGATCCAATCAAACCTATAAAACATTGGTTTCCAAGGCAACAAATTTATATTCACCAGCAGATAAATTGCTAAACAGAAATTTCAAAAGGATCAGATCATTATTTAAAGCCCATAAGGTGCTAAAAAAAGAGAAAGAGAGAGAGAGAAAGAGGGTTTAACGTCCACTCGACACAAACTAGGACATTTTGGGACTAACATATGCTTCAATTTTATTTAAATAATTTGCTTGGGCATAGGGGTCTTTATCAGTGGGAGGAAACCGGACTACCCGGAGAAAACCCTCAAGGTTGGAGAGGTGACCCTACTCCTTGTCACGTACAACCGAGGAATTGAAACCACGCCAGTTGACTCAATGACAGACCATATGATACAACGCGCATGCGCTAACCATTCGGCCATCCAACCCCCAGTGACCCTACTCCTTGAGATGTTCACCAAGGGAATAGAAACCAGGGTGGACTGGGTAGACGGCAATATACGACCACCTTAAAAAAGAAGCATCTAAAAATTGATTTAAATCCTTCATGGGAATACCATTCCTGAAATACAATTTGTAATTGCTGTTTCCGATGTGCTTTCTCCTCAGTGGTGCAGAAAGGAGGGCCCTGACAAGGACAGCTGTCTAGTTGTTCGGATGGGACGAAAAAAACAAAGTCCCATGTACACATTGGCGTGCATGTAAAAGATCCCTTAGCAGTTGGAATGTGATGCAAGAGAAGGCCATAGTGCAGCTACCCAGGAAAAATTTCCCTCATAGCACATTGTATGGCGTACGCCCGTCTTCATTAGCCCAGTTGAAGCAGAACAGTAGGACGATAAACCCAATTTCATTTCATTTTTGTAATTGCTGGCATTTATTGTAAAATTGTACTTCCATTTTTAAAACTGAAAACTATAAACAACATTTTAATATCAAACAAAAATAAAATAATAAACATATTTAGGCCCTATAATGCATCTAGGTAATTTATTCAGAATGGACTGAGAATTAAACCCCAAATTGATAATCATTCAATTACAATGAATGTTTTTTTCTCTATTTTTAAAATAGTATTTGCTAAATGAATTATGTCCGTCTATAATTCAGTGGAGCCACGGTAGCTAAGTGGGTAAGACGCTGGGTCGCTAGTCTGGAGGTCGCGTGTTCGATCCCTGCATTGGCAGAGAAAGTTCATCAGGATTTCCTGGCGTGGTTTTCCCCTTGTCAGTGGTGCAGGATGGAGGACCTGACAAGGACAGCTATCTAGTAGTTCAGATAGGATGAAAAACAGAGGACACATGTATACATTTACATGCACATAAAAGATCCCCTGGCAGTTGGAATTCGATATTGTGCTCCTGCCCGGGCAAAATTTCTCTCATAGCGCACTGTATGGCAAACGCCCGTCTTCATTAGCGCAGTCGAAGCAGAACAGTAGGACGTTAAACCTTATTTCATTTCATTTCTATACCGTAATTCAGTGTAAACTATCCATAAATTTATTATCTATTAATAAAATAATATTCCTTGGATAATACTACTTTGTCCTTATATAATAATTTACATTAAATTATACATAAATGACTGTCTATTATCTGTTAATGAAGAGTCAATTAAACATTGTTCTTACATAGATAATAACTTTAATTAAATTAAACATAAATGACTGTTTATTATCTGTTAACAAAATGATATTCTTTATATAATTAAACATTGTCCTTATGTAATAACCTTAATTAAATTAAATTATACATAAATAACTGTTTATTATTTGTTAATAAAATAGTCTTCTTTAGATAATTAAACATTGTTCTTATGTAATTTATTAAATTATACATAAATGGCTGTTTATTGATAATTAAACATTGTCATTATGTAATAACTATAATTAGATTATACATAAATGGCTGTTTATTGATAATTAAACATTGTCATTATGTAATAACTGTAATTAAATTATACATAAATGGCTGTTTATTGATATTTAAACATTGTCATTACGTAATAACTGTAATTAAATTATACATAAATGACTTACTGACCAATGATTGTTTGTGTACTAAAATACAATTCTTAAATAAATATTTATTTATAAAATAATGTCTTCATTTATGTAATTAAAATTATGTATATGCATAAATGACTGTTTATTTACTAAAATATACATACTGCTGTACAATTAGGTCCAAAAAACTGTGTTTACAGTTAACGCCAACTGACCCTATTTTCTTTTGCTCAACCTCCTGTCCTATAAATCCGTATTGCGGCATTGGCAAGGTTTTCTGCACACACTGGAATTTTGGTATTTATTACGGCCGAAATCAGCATTATTTTAAAGAACCTTACTCAGTAATTAAGCTAGAAAATAATTCAAAATGACATCACAACGGCTATAGACTGCAAGCATTGATGAGAGAGTGAGAGAGATGGGGTTTAATGTCCACTCGACACAAACTAGGTCATTTCGGGACAAACATATAGTTTAATTTTATTTCAATAATTCGCTTGCGCGTAGGGGTCTTTAGCAGTGGGAGGAAACCGGAGGACCCGGAGAAAACCCACGAGGTTGGACAGGCGACTCTACTCCTTGTCACGTACAACCGGGGAATCGAAACCACCCTAGTTGACTCAAAGACAGACCTTATGATACAGCGCGCACATTCTAACCATTCGGCCATCCACCCCCCACCTTCAAGCATTGATGGGGGTTATTAAAAGATATATTCCATCTGATCCCACAAAGCCAACGAAAAAAAAGGGGGCAATAAGATTCTCTGATCGACCCTATTTTTGTTACCAAGTAACCGTAAACAAAGGTATTTGTTTATTTGGCCTAAAGAAAAAAAAAGAAAAGTGAAACTACAATTATGTAAACCAACATGTTATAATATAAACACAAAATAATCAGTTAAAAACAAATTTTAAGATTAAACAACAATAACCAACTGATACAAACATTAACAATAACATAACAAGATAAGAATATTTATTTGGGAGATTCTTATTGCAGGCTGGTCAGGGAGGTTCGAGTGTTTCTGGAGATCAAAATGGCCGCTTTATATAAATGAGAATTATGGGGTAATATTAGGCCTAACCCTAACCCTTTTTAGAAGACTGAACTTGGATCCAATTTATCTTTTATCCCTCTTAAAAGGGTTAGGGTTAGGGTTAGTATTCCCCAAAATACTCATTTATATAAAGCGGCCATTTTGGACTCCCGGAAATACCCGAACCTCCCCAACCGGCCTACAATTAGAATCTCCCTATTTATTTAAACATTTTAGTAACTTAAAAACAATAATAAACAATATATATTATTACTCTAATATCAGCTGGAATTATCTGCCCTTGTTTTAACCAAACATCTATTACAGCCTGAGGCCTGTTTCATGTAATTTTAACTAAGAAAATCCAAATTTTAGTAAATGTGATTGGATAATATTAGACTGATTTAAGTGCTTAGCCAATCAAAATTTTGGATTTTATCTTTAGTTAAGATTTCAAGAAACAGGACCCTGTACAGATATTGGGTTTTTCTATTAAAGGGTCCAATCATATAAAATCAACGTCAAACAAAGTGGTAATAATAATGAAATAAAAAGCATGGTTTACCATAGTAACCAACTACTTTGTACTTTTAAATACAATTTAAAGGCTTGATGCATCACTAGCACTTTTGCTAAAATATCAAATTTCTCACCATTAAACATACATTATGCAAGAGCTAAATCTGCCTATTGTGGGTCTTTCTTTAAGCCTAAAATGTTATATAAACTATCAGTCAGACATTAATTATTAATATGAAAAGACTATAATCAACTCTTGATGCCGTCTTATCTGTCTGATTTTCATTGGATTTGAATCTGATCTGCTGTTTAACGCCCTTAGATGATTAACGTAACAACGGATAATCAAGACTTTGTTAATTATCGTGACTCGGTAACAATGACAATCAAGTCTACAGTGATTTTAAAATAAGGTTTTCTTGGCTTAGTGAAGCAATTTGACTGAAATTTTCAGCATATTCCCTTTACATTATCTAGTTATTAACTATTATAGTGAGAACTGTCAGCTCTTTATATAAACTTCCATAATACCCCTTTAAGCAAACCTAAAATTTAATCGATAAAATCTGGGTTCAGAGTGGATCAATTTGACTGAAATTTTCAGCATATTCCCTTTACATTATCTAGTTTCTAACTATTATATTGAGAACTGCCAGCTCTTTATCTAATCTTCCATAATGCATGTTTAAACAAAATCATATAACAATACTAGATAATTTCCCAAATTGGATTCAATCAGATTTAAACTAGACCCATTCGGTTTCTCCGCTACCGTCAAATGGCGACGTCTTGTTATGCTCCAGCAGCATAGATTGATTAAATTCCAGTTCTTCATAACTCGTAAATACTGAACGGACTTGAACCATTTTGGACTGATATTGAACTTTCACAATATTGTAGTTAGCAAGGAATTCTTCTAGAGCTAAATATATCAATGAAATTTCAACTTATCATAACTTTGTAAATATTGAACAGAATTGAACCATTTTTGGACTAATATTCCTATTAGAGATTTAACTTTTACAATATCTGTCGTTTGAAAGGAATTCTTATAGAGCTAAATTTATCAATGTAATTTCAATTCCACATGATACCTTTGTACATATTGAATTGAATTGAGCCATTTTTGGATTGATATTCACAATATTGTAGCTTGCCAGGGAATCTTATAGCACTAAATGGCGCATCAATATTGTTTACAAGGGATCTTTATAGAGCTAAATATATTAATTTATCATATCTTTGTAAATACTGAATGGAACTGAACAATTTTTAGTCTAATATTCTTATAAGTGATTGAACTTTTACAATATTGTAGATTTCAAGGGATTCCTAAAGCTCCAAATGATGCATCGAGCCTTTAAAATGTGTTTTAAATACTATTCAACAGAAAAACTTGAATATTTCATTAAACACCTTCATGGTCAATTGAAATGTACAGTTCAAACCACGTTTACTTAAACCTATCTAATATTTACTGGAATTGTTAACTTAGCAGGTGCTTTAAATATTCGCCTTGTAGAAACCTTGAACACCTTTAATGCCCAATAACCGGTAAAATATACAGTTTGATTGATTAATGTACAATATAACATATCTGTTGGATGATTGTCTTTTTATCCTAGACTACAGGATATATAATTGTCTTTTTATCTTAAGACTGTTGGATAATTGTCTTTTTATCCTAGACTGTAGGATGAATGTCTCTTTTTATCCTAGACTGTAGGATGATTGTCTTTCTTTATTTTAGACTGTAGGATGATTGTCTTTTTATCCTAGACTGTAGGATAATTGTCTTTTTATCCTAGACTGCTGGATGATTGTCTTTTCATCCTAGACTTTAGGATGATTGTCTTAATATCCTAGACTATAGAATGATTGTCTTTTTATCCTGTCTTTTTATCTTACGACTATTGGATAATTGTTTTTTTATCGTAGACTGTAGGATATTTTTATATCCAAGATAACAATGTCTACATCACACAGGTAGATAAAACATGATACTCAAGCTCCAAAATATCCTACAAATAAAAAAATTTGACAAGACTGTATTGTAAAGTTAGTTGACTGGGGAATTTTACCTATACTTTATTAATATGCATGGTGCAGGGATTCTTCTACCCATTGGCAGTAGTTTCAGTGACGAGGAGCCATAGTGGCTAAGTGAGTAACACACTGGCTCGCTAGCCTGGACGTCGCAGGATCGATCCCAGTGTTGGCCGAGAAAGTTCATCAGGATTTTCCAGCATGGTTTCTCCTTGTCAGTGGTTCAGATGGAGGGCCTGACAATGACAGCTGTCTAGTCATTTGGATGGGACGAAAAACCAAGGTCCCATGTACATATTGGCATGCACATAAAAGATCCCTTGGCCGTTGGAATACAATATAAAAGTAGGCCGTAGTGCCGCTGTCTGGGCAAAATTTCTCTTATAGCACACTGTATGGCATATGCCCATCTTCATTAGCCCAGTCGGAGTAAAACAGTAGGACATTAAACCCCATTACATTACATAACATTACATTACATTACATTACATTACATTACATTACATTACATTACATTACATTACATTACATTACATTACATTACATTACATTACATTACATTACAGTAACAAGTTATATTGTCTTTGATTTTATTTTTTACTTTTGTTATGTGTAACTTTAAAGCCGTGTAACTTCTTCTGGCGATAAACTTACAACACTACATTTTTCAGAACCATACTAATATAACCAGCGGTTACCAGGCAAGATATGCCCACATACTAATATAAAATTAAACTCTAACCTTTGTACTTGAATAGAGATCTTTAACAGCTTGTAATGTTCTAGTACCGTCTAAACATATATTACTCGAACCACAACTACAGTATAAATTTACCTACAAATATATATTAACTTGATCAAGTCTAACAAAATCAAATAATCAGTAATCTCAGTCGACTGTATCGTATCTGGCTTCTGTGAAATCCTTCATAATTTTCATGTCCCGATTTATTTCCTTATTACTTCAACAAAAAAGTTTTGAGTAATCTGAATATTACGGATTATGACATCACATGGTTTGCATTAAATTAACATTGTATAATCCAGCCTTCAATCAGTTGGTTTTCACTCCCAAAAATTAACAAGCAATCACCAATCATTATCTGTGAGATTAATGCTAGTGTCGGTTATTGTTGATTATTACCTTGAGATCAACAGAATAATGCACAAGTGGTTTCAACATCAAAGCCTTTAAACATTTGGCACACCTCGGCCGATTCAACGAATCTAGAGTACCGGAGTCTGCAGAGGTTTGTGACATCATAGGGCCAAAAGCCGCTTGTATGACCCCTGACACGACCTTCCACTACAACCGGTCAAATCTTCATGTAGTAGAGGCCATCGAAAGTATAAACAAGCCAAAAGTGAGGCTGATGTCCCCCTGTCGAAATTCCAAAATAAATAGATGACACATATTAATTAATCGCACATTTATTTTTTTCAAAAGTATCGAGCAATCGAACCATACACTAAGTTTCATCACTCTTTATCAGATAGAATCAAGATTATCTTGTCCCAAACCATTGACAAATGAAATCGATTAGCTCTGCTTAGCTTCAGCTCGAAATGTTAATCATTGAACTCAGTCAAGACATTCACCTAATGTACATCTACATCAAGTTTAAACATTCACCTAATAGACACCTATGCCAAGTTTAAACATTCTACCTCAATTAGAGAGAGAGAGAGAGAGAGAGAGATGGAGTTTAACGTCCACTCGACACAGGCTAGGTCATTTCGGGACTAACATATGGTTTAATTATATTTCAATAATTCGCTTTTCGTAGCAGTGGGAGGAAACCGGAGGACCCAGAGAAAACCCACGAGGTTGGACAGGCAACCCTACTCCTTGTCACGTACAACCGGGGATTCGAAACCACGCCAGTTGACTCAATGACAGGCCTTATGATATAGCGCGCGAGTGCTAACCATTCGGCCATTCAACCCCCCACCTCAATTAGAAGGAGAGTTATTGTGTTCCAAAGTCTCGACCAATCAAATTGCTTATCACCCTGCTTACCCTGAGCAGAAAATGCTCATTATTGAACTTAGTCAAGGTATTGATGTAATGAAACTATACACAAAGTTTCATCACTCTCATTTAATTAGAATTAAAGTTATCGTGTCCCAAAGCATTAACCAATCAAATTGCTTATCTCTGCTTACCCTAAGCAAAAAATGCTCATCTTCGAGATCTCCATCAAGGCATCGACCTAATAAACACCTACACCAAGTTTGAACATTCTAGCTCAATTAGAAATAGAGTTATTGTGTCCCAAAAAGTGTGACGGACAGACAGACAGACGAACGAAACCATTTTGATAGTCCCCTGCTTTCTTCGAAAGGCGGGGGACAAAAAAACAAAATGAAATATACCTGGTGATAGTCTTTCAGGGTTAATTTCTTTCTTAAAAACTGTACCACATGACAAATGGTAGCACCACCAGTCACCCGTAAATATCTTTTTTCTAAGGCCTGAAAATAAAAACAAAATGAAATAAAATGGGGTTTAATGTCCTGGGGCTAATGAAAACAGGCATACTTAATACAGTGTGTTAAAGAGGGAAATTTTGCCCTGACAACGGTGCTACAGCCTAATCTTGTATCAAATTCCAACTTCCAAGGGATCTTTAACATGCACGCTACAGCCTACTCTTACTTTTTGAATTCCATCTGTCAAGGGTTCGTTTATGGGCACGCCAATATGTAGTCAAACCACTAGTCACTGTTTCTTGTAAGTATCTCCTTCCGACACCACTGACAAGAGGGAACCACGCCAGAAAATCATGACGAACATTCTCGACTAACACCTAGGTAGAACCCAAGACGTGTGTCTTAAAGCAAATGACCGACAGAACACATGCTATCTATTACCATGCTCTAACAAATGTTAGTTTAATTAGTCGCAAAACTACTTATATTTGTAAGCAGTTGACTCCACTTTGTTTTAATAATGTTCAAGATGGGAAGAGCCTAAAAATTAGCCAATTTTCACAAGAACTATGGAATGTAATATTTGAATCTTGAACAATTTAGTTGGAATTTTGAACATTTGCTAAAATATTTAATAATCTTAAAGAGTTATAACCATCGTTTAAAAACTGTGTCATATTGCTGTTTCTGGGGCTGTGGCTGCCCTTAGTCAGTCCAGTTTGGCTGTAAATGTTTAAATCAATATTGTGCAGAATTTATCAAATCTGTGAGATAAAGAGACACTGATGACTTACCTTCAAAATGATACCAGAAGAACATCTGCAAGAAAAAAAAAAGTAAAATAAAGGTTGTTAGCGGATTTATTTTCCGGTGTGGTTCTCCCTTGTCAGTGATGCAGGACGGAGGGGCTGACAAGGAAAGCTGTCTAGTCGTTCGGATGGGACGGAAAACCGAGGTCCCGTGTACACATTGGCGTGCACGTAAAAAATCCCTTGGCAGTTGGAATTCGATATAAGAGTAGGTCGTAGTGCCGCTGTCCGGGCAAAATTTCCCTCATAGCACACTGTATGGCGTATGCCCGTCTTCATTAGCCCGGGTTAGGAGCAGAACAGTAGGACGTTAAACCCCATTTCATTTCATTTCATTTTGAAGAACCTGGTAATTTTAAGTTCATTGACTGGAATCACTTAAGACTTGTAAACTACCTTCATTAGCCCAGTTCGGAGCAAAACAGTAGGATGTTAAACCCCATTTCATTTCATTTCATGTTAGCGGATTTGTGGTGATCAAAGATTTATATTACCAGGTGTGTGTGAGAGAGAGATAGAGAGAGAGAGAGAGAGAGAGGCCCACTAGACACAAACTAGGTCATTTCGGGACTAACATACGGTTCAATTTTATTTCAATAATTTGCTTGCGAGTAGGGGTGTTTAGCAGTGGGAGGGAACTAGAGGACCCACGAGGTTGGATAAGCGACCCTACTCCTTGTCATATACAACAGGGGAATACAAACCACGCCAGTTGACTGAATGACAGACATTATGATACAACATGCACACGCTAACCATTCGGCCATCCAACCCCCTTACCAGTTGAAATAACATAGGAAAAAACAGTCATGCATAGCGTTGCCACCGTTTTTGGCCTCACTACACTCCAATCCTATACAAGTACGTATATAAATTAGTATAAATATTGTCTTAGTTTATAAAATTGTCCCCATCTTGGATCCCCAACCGCTGCTAAAATTCCTATACATGTATACTCTTATTACTGACAGACTTGTATTACACTAAAGGGCTTGGCCAGCTTTATTTTAATATAAATGTTAGATTATGATTGTGTATTGTAGAGATAGCTATATGATGTGTATTGTAGAGGTGCTATTTGATGTGTATTGTAGTGATAGCTATATGATGTGTATTGTAGAGGTGCTATATGATGTGTATTGTAGAGATAGAGGAGCTATATGATGTGTATTGTAGAGGTGCTATATGATGTGTATTGTAGAGATAGCTATATGATGTGTATTGTAGAGGTGCTATATGATGTGTATTGTAGAGATACAGGTGCTATATGATGTGTATTTTAGAGGTGCTATATGATGTGTATTGTAGAGGTGCTATATGATGTGTATTGTAGAGGTGCTATATGATGTGTATTGTAGAGATAGAGGAGCTATATGATGTGTATTGTAGAGGTGCTATATGATGTGTATTGTAGAGGTGCTATTTGATGTGTATTGTAGAGATAGCTATATGATGTGTATTGTAGAGGTGCTATATGATGTGTATTGTAGAGATACAGGTGCTATATGATGTGTATTTTAGAGGTGCTATATGATGTGTATTGTAGAGGTGCTATGTGATGTGTATTGTAGAGATAGAGGAGCTATATGATGTGTATTGTAGAGGTGCTATATGATGTGTATTGTAGAGGTGCTATTTGATGTGTATTGTAGAGATAGCTATATGATGTGTATTGTAGAGGTGCTATATGATGTGTATTGTAGAGGTGCTATATGATGTGTATTTTAGAGGTGCTATATGATGTGTATTTTAGAGGTGCTATATGATGTGTATTGTAGAGATAGAGGAGCTATATGATGTGTATTGTAGAGGTGCTATATGATGTGTATTGTAGAGGTGCTATATGATGTGTATTGTAGAGGTGCTATTTGATGTGTATTGTAGAGATAGCTATATGATGTGTATTGTAGAGATAGCTATATGATGTGTATTGTAGAGGTGCTATTTGATGTGTATTGTAGAGATAGCTATATGATGTGTATTGTAGAGGTGCTATATGATGTGTATTGTAGTGATAGCTATATGATGTGTATTGTAGTGATAGCTATATGATGTGTATTGTAGAGGTGCTATTTGATGTGTATTGTAGAGATAGCTATATGATGTGTATTGTAGAGGTGCTATATGATGTGTATTGTAGAGATACAGGTGCTATATGATGTGTATTGTAGAGGTGCTATATGATGTGTATTGTAGAGGTGCTATATGATGTGTATTGTAGAGATAGAGGAGCTATATGATGTGTATTGTAATCTAAAAGAGTGAATATATTGAATACAAACCCTCCATAATTTAAAAGAAGAGAAACTGGGGGGATAACTTCTGGTTTTACATCAAACTTATGTTCAACATCGTGTTTTATAGTTGGTTTAATACATGGAGTGATGTAGGCAGGAACATCTAGACAAAAACATGAATATATCGTTAAATACACCTGATTGATGGACCTGTAGACAGGAACATCTAGACAAAAACATGAATATATATCATTAAATATGCCTGATTGATGGACCTGTAGACAGGAACATCTAGACAAAATACGAAACTATCATTAAATACTCTATGCCTGATTTTAGCGCTATGTAACAAAAAGTCCTACTTTTCTGCACCAACTGGGCTAATGAAGACAATCATATGCCATACAGCATACCTATGCGGCGAATTTTGCTCGGACAGCAGTACAGCAGACTACTTTTATTTTGAATTCCAACTGTTAAGGGTTTTTTTTACATGCACTCCAATGTGTAAATGACACTTCATTTTTTTTTTGTCCCATCCGAACAACTAGACACTGTCCTTGCCAGGCCCTCCATTCTGCACCAGTGAAAAGGGTCATATATCCTGAGGAAATTTTCGGAGCCAACACCATGAGCGAACCGAAGACCCTCCTGCGTAGTGAGCCAGAGTCTTACGCACTGAACCATCGCGGCTCCTTCAAAGATAAAGAAGTAATGTACACCTACATTTTTTTTCTATACCATGTATTTCATAGAATTTTTTCTCTCTTTCTTGTTCCTCTGAAAAACCCAAAAAAATTATTGAAAATCATTTTGTAATGCGAGTCTCATTAAAACCCTGAAAATGGAAACTGGAAACTCAAAGTTCCTAAAACATAGAGAGACAGATTTTCATCTAGGCTCTGGCCTATAATACCAATTAATCAATAATTCTGTGGTCCCACTTTTTTTCTGGTCTATATTTCTTGCTCAAATATATACAGTAGAGAGAGAGAGAAAGAGAGAGGTTTAAGGTCTACTTGACACAAACTAGATCATTTTGGGACTAAGATAAAGTTAATTTTTTTCTTCAATAAATTGCTTGAGCGTAAGGGGGTCTTTAGCAGTGGGAGGTTTCCAGAGCATAAAATTTCTCGGCCAATGCAGGGATTAAACACATGACTTCCACACTAGCGAGCCTGCGTCTTACCCACTTAGCCACTGTGGCTCCCTTATCAAAATAACCATGGTAACTAATTTGTTTCCACTGATCTTACCTTGAGCAACATGTGGTAAAAGACTGTATAAAATATCTTGTAATGTTCTATCTAACCTGAAACAAAGACCATATATCTCATTCCATCTAATATTCTACATGACAACCACACCACACACAAACAATTACACAAGACAAACCTATGGACACAATATACCCTCATTTCAAATAACAACAATTTGATTAAAATACAGATCTATATTTCGTTTTGATTTTTTAAATCTGTCGATGGCCTACACTACATGAAGATCTGACCGGTTGTAGTGGAAGGTCACGTCAGGGGTCATACGAACGGCGTTTGACCCTATGATGTCAGACATTTGATTAACCAATCAGCGTTGATGTTTCTAGTGGGTTACCCACAGTTCCAAAACCTTGCCGTAACAGACTGTTTCATTAGCTAATTTCTCACATCATTCAGAACGTGGGTTATATAACAACTCTTCAAGATCCTAGTGTAGTAAAGACAAGTAAAACGAAATTTTGAACTATAAAAAACGAAACGAAATAGGATCTTTGTTTTAATCACATTGAAATAACACACCTATATTTCAAAATCAAGTCCCAGACCAGTAATGATAAAGGCTTGACTTCAAATGGAAAACAAAACAATGATTGACAAGAAAATACTGAGAAACATTCTCCCATCAACACAGGGGACAAACCCGAGATCTCCAGCATCTTACTCACTGAGCCACCACGGCTCTGTATAAAAGGAAAGAATAAAGTCAAAACATTCTGTCAGAGGAGCAAGTGTATGGGAGCTTGGCCCCTCAAAAATTGAATCCAAAACTTACTTTATATTTATGAGAGGTTCTGTTGGGTGAATGACTATATTACAGGTTGGACAGTGGACATTCTTCTCTGTAAACTTGACTATACAGCTTTTACAGACTGAAATACAGCAATTTACACAATAATTCAAGTCAAAATACATCTAAATTACATCAATTTACATAATAATTCAAGTCAATATACATCAATTTACACAATAATTCAAGTCCAAATACATCAATTTACACAATAATTCAAGTCAAAATACATCAATTACACATTAATTCAAGTCAAAATACATCAATTAACACAATAATTCAAGTCAAAATACATTAATTTACTCAATAAAGTCAAAATACATGTTCAATTCAACTGATCTGATGGGACAAGCACTATATTATTACATATTTTTCATAAGTGACAGTCAATTTGTTTGACAATTTTAGTTTCACTTTTGGCTTAAACTATCAACTGGTGAACTTTTTAAAATACAGGTAATGTTTGCTCGGACAGTGGGGCTATGGCCAATTCTTCTTCTTGTATATCGAATTCCAACTGTCAAGGGATCTTTTACGCGCACACCAATGTGTACAAGGGACCTCAGTTTTTTGTCTCATCCAAACGACTAGACAGCTGCCCTTGTCAGGCAATCCGTCCTGCATCACTAACAAGGGAGATCCAACACAGCTCACAATTTTAAATGTAGACAGGTAACAACTTTGCTAAAGAAATAAGAGGGGTTGAATGGTCTAGTGGGGTATAATGTCTGCTCGACACAGACTAGGTCATTACGGGACTAAAATATGATTCAATTTTATTTCAATAATTCACTTGCAGTTGCACGTTGGGGTCTTTAACAGTGGCAGGAAACCTGAGGACAATGAGAGGTTGAACTGGTGACTCCATTCCTTGTCATGTACAACCGGGGAATCGAAACCACGCAAGTTGACTCAATGACGGCCCTTATGATACAGCACACACATTTTAAACCACTAGACCACCAATCCCCCCTCGCTAGTCTGGAGGGGGGATGGTTAGCACGTGCATATTGCATCATAAGGTCTGTCATTGCATGGTTTCGATTCCCCGGTTGTACGTGTTTTTTCTCCTGGTCCTTCGGTTTCCTCCCACTGCTAAAGACACCTATGCACAAGCGAATCATTAAAATAAAATTGAACCATATGTTAGTCCTGATATGACCTAGCGGACATTAAATCCCAATTCTCTCTTTTTAAGCAACTGGTACCAAATAAAAAAAAATCTTACATGTATGCATACAATCTGTAATAGTTGATGCCTCATATAAATATCCTTTACAAATTCCACACGTTAAATAACAGTTTATATTCGCAATGGGAACCAGGACATTATTTTTAGACTCTGGATCTTCATCCACTGATGAGTTCAGTTTCTGTTTCACATTGATTCTGTTGGTTTCCTCCATTATCGGTTGATCTACACGATCATCCCCTCTTTCTCTTCATTTTTCACATTCTACAATTTAAACATACATTATGTAAGAGTAAAGTCTGCCTATTACAGGTCTTTCTTTAGGCCTGAAATGTTATATTTATAAACTATTAATTAGACATTTATTAAACATACATCATGCAAGAGCTAAATCTACCTATTACAGGTCTTTCTTTAGGCCTGAAATGTTATCTAAATTATTAATTAGACATTAATTAACTTGTGCAGACCGTAATCAACCCTCGATGCCACCTTATCTGTCCGATTTTCAAGGATTTGAATCCGATCTGCTTTTCAACATCCATTGATGATTAAATGCAAAAATGGATAATCAAGACTTTGTTACGGTACTTATCGTGACAGTGCTAACAGTGACAATCAAGGCTACAAAGATTTTAAAATAAGTTTTTTTTCGGCTCAGGTATCACACTGAAATTGTCAGCATATTCCCTTTATATCATCTAGTTCTTAACTATTATAATGAGAACTGCCAGCTCTTTATCTAACCTCCCATAATGTGTCTTTAAAAATAACCATGGTTAAAATCAGTACAATTTTATGGATACACAATTACTGAGTTCAATACTCTTCAGCATTTTGATAAGAATTTAATCAAAGGTATTAAGTTTTAATTGTATTTGATTGCTATTTTTGTTGCATATTCGGTAGGTATTTGTCCACTATTCACATACCTGTATCATTTGCTTGATAAAGGGAGAGTATCCTAGTCGAAATCTCGCATAGTATTAAACTCAGTAATTGTGTATCCATAAAATTGTACTTTATGTTAATTAAACCTATTAGAGAAGTTATTTGGTTAAAATCATCTAAATGATAATGGCATTATATAGGTCTATTATCCCGACCTATACAGTTTAGTTAATGGAAATCTTATTAATCTATCTATTTAATAAACTGTTGAATCGGATTATGAAACTTATGCCTTACAAGTTAGTACAAGTGTAAAATCATTAATATTGGTTTTAACAGATTTTGTGCTTTAAAAATAGGCTTAATTGGCTCTCCCTTGATAGAATTACTGTTCCACAAAAGATTTTGATTCCTGAAAAGCAACAAAGTTTTTACAAAAACTAAATTTTTAAGCTTGTTCTAATTCAAAAAGGGCATGTGTAGTCTAGCCAGTGAATGTTAAAACATTATGTAGCCAATATGTAGGCCTTGTGTTTTCTATTTCATTTAAAAAAAAATGCATAAGCTTTTTCTAAAATTAACTTAATAAGAATATAAATGGTTAATTTTAGTTCATAAACCTCCAAAAAAGCACACAGATTCCGAATATGGTTATAAATGAAATAGTTTCCCTGGCTAACAACATAAAACTCTACTTTCAATTTCCAACATCTTCTTATTAGCAAACATTTAGCCGTCCTGAATAATTCTATGTTTTGAAGAAAGAAAATGGTTTTCATGGAAAATACACTTGTATTATCTTAAAATTCACAAACATGTTTTCATCCTGAGGTTTTTCTTCACAAAACAACCTAAAAAACGAGGCTCTTCGAAAACAAGGAACTATTCCTTTCCAAGAAAGATCAACATGGCATGAATTGAATGACGAATTTACGTTTCACATCTATAAAATTTCAATGTCAAATATTTATACAAGTATTGAATTGTTCACAATAAATGACACCGTGATGAAAAGCTTACACAAAATTGTATCAAAGTAACCCATAAATTAGAAATAAAAACTTCACAATATACTGTTATCTCAGTAAATACATTTATCACTTTTACCGACTTAATCGTGGGTATGATTGACTCCCGCCACAGCCATTACATTGCCGATACATATCTAAAAATAGTAACATAACTGTTTCCTACGTTAGATTTGATTGGTTCATTTTATAATTCACACCAATCAGATGAGTTGTACATAAACAGTATTGTGAAGAATTAAACATGGTTGGTACACGTGGTTTTGTATTTTTACGAAAACATTAACTTTTGATGATATAACGGGTGTTTTAAGTTAATAGAGTTTGTTGAATATGTATGCAAATTAAACATAACACCGTTATGGAACAAAATGTTTCAAACTCTGCTTAAATTAATTCTATTTTAACCAAAAGCACAACGAAATATACCAGTGCCTGTGTGTGTGTTCATTTTCTCATTCTACTACTCACTGACCTCAGACTCCCAACCAAGTCCCCGCGTTAAACTTAAAGATGAAAGGCTTCAGAAACCCCAATGTACATCAAATATAATTGTGGAATTCCTTGTATTTTTAACAATTGACAAGTTACCCGTACATTATTTAATGTCAGTGATGAATAACACCTCTTTATATAGCCACAATATTTTGTGTTTTTTTGTACTGCAGCCCTGTAGGCCTATCAATTTTGTATCATAACTTAGGTTATACTTTATTTCCTGGGCTGCAAACGGAGTTGGGTGGCCGAATGGATCAATCATGCACTTTAAGGTTATAAGGTCTGTCAGTGAGTCAAGTAGCATGGTTTTGATTCCCCGGTTGTACATGACAAGGAGTAGGGTCGCCTGTCCAACCGCATGGGTTTTCTCTGATTCCTTCGGTTTCTTCCCACTGCTAAAGACCCCTACGTGCCAGCAAATTATTGAAATAAGTTTGAACCATATGTTAGTCCCAAAATAACCTAGTTTATGTTGAGTGGCATGTAATGTCAGATGAACATACTGTGGTAGCAACAATATTTTGTGTTTTTTATATCTCATAACCTAAACATTTTATTTTATTTCCCAGGCTGCGAGTTTATATGTTCTGTATGAACATGCCTCTGGTTATGGATTATTCCGAGTCAAAGAGTTTGAAGAAGTGGCAATGTTACAACCACAGGTGGAAGCCAGTGTTACTGATGTCAGTAAATTTAACTCTGTTGTTAAACTGATTGCCTTTTCACCATTTAAAAGTGGTACTAATGCTTTAGATAATATGAATAGCGTATCGGAAGGTGAGTAAACCCTAAATGACCCATATCTTGTCCGAATGGTTAGCGTGTGTGCACTGTCATAAGGTCTGTCATTGAGTCAACTGGCGTGGTTTCGATTCCCCAGTTGTACGTGACAAGGAGTAGGGTCGTCTGTCCAACCTCGGGGGGGGGGGGGGGGGGGGGTCTCCGGGCCCTCTAGTTTCCTCCCACCGCTAAAGACCTTTACTCGCAAGCGAATTATTGACACAAAATTGAACCATATGTTAGTCCCGATTGGACGTCAAATTCCATCTCTCTCTCTCTATCTCATCTCCCATTATACCCCGTTAATATTGTAAATGTATAATTTGTTTATTCAGGAATACTTCACGATGATTTACGAGTGTTTTTAGAAACCAATGTACCTAAATCTACTAAGAAGGAGAAGGTATTGCTAGGTGTTGGTGATCCTAGAATAGGTGCTGCTTCTTCTGAAGAACTTGGTATTAAATGTCAACATGTAGGAGTTGTACAAGAAATAATAAGAGGTTAGTTTGTCCTTCACCCTTCATTCCAGTGCTAGGTTTAGTTAAAGAGAGGCCCTAGAGGCTATTTCACTTATGAATCATATCCATATTCACCACCCGTGTGGTCAGAGGAAGATAAAAGTGAAAATTCTCCCATGGCACATGGCGTATTCAGGAGGGTATATCGAAAATTTTGAGAGGTTTTGATCCCAAATTATTAAGTCCTAGCTGCTTGAGTGGGGGACCGGAGGCCGCAGGTCGATGGAGCACTTTGGGTTGCAAAATCGCAAACGATTTAAGGCATAGTATTGTGTGTTTAAATGAGATTTGAGGCAGACTTGAACCCTGTTGCTGTCATTTCTTATAAAAGCAAATTTTGGTAATAAATAAAGAATAGACATCTCTATTCTTGACTTTAGTCAGCATAGAATTTGGGCAAAAAATAATTTGGATGCCCATATATTTTACGAAAGCAAATTGACCCAAGATACTCCCGATATTATGCCCATCTTTATTAACAAGTTGTTAATAAAGCAAGTTGTTCAACATCCATTGAGAGTACCTGAAGTTTAGAATTCTGCAGTGGAGAATCATAATCTCGATACAACTCTTGACGTGAGATCAGCCATTTTTGAGCAAACTTGATATTAGATTTGTTGATTTATTTGAATTTCAGGCATAAGAGTCCATTTTGCAAAATTGGTAAAAGGATTAACAGAGAAATCAGCTGGTAAAGCCCAGCTTGGATTAGGACACAGTTATTCTCGTGCTAAAGTCAAGTTTAACGTAAATCGAGTAGATAATATGATCATACAGAGTATCAGTTTATTGGATCAGTTAGATAAAGATGTCAACACTTTCTCCATGAGAATCAGGTACGAATATAACTAGATACAAATAAATCATCCTGGTCCCGATCTTCACAAAACATTCTCAGATTTGAGTTAAGAATTTACTCGACTTTCAATCACTGTTTATGAGAAATATCTTTGATCCAGAAACACAAACCATCTACGTGCAAGCGAATTATTGAAATAAAATTGAACCATATGTTAGTCCCAAAATGACCTAGTTTGTGTGAAGTGGACATTAATCTCTCTCTCTCTCTCTCAGATAAGTAACTTAAGCCTGATAATGCTTTGTGAACTCTGGGCATGTACACCATCTGAAAGGGCATTAGCTGGAACCAGGGTGACTCAGTAAGAAAGCTGCTGGCTCACAAACCAGGCAGTCAGGGTTCGAACCTAATGTTGACCAAAAAAAGTTTCCAATGATTTTTAGTGTGGTTTCTCCTAGTCAGTGGTGCAGGACAAAATCCATGGCTAAAGACCCCTATATGCATGCAAATTATTGAAATAAAATTGTATCTTATGTTAATCCGAAATGAGTAGTGTGGGTGTTAAACTCTCCAACACTCATGTCAATTATTTTGATATAAATGTAGGCAAAAATTACCTTGATATTTAAATTTACGAGAACTAAATTGACACATTGCATGATATGTTTTAAATCAGGGATCACGATGGCTAAGTGGGTAGGATGCTGGCTCGCTAGTCTGGAGGTCGGGTGTTTGATTCCTGCATTGGCCGAGAAAGTTCATCCAGATTTTCCGGCGTGGTTCCCCCTTGTCAGTGATGCAGGACGGGGGGCCTGACAAGGACAACTGTCTAGTCGTTCGGATGGGATGAAATACCAAGGTCCCGTGTACACATTGGCGTGCACGTAAAAGGTCCCTTGACAGTTGGAATTCGATATAAGAGTAGGCCGTAGTGCCGCTGTCCGGGCAAAATTTCAGCCCAGTTCAGAGCAGAACAGTAGGACGTTAAACCCCATTTCATTTCATTTCTGTTTTAAATCGTAAAGTTTTCCAAATGTTGTCCTTGATTTGATATGTATAGAGTATAATTTTATATTTTGTTTTAGAGAGTGGTATTCCTATCATTTCCCAGAATTGGCCAGAATTGTTTCAGATCATTTCAAATATGCCAAACTTGCTAAACTTATCCGAAATAGAAAAGAAATGACACAAGAAATGGAAGACGAAATTGAAGAAATTACGATGGACAGTTCTGTTACTCAAGCTATTTTTGATGCAGCCAAATCATCCATGGGTACAAAAATTATATATAGTTCTTTGTTGGGGAGGGAAAGGGAATAGTCAAGCTGTCATATATAGTTAGTGGGGTTGGTTGGCCGAATGGTTAGCGTGTGCACTGTATCATAAGGTATGTCATTGAGTCAACTGGTGGGTTTTGACTCCCCGGTTGTACGTGACAAGGAGCAGGGTCGCCTGTCAAGCCTCTTGGGTTTTCTCCGGGTCCTCCAGTTTCCTCCCACTGCTAAAGACCATATGTTAGTCCCAAATTGACTTGGTTTGTGTCGAATGGACGCTAAACCCTCACTCTCTCTCTCTCTCTCTCTCTCTCTCATTCAAGTGTTGAATTATAAATAGAACTATTGTTGTTACAGGAATGGATATATCACCGATAGATCTATTAAATATAGAGATGTTTGCTACTCGTGTTATTGGTTTATCAGAATACAGGAAGAAATTAACCGAATATTTACAGGTTAAAATGCAGCAAGTTGCTCCTAACTTAGCTACATTAATTGGTGATCAGGTAACCATGACTTATAATATTACTTAGTTGTAATAGCTAGCATCATTTCTCTGGAGCCGCAGTGGCTAAATTAATAAAGCGCTGACTCGCTTCCTAGGTCACAGGTTTGATCCCAGTGTTTGCAGAAAAAAATTCTCAGATTTTGCGTTGTGCTTTTTATTAAAGGACAATATTGGTGTCAGTCATTATCACATATGTGATAGAACTGGTTAAACACGTTCCAAATATAATTTTAACACAGAGATCATTGCTACGATAGATGCGTAATGAAGGTTTCAAGAAACAAGTGTCGAAGGCAAAAGGAAAACACAAGTTGTTATATGAGACTGTGGGAGGATAACTGACAATTCAAAAAAAATTAATTTGATATTGAACCTCTAGTTTTCTGAGTAGCCCATTGTCTTTGAAGTGTAAACTGATTAATAATTTAAACTTTATTTTAGATTGGTGCTCGTCTCATAGCTCATTCTGGAAGTTTGACAAATTTAGCTAAATATCCAGCTTCTACAGTACAGATTCTTGGAGCAGAAAAAGCTTTATTCAGGTATATATTGTATTCAGTAGAAATCAAATTACATGGTAACTGGCCATATTAAAGTTAGAACCACGAAATGTTATTCTTCTAAAAATAATGGGGGGTTGGATGGCTGAATGGTTAGCATATGCGCGCTGTATCATAAGGTCAACTGGCGTGGTTTCGATTCCCCGCTTGTATGTGACAAGGAGTAGGGTCGCCTGTCCAACCTCGTGGGTTTTCTCTGGGTCCTCCCACTGCGAAGGACCCCTACGCACAAGCAAATTATTGAACCATATGTTAGTCCTGAATTGACCTAGTTTGTGTTGAATGGACTTCAACCCCATCTCTGTCTGTCTGTCTGTTCAGGGTTGGCGGTTACACTAATGATTCTCGTCTTCCATACTTCTGGCTTTAAATTCACATATTTGATAGATATTCAACTTTTAAGTATCGTTAATTATGTTATGTTACTTATTACGGAAACAGTTTTATATGCCGCAATCATTTTATGGTTGTTAATGTTTACTATTCAGTTATATTTTCAATTAAATTATAAATATTAATCTTCTTGAAAAAAACAAGTGGATAAGCTACAGGGACATCGTTGTCGTAGGGTTTAATAAAATAATATCTGTTTAATGTGGAATTTGTATTTCAGGGCTTTAAAGACAAAAGGAAATACACCCAAATATGGTCTTATATTTCATTCCACATTTATTGGTCGAGCTCTAGCCAGGAATAAAGGAAGGATTTCACGTTATTTAGCTAATAAATGTTCTATTGCATCAAGAATTGATTGCTTTGCAGGTTAGTCAAATGTCTTCTGTTAGTTTTATTCATTAACGTAATGAAATGGCGTTTAACGTCCTGCTGTTCTGCTTCGACTGGGATAATAATACGGGTGTACAAAGTATAGTGTGCTATGAGGGAAATTTTGCCCGGTCAGCGGAACTCTTATATTGAATTCCAACTGTCAAGGGATCTTTTACATGCATGCCAATGTGTACACATGACCTCGGTTTTACATCCCATCCAAACAACTAGACAGCTGTTCTTGTCAGGCCCTCCTTCCTGCACCACTGTCAAGGGGAAAACACTGCTAAAGACCCTAAGCGCAAGCGAATTATTGAAATAAAATTGAACCATATGTTAGTCCCAAAATGACCTAGTTTGTGTTTAGTTGAGGTTAAACCCTTGACATGAATTCAAAATAATAGTATACTGTAGCCACAGGGTATGGCATTAGCCTGCTTCATTCACCAAGTCAGTGCAGGAAAGTAGGATGTTAAACCTCATTTCATTAGCCCTGGGGGGTGTTGGATGGTCGAATGGTTAGCACATGCGTGCTGTATCATAAGGCCTGTCATTGAGTCAACTGGCGTGGTTTCGAATCCCCGGTTGTATGTGACAAGGAGTAGGGTCGCCTGTCTAACCTTGTGGGTTTTCTCCGGGCTCTCCAGTTTCCTCCCACTGCTAAAGACTCCTATGCACAAGCGAATTACTGAAATAGAATTGAACCATATGTTAGTCCCAAAATGACCTAGATTTTTGTTTACCAATATTATCTTTTTGCAGAATATCCGACAACTGTTTTTGGAGAACACTTAAAGACACAGGTTGAAGATCGATTAAAATTCTATGAAAGCGGAGATGTACCAACTAAAAATGTTGATGTTATGAAAGTAGCTGTAGATGAGGTAATTCATTATTTAATGTTGGTCAGTTTTATACAATAAGAAATTTGCATTTTGAAATTAGAATTCTGTGAAATTTTTTTGCTAAAGGGGTATTTTTTAAGATTTAGATAAAGATCTGTCCGTTCTTGCTATAATATTTCAAAACTAGAAAATGCAAAATGAATTTTGGAAATTTCATTCAAATTACGTTATTCTGAGCAAAGTTATCAATGGTTGTAGTTTTGACATGATATGTGCATTGATCGTAACCACTGTACTGGTCATTCAAGTCTTAGCCTCACTTATCCATTCTTGAATTAAATCATTAAATGGCCGAACCATTCTAATCTACTTAAAATTGGAGCCAAAGATCTGCAATAATAAAAGTATTATAAATCCTTTGTGGTTACGGTGAGGGGGGCGCTGGGTCACTAACCTTGATATACCATATTTTTACGCTATTTGAGAACGAACGGCGGCCATTTTGTCTGTCAAGAGGCACCTTGTCGTAGGACAAAAAATCAAATGCTAGGGATCCTCTGACTGCACATGCTACAGATCCTCTGATAGTGCGGAATAGATCACAAGATCTGTCATTGAGTCAAATGACATGGTTTTGATTCCCTGCTTGTACGTGACAAGGAATAGGGTCGCCTGTCCAACCTTGTGGGTTTTTTCTGGGTCTACCGGTTTCCTCCCACTGCTGGGGGGTTGGATGGCCGAATGGTTAGGACGCGCGGGCTGTATCATGAGGCCTGTCATTGAGTCGACTGGCGTGGTTTCGAATCCCCGGTTGTACGTGGCAAAGAGTAGGGTCGCCTGTCCAACCTCGTGGGTTTTCTCCGGGGCCTCCGGTTTCCTCCCACTGCTAAAGACCCCTACGCGCAAGCGAATTATGTAAATAAAATTAAACCATATGTTAGTCCCGAAATGACCTAGTTTGTGTCGAGCGTACGTTAAACCCCATTTCTCTCTTTCTCTCATTTCATTTGTGTATTTAGTGTCATAATGTTTAATATTTGTTGATAGGCTGTTATTGTTCAAAAGAAACTTGCTAAGAAAGAACGAAAGAGAAGGAGAAGTGAAGCTGCCATGGAAACGACCCTGAATACAACAATGGAAACAACCGTGGAAGAGGAAGAACCAACTAAAAAGAAGAAGAAGAAAAAGAAGAAGAAGGCTGATGATGAAGAAGAGATGGAGACTAGTGTTGCTATGGATACCACAGCTGACCTTGAGGAAGAAACACCATCTAAAAAACCCAAAAAGAAGAAGAAAAAGAAGCAGTCTGATGATTAGAAAAAGCCAAGATTGAAAATAAACTTTAAAGCCTTCTAATTCTATATTATTGTTTTATGAGGGACGATTTATTTCATTAATGCATGTTTACATGCTAAACTGTATGTAGGGCCATATAAGAAGAATGATAGGGGTCTGACATAGACATTTTACCTGTTCCCCAATCTCCCATTCATTTATAGTGAATAAAATATGTATTAATTAAAAAAAATAAGAAAAATATTATGGCTCTCAGGCAATCGTCAAAAAAAAAATTGATGCAGAAGGGAGGTTTTTATTTTTGTTTTGTTAAATATTTGTGTTACTAAATGACTTATCACAAACATCATATTTAACCAGAGTCAACTTTAGAGGGTTTTTTTTTTTAAACAATTGTGTTACTAAATGATTTATTACAAACATCACATTTAAGCAGAGAGATGGAGACAAGGTTAGATTGTCTGGTGCCATTTATGATTGCCAATAACATTTATTAGGTGTGTGTAACACCTGAGAAATATTAAAGCATGGCAACCAGAATATTTTTTTATATGGCCTAGAATAAATTATTAGAGAAATTGTATCAGTCTTGATTAAAACGCAGATCCTATGTAATATTTTATAGTTGAAAGCCTGGCCCCCGAGTTCACAAAGCATTCTCAGACTGAAGTTAAAAATTTACTCAAAATTCTAAGCCTTTTTTTAACTAAAAAATAGTCCTGATATATAGTCCTTTATAAAACATTTGTTGTTTTAATGTATCAAATACATCAATAAGAAAGTATGTGCAAAGATTTTTCTCATAAACAGTCTGAGAATGTCTTCTTTGATTGGCATTTAGTAATTGAACATATTAACACACGGTACAATTTTATGGATACACAATTACAGAGTTTAATATCATTTGCTTGATAAAGACGAGAGTATCCTCCCTTAAACATCTCTTAATATTAAATTCAGTAATTGTGTATCCATAAAATTGTACCTTGTGTTAGTCTGAGAATGCTTTGTGAACTCCGGGGACCTGATTGATAAAAGAAAAAAAGTGTTGTATGAAAATAGTGCTTTATATTTGTTAATAGAAACTAGCGAAGAAAAAAACCCAGCAATTATGAAGCAAAGATAAGAAAACAGATTTGTATGGTAGTTTGATCAGACTGTATTTGTATGTGAAAAGATTTTATTCCGAAAAGTGGAATATGAAATCTGTAAATAATAATAATGCATTTTATAGTTTAAACATACATTATGTAAGAGATAAATCTGCCTATTGCAGGTCTTTCTTTAGGCCTGAAATGTTATCTAAATTATTTATTAGACATTAATTAACTTATCCAGACCATAATCAACTCTCGATGGCATCAGATTTCTCCGATATTAAATAAATGAGAACAGTTCAGCCATATTTTGATTTAAGATAAAAATGGAGAAGTGCGGCTTAGCTCCGAACAACTAGTATGGTGGTTGAAATTATTGCACACATCTTGTCAAGGCTAATATCTTCGCTCGCAATAAAGTAATTTGATTGAAATTTTCAAATTATTCATTTTACATTATTTATTTTCAAACTATTATAAAAAGAATGGCTAGCCTCTATCTAAATCTTACATAATGTATCTTATTAAAAATCCAGTAGAGGATTTTGATATTGTTTTAGATGATGAAACAATAATTTAATAATTCATACAAATGAATTAATTTTATAACTGGTAGAAATTGTATTCTTTCAAAATTTGACTACTAGTTAAATTTTAAAAATGTACATTATTTCATCAGACACATTAATGTCATGTAGTCAAGAGATATCATCAAAGAATCATACCGTCAAAATGTATATGACAAAAATAGTGACAATAAATTATAATGTCAATTATGATTGTTAAGGATCTTTAATTTATTAAAGAGTTTTGAGTTTTCCTAGTAGAATGGACAATATACCTCAGTTCCTCACAGGTGTCAGATTGCAACCAATCTGATTAAAACCCAGATCATATTTGGTTTAGACTAGTCAAAAATTATTACACTACATATATGTTATAATATTTATATATGTTGTGTGATAATTTCATTTTGATTAAAACACAGATCCTATTTCGTTTCGTTAAAATTGCATTTTACTTGTTTTTACTACACTAGGATCTGAAAGAGTTGTTATATAACCCGTGTTCTGGATGATGTGAGGGATTAGCCGATTAGCCAATGAAACGGTCTGTTACGGGAAGTTCTTGGCGTGCGATGTATGGAACTGGGTAAACCACTAGAAATGCCAACGCTGATTGATTAATCGATGTCTGATGTCATAGACTCAAAAGCCATTTGTATGACCCCTGACGCAACCCTCCACTACAACCGGTCAGATTTTCATATAGTAGAGACCATCGAAAGTATAAAAAAAACGAAGCGAAAAATCTCCCTCATAGCACACTGTATGCCGTATGCCTGTCTTCATAAGCCCAGCGGAAGCAGAACAGTAGGACGTTAAACACCATTTCATTTTCCAGGCCGTTTGTACTTTCTCAACCAACAAACGGGTTGAACCCAATACCTCGAGTGACAATGGGAATTTGTGCTAGAACGCATGCTCCTACTGCATGAGAAAATATCTCAACCAACCATGACAGCTGAAACATATTCATTAGGTTTAATTACGTCACGATTCTACTCACACCACTTCCGTTGTCGGGATGGACAGAACTGTGCCAGGACTGAAACATATTCATTAGGTTTAATTACGATTCTACTCACACCACTTCCGTTGTCGGGATGGACAGAACTGTGCCAGGACTGAATTCTGCGTCACTCGATTGCAATTCCGTCAATTCGGACTGACAATCGAGCATCCCTAGATCTCTGCCCTAAATGGCCGCATATCCAATAATTACCGTTTTGTTATGCGGTCCTACTCCAGTTAACATCTGTTATACACATAAAGACTAATTAAACTTTTCTAATTTTATTAAATAAAAGTGGAATATATTATTCTCAAGATTCTTGAAATATACTTAAGTGTTTTCGACTAAAATTGTCGAATTAGGACTTAAAATGTAGTCAACTAGTTTAGTGTCTTTTCTCAAGTGGAGCTAACAAGTTTAGTATGACTGCACCAGTGCCATATTCACTCATCTTGGCTCCGGGTTAGCACACAAAGGGATAGGCTAAAACGTGTAAGTGCATTGTAGCGTATAATGGCTATGGAAACAACAGGCACTTGAACCATAGCTAAATGACAGGGCTATTTGGCAGACTGGCCGTCTCCTGCACCCTTGACAAGGGCAAAACACCACAGAAAACCCTGTGAACTTTCTCCATCAACACCATTATCGAACCCCTGACCTTATATTTACTGAGCATGCACCTTACCCACTGAGCCACCGCATGTCCCTGCAAGAAAAGGGGAGTTAACACAGTTAAAAGACTTGAAGAATTAGTTTCTGTAGTTTAAGAAAACTAAATACATATTTATTTCCAATAATGTCACATGATCACACTGCTAAGGAAAGACAACCAATAACTACACTTCTATCACAAGCAGTTATCGTTTTTGATTTTTATTCCTGAATCCAATATTATAGTCACTTTTAGAGTTCAATAATTTCTCAATCTCTTCATCTAAATTCTCCATTGTAATAAACTTTTCCGATGATTCCTAAAAAAATAAAAAATAGTAAATAGATTTATATTTCTTTCTTCATCAAAGAAGTATATCAATATCCAACATAAATGAGAGCTTACATTAGGCCATGCATATAAAAAAAAATATTCTAGTTCAAAGATAATCCATGGTCACTGAAATGAAAATGAAATGGGGTTTAACGTCCTACTGTTCTGCTCCGAACTGGGCTAATGAAGACGGGCATACGCCATATAATGTGCTATGAGGGAAATTTTGCCCAGACAGCGGCACTATGGCCTACTCAAATATAGAATTCCAACTGTCGAGGGATCTTTTACATGCACACCAATGTGTACACGGGACCTCGGTTTTATGTACCATCAGAACGACTAGACAGCTGTCCTTGTCAGGCCCTCTTTTCTGCATCACTGACAAATGCCAGTTGACTCAATGACAGACCTTATGATACAGCGTACACAGGCTAACCATTCGGCCATCCAACCCCCCACTTACTAATGACGGCGTAACAAAGGCATCAAGAATGTGTGTTGATTAATTAATATTGTATATGCAACCAATACTTACTAATTACTGAGCAATAAAAACGTCAAGAATGTGTGTTTATTTATGAAAATAATGTATATTCAGCCAATACCTAGGCCTAATAATGACTGCACAAAGCAATCTGATTAAAATATAGATCTATATTTCGTTTCATTTTTTTATACTTCCGATGGCCTACACTACACGAAGATCTGATCGGTCGTAGTAAAAGGTCGCGTCAGAGGTTGTACGTACGGCTATTGACCCTATGACGTCAGACATTGATTAATCAATCAGTGTTGACTTTTCTAGTGGCTTACCCACAGTTCTGTGCATCTCACGCCAAGAAGTCGCCGTAATAATAGATGATTTCATTGGCTAATCCAGAACGCAAGTTATATAACAACCCTTCTAGATCCTAGTGTAGTACAGACAAATAAAACGAAAGTTTGAACTATAAAAAATGAAACGAAATAGGATCTGTGTTTTAATCAGACTGTGAATATTGTATATTCAGCCAGAACTTACTAGTGACTGTGCAACAAAAGATTCGGTTTCAGTTTTTATTTTTTGATCTTCTTGTTGTTTCTTTAGCTGTTTGTGATATTCAATTTCTTCCCGTTTCTCTCGTTCTTTTTGGAGTCTTTCCTCTCTGAAATTCAATATATCAACATTTGAAAATTAAATAAGGCCAAATAAAAAAATATTTCTGCTTCTTCGATACTACTGCGTCACTTTAAAAAGAGCTTTTTTTTATGGCTAAATCTATTTGTTAAGGCCAGCTCAATTTTTGTCAAGGTTGCCGAGATGTAAACAAGGTTAGGGCACGTGACTGTTGGCGAGATTGTGGGTTACGGTTAGGGTAAGCATTGGAGCTAGGTCCAGGGTTAGGGATAGGGTTTAGATTAGTGCTAGCCCTGTTTACATCTCGTGACCTATGATGGAAAATTGAGCTGGCCTTATCATTTAGTACTAACCCTGCATGACCTGTTTTTATTTCAAAAAATAAAAATCGGTCTCATTAATTACCGCATGTAAATATTTTCCCTGATTTACAGGAAGTAACTCTATAAAAGAATTCAAATGAATACAGAAATGTACTGTAAGCTCTGAGACAATATTTCTGTTCATTTAGGTGCATACATGCATAGTATTAGATTTAGAGTGGTGAGGCCAAAACGGCGGCAATGCTTCCCATGTTAGTTTGTTTTTTTTTGTCGAAGAACGATGGAGGAAAAAAATATGCTCTGCACTTGCAGTGGAGGGTCTGGCATATGCTTTTAAAAGGAGATGTCCATGGGCTGCAAATCATTTACCGGTATATGTAATCTATTAGTATTATCTAGTATTAAAATAATATTCTCTATGTAAGGACTGTGTCTAGTCTTTTGGATAGGATGGCAAACCAAGGTCCTGTGTACACATTGGCATGACAGATAGAATTCGAAATAAGAGCAGACTTTAGCACTGCTGTCTAGACAAAATTTTCCTCATACATGTAGCACACTGTATGACATATATGTCCTTCTTCAACAGACCTGTCGATCCAGAGAGAGAGAGAAACATATGGTTCAATTTTATTTCAATAATTCGCTTGCATGTAGGGTCTTTAGCAGTGGGAGGAAACCGGAGGACACAGAGAAAAAAAAGAGGATGGACAGGAGACCCTACTCCTTGTCATGTACAACCGGGGGAATCGAAACCACGCCAGTTGACTCAATGACAGACCTTATGATACAGTGTGCACGTGCTAACCATTCGGCCATCCAACAGCCCTGTTAATGCAGAAAAGTAGAATGTTAAACCCATTAATTTAACATTACCTGAGTCTGGCACATTCTTCATTCCAACGCCTGTTTATTTCTAATGCTTTTCTATGTTGAACTTCATCTTTTTTCGCATCAATACCTTCTGTGCGAGCAATCTCTTGCTGCCGTTCTGCTTTATTGGCTTGTTGGAAAAAATATCTGAAAGTACATGTATTCTTCATGTAACTATGAATCACTACTCTTTAATCATGAAACATGGACTAAAAACATAACAAATCAAACACTGGTCTGTGCATTGGTTTAAAAATATGAGAAGTTCAGAATTTTTTAGCCCAATGCCATAACTTTCAGTGACGGTCCACTGTCCTCAGTGTTATCAATTATACATTTTTGACTTCTTTGGAACATCTAATGATTTTGACAAAATCTCAGATGTCGGTAGGCTAATAGTTTCTATTTTTCAAGTAGAATTTTGAGATTCACAGGACTTCATTCATTTAGAGACTGCTCCGAATAGTACTGATGTCAATATAGCTGTATTTCTCATTTCATTGTGATCTGATGTATTTACATGCATCCCTAAAGGTTTTTTTTTATGTATCTTGTAATATCTTATCAGTGGATAAAATATGAATCCTTCACTAGAGGGGGGGATTGAATGGTGGCTAAGTGGGTAAGACGCTGGCTCGTTAGCCTGGAGGTCGGGTGTTTGATCCCTGCATTGGCCGAGAAAGTTCATCCAGATTTTCCGGCATGGTTCTCCCTTGTCAGTGATGCAGAATGGAGGGCCTGACAGCTGTCTAGTCGTTCAGATGGGATGAAAAACCGAGGTCCTGTGTACACATTGGCGTGCACGTAAAAGATCCCTTAACAGTTGGAATTCGATATAAGAGTAGGCCGTAGTGCCGCTGTTCGGGCAAAATTTCCCTCATAGCACACTGTATGGCGTATACCTGTCTTCATTAGCCCAGTTCAGAACAGAAAAGTAGAACGATAAACCCCATTTCATTTCATTTCCTTTACTAGAGACAGGGAGAGTTGTGACTACAGTACAGGTATGTACTCTCGTTTTCCCCTATATGTCACTCATACAAATGGCAATAAAATAAGTCATGCACAAATACGTTCAGCACAATCAGCATAATGCAGGACAGAGTATCATCAGGGGTGCCAGTGAAGTCGTCCACAAGCAAAGTCGTCCACAGTGAAGTCGTCCACACCCATTGGTGGAGTCGTCCACAAGGCATTTGTGATGTCGTCCACAACTATTGGTGATGTCGTCCACAACTAAGAATAAGACTCGTACACAATTTACTCGTACTCAAAACGCTGATGTTATTGTTTGTTTTGTTAGTTTGTTGTTCACCGATGTTTTTGCAATGAAGTATACTTGTATTTTGTATTGTTTGTTAATTGGCGTTATGGTTTTAGCATTTTTGATTGATTGATTAGTATTAACAATGTTTTTTTAATAAAGTATATTCATTTTTAATTGATGTTATGATTGTAACATTTTTGATTAGTATTAACAATGTTTTTGTAATAAAGTTTATTGTATTGTTTGTTAATTGGCATTATGATTTTAGCATTTTTGTTTGTTTGATTAGTATTATCAATGTTTTTGTAATAAAGTATTGATTATTATTTGGTGTTATGATTATAGCCACGATTTGTCTGAAGTTTAAACACGCCGCCCATTGAAGATTAGCTAACTGCAACTCACTGTCATAATAATTGTAAAACGGCTTTATCAGAAGTTGGGTCTATATTGACCGTAAAATTTAACATTCATTACCTTCATTAGTTCTTACTGATTTATATCATAAGCTCTAATTATTTACTATGGCTAGTTTCTGTGTAGTATGCTCCAAGGACGTGCGTCCCCGACAAGAGGCATTGCAATGCGATAGTTGTGATCGCTGGCAACATCGCATTTGCAATACGGCCATGAGTCGGGAGGCGTATCGTCAGATCGTTCGTGGATTACTAAATCCAGAAATTATAGTTTTGCCGGGAGAAAGGGTGACCACGCAGAAAAACTATACTAATTAAAAATACATTATGTGTCCCGAAAGTCGTGTGGACGACTCCACTAACGTATTACTATATCCAGAAATTATACTAAGTCGTGTGGACGACTCCACCAACGGGTGTAGACGACTTAACCAGATTTTTCGTGTGGACGACTTTGCTTGTGGACGACTTGACTGGCATTTATCATCAGTATGCTTTGATATCTTTAATTATCTTTATCTATTTAATGTATGATAATACTGTTAACCTCAATGCTTTCATTTCTGTTCTGTATGCGTCGTATTTTGGTTTCAACAGTTCATATTCTTCGGGTAATATCTCTGTGGGTTCCCGAACATAAAAGAGTTTACTTTGTGATTTTGGAACCCATCTCGGTTTCCGCCATCGTATGGACAAAACCGTTACATTATGCAATTTTAAGCACGGTGGAAATTCTGTGATTAGAAATTTTACTGCTTTAGACGCTCTTACTAGTTGAGAAGACATTGTAAATGTTATTTGATCAAGTTTGTTTCTTCTACAAGGGTGACATTGTTTTTATTTGCAAGATAGAGATAAAAACCAGTCACTTGTCGGCCATGCTGCTTCCGGTGTAGCAGGTTTGGATTAGCCAGGAGTTGAGATTACAACATTGTAATATATTTGCTTCATTTTTGGATGATACTGTAAGATAAAACATTTTAAAGACTTTATTTTATACGAAGGATATCATTTTCTGCTAAAATACACTTGAGCCCAAGAGACATTTTTTTTTATCGAACGGGGTGGTGCTATCTCAAATACTATACAGCATTAAACCGCTACACATCATCCAAAACTGGTTGCACCACGAAACGTCAACATGAACGTGGTACAATAACCGAAGATACATTCAATATATTATTAAAAGATGAGTCTTAGAAATCGTGTTGCAATGGCAGTACCAATGGCTGTGATAGGAGGTAATACAAAGATTCTTTTTAATATGAAGTTTAACGTGCCACGGTGTTTTCTGATCCAACCGGGCTAAAAAAAAATCATATTCATTGAAGACACATGCAGTGTAGTATTATGAAGGAAATTTTGGCGACACTTATTTCGAATTCGAAATGTCAAGGGTTCTTTTACGTGTAGTCCAACATATTGATGGTCATCACTATTTTCGTCCTATCCGAATTACAAGATGCTGTGAGTTCTTAAGCCAGGACTCCAAGCTGTAGGCCTATGTCACTGTGTAATGACAAGGGGAAGTAGGCCAGAGGAACTTTCTCGATCAACACAGCCCTTCTGGTTAGCGATCTGATTATGTTCGGTATGTCTAGGTCTAGGCCTACATCCAATTAATTACAAGTGGGATGGGGGGGGATCCTATATATATAATATAATCCTGTCTGTATATTTTCCCTGTTTCACAAGAGGTTCCAATTCCAAATATGTCGTTTTTGGTTTTGGGACAAGTCTAAGCACAGACATTCATGGGTATTTCATGTTTCATTTTCGTGTTTCATCACCTAGAATGTATTGAACTGTAACTATATGAAGAACTAGCCCATTAATGCTAATAAAAATTGTCGTAAACATTCCGTAGTTTCTTCTCTTTAAAGTGTGGCACATACACTCTACAGTTACAACCTCGTGGGTTTTCTCCGGGTCCTCCGGCTTCTTCCCACTGCTAAAGACCCCTACGCACAAGCCCCTATGCACAAGCAAATTATTGAAATAAAAATGAACCATATGCTTGTCCCGAAATTACCTAGTTTGTGTCAAGAGGACGTTAAACCACATTTCTCTCGCTCGCTCTCTAAAATAATTCTAGTCTAAATGTCACTCAATAATAAATTTTATTTCATTGAACTTTGACCAGGCCCTGTATATTATCAGTTCAATTACTAAATGCCATTGAATTATGACCCTGAGTATACCAGTTCAATTACTAAATGCCTTTGAAACAATTTAATGTAATATTTCATTATTTCAGGATATGCCGTTTGGCAATTATGTAGTTCTATTAAACATGAAATAACTAAAAGAAAACTAAAATCTGGTAGACAACCAGATAAAATACATATTGTGACAACAGCTGCTGAATGGGAAGAAATCTGTCCTATAATACTTGACCACACAACATATACAAAGGTAAGGCTGTAACACTTTTATTTTCTGTTCTACTAGAATATCTGTTAAAATTTGCTTCTTATTTCTAATTTAAAAAAACAAAAGTACTTGGTTGTACTGCTTAAAGGTCACCGGAAAAGCTTCATAATTTTTTTTAAATAATGCAAGTAATTATGTCAACATATCCTTTCCATAAATATAACATGGTCCCGAATGTCAATGTTACCTGCTACAGTTAAGTTTCAATGTGAGTGGTTGTAACTTTCCGTCAATACACAAGCCGTGATGTCATTTTAGTCCTGCTGTTCTTCTCCTATACTGGGGGGTTGGATGGTCGAATAGTTAACATGTGCATGCTGTATCACAAGGCCTGTCATTGAGTCAATTGGCGTGGTTTCGAATCCCTGGTTGTACGTGACAAGGAGAAGGGTCGCCTGTCCAACCTCGTGGGTTTTCTCTGGGTCCTCCGGTTTCCTCCCACTGCTAAAGACCCCTATGCGCAAGCGAATTATTGAAATAAAATTAAACCATATGTTAGTCCCGAAAAGCCTAGTTTGTGTCGAGTGGACGTTAAACCCAATCTCTCTCTCTCTCTTTCTCCTATACTGGGCTAGTGAAGACGAGCATACTCCATACAGTGTGCTAAAAGGAAAATTTTGCCTGGGCAGCAGCACTATTGCCTACTCTTATATCGAATTCCAACTGCCAAGGGATCTTTTGTGTGCACGCCAATGTATACATGGGACTTCAGTTTTTTGTCCCCTCCTAACAACTAGACAGCTGTCCTTGTCAGGCCCGCCGTCCTGCGCCATTGACAAGGGGAAACCACGTCGGAAAATCCTGATGAACTGTCTTGGCCAATGGAGGGATCAAACACGCCACCTCCAGACTAGCAAGCCAGCATCTTACTCACTTAGCCACCGTGACTCCAGAAAACTAAGATTTATAATATTGTTATTTTTATTATTCTAGATTATTGGTTTAGATTGTGAATGGGTAATAGATAAAGCCAAGGGTATAGTTCATCCAGTAGCTTTACTTCAACTTGCTACATATAAAGGATTATGTGTACTGGTGAGATTGTGCTGTATGAAATCAAGTATTCCAAAATCTTTATTAAAACTTCTTTCTGATAGAAGGTAAGATATATAACAGTACGAATTTAGACGACATATTATAGTGCCGGGAGGGGGGATGGTCAAATTGTCTAACACTTGCCATTTAGATCATACGGTCTGTCATTGTAATAAACTGGCGTGGTTTGATCCCAGCGTGTATGTGACAAGGAGAAGTGTCGCCTGTCCAACTTCGTGAGTTTCCTTTCCCTGCTAAAAACACCTACGTGCAATTGAATTATGGTATTAGAATAAAATTGACTATTATCTTAGTCTCAAATTGACTGCTAGTAAGACTTAACTGCTGTGGCCGTATGATTTGTAGCCGGGAAACCTATCTTATCTATACCAGTACATATTTTTGTATATTACCAGTACATATTTTTGTATATTATCAGTACATATTCTTGTATATTACAACCAGTACATATTTTTGTGTATTACAACAAGCATATACTTTTGTATATTACAACCAGTACATATTTTTGTATATTACAACCAGTACATATTTGTATGAAATGAAATGAAATGAAATGGGGTTTAACGTCCTACTGTTCTGCTCCTATGCTGGGCTAATGAAGACGGGCATACGCCATACAGTACAGTACATATTTGTATGAAATGAAATGAAATGAAATGGGGTTTAACGTCCTACTGTTCTGCTCCTATGCTGGGCTAATGAAGACGGGCATACGCCATACAGTGCACTATGAGGGAAATTTTGCCCGGGCAGCAGCACTATCGCCTACTCTTATATCGAATTCCAACTGCCAAGGGATCTTTTACGTGCATTCCAATGTATACACGGGACCTCGGTTTTTCGTCTCATCCGAAGGACTAGACGACTGTCCTTGTCAGGCCCTCCGTCCTGCATCACTGACAAGGGGGAACCATGCCGGAAAATCTGGATGAACTTTCTCGGCCAATGTAGGGATCGAACACCCGACCTCCAGGCTAGCGAGCCAGCGTCTTACCCACTTAGCCACGTGATCCCCCACATATTTTTGTATATGGTAACCAGTATATATTTTTGTATATGACAATCAGTACATATTTTTGTATATTACAACCGGTATATATTTTTGTATATTACAGTATATTAAAGGTAGGAGTAGCAGTAAAAGATGATGGAAAGAAATTATTAAATGATTATAGAATACCTGTACAAGGATGTGTTGATCTTCGTCATGTCTTATCACGGGTTAGAGGATACTATCACTGGTAATCATATATCTCTTCATAAAAGGGGAGGGGGGAGGGGGGAGGGGGGTCACAGTAGCCCAATGAGTAAGATGTTGGCTTGCTGACTTGAAGGTTCCATGTTCCATACTTTTGTTGGCTGAGAAAGTTTATCATGATTTTCCAGTGGTAGGGCTGTGTATTTTGGCCAAAAATCATATTGCAATATATTGCGATACTTGACAAAAAGTATTGCGATATATTACAGTATTGTAATACTTCAATAAAGTCAGTGCAAAACCTATAATATGACTGATTACGTGAATACACATTTCACTTTATTTGTTTTTACAACTTTACACTTGTCTTTGGACAATTATTCTTTACTGCAAATCCTAAATAATATGACTGATTATGTAATCGAGTGCCCGGTGAATATAAAACAAAAGTAGAACAATATTGATACAGCAAAAATGTTTCCATAAAGTGTATCGCGGACGATCATATTGCAATATATCGATATATAGCAGTATTTTTTGACAGCCCTATGCAGTAGTGTAGGACGGAGGACCAGGCAGTGGACGACGTATAGTCGTTCAGATGGGATGAAAACCTGAGGTCCTGTGTACAGATTGGCATGTCCGTAAAATATCCCCTGACAATAGGAATTCAAAAAAAGAGTAGACCGTAGCGCTGCTATCCGAGCAAAATTACCCTCATAGCATACTAAATGCTGTATGCCCGTCTCCATTAGCTAAGCCGTTTCAGAAAAGTAGGACATTAACCACATTCCATTCATTTGATTTTCTAGTAAAACAAGGGGGTTAAAAGGATTAGCTGAGGGTGTGTTAGGTTTTACTCTTCAAAAAGATTCATTAATAAGATGTGGTAACTGGGAAGCAGACGTGTTATCAGATAAACAGGTAGGAACTGAATAACCATCTCTTAAATTAAAGCACCTGTCTTCGGTTTCCTCCCACTGCTAAAGACCCCTATGCGCAAGTGAATTATTGAAATAAAATTAAACCATATGTTATTCCTGAAATGACCTAGTTTGTGTGTCGAGTGGACGTTAAACCCCATTGCTCTCTCTCGCTCTTAAATTAAAGTAAATTCCACTCTAATATGTACTGAGATTGATTATTTAAAATTTATTTGGTATACACGTAAAACAAGTCTTGACAGTTGGAATTTGAATTAAGGATAGGGCCATTGCCAGGGAAAAATTTGTCTCAGCATATTGCATGGCCTGTGCCCATCTTCGCTATCCCAGTTGGTCCAGAAATATATTCAGAATATATTCCTGCTTTTATATGCTTGCTGAGTTAAACGTATAATGTTGTGAAGTACTGTAATTATAGGCACAGATGCTTGATGTCCGCCCTCGTCCCTTCCTACTCAAGCTCAAGCCAGAGATAGTCAAAAATGGCATCTACAGTGTTGGATTTTTTGTAAATTTTCGGGGGGGGTAGGCTGTTGTGTGCTTTTCACACCTTTAGCGCTCGCAAATTGTAACTACAATACTTCAATATAGAGTTCTACTATTGCTGGACACTCTCGCCCCACCACAACCCCCACGCCCCCACGCCCCCAACCCCCTGCTAAAAATCATGAAGTAGTCTCAAAAGGGGAATTTTAATTCATTTGCAAGTTGTTAGAATATATTCCTGTTGTTATATTACGGGGGGTTGGATGGCTGAATGGTTAGCATGTGCGCGCTGTGTCATAAAGTCTGTCATTGAGTCAACTGGCGTTGTTTCGATTCCCCGGCTGTACGTGACAAGGAGTAGGTTCGCCTGTCGGACCTCGTGAGTTTACTCCGGGTCCTCCGGGTTTCCTCCCACTGCTAAAGACCCTTATGCGCAAACCAATTATGGGAATAAAATTGAACCATATGTTAGTCCCGAAATGACCTAGTTTGTGTCGAGTGGACGTTAAACCCCATTTCTCTCTTTCTCTGGTGTTATATTACAGATAGAATGTATTCCTCTTGTTATATATATAATATATTCCACTTGTTATATTACAGATAGAATGTATTCCTCTTGTTATATATATAATATATTCCACTTGTTATATTACAGATAGAATATGCTGCATTAGACGCTTTAGTTGGAATAGATATTTATACCAAGCTTGTTATAACCAAATTATTAGGTTATATACCTAGTAGAACAGAACTGGATAAACCAATCTACTCACAAGCTGATTTTAACAGGGTATCAACATCATTATGTCAGGGACTGGTTGATATTGCCTATAAAAGAAATGTGGATGATACTTCTAATAGTAAACAGGTAAGGAGCCATCTTCGATAAAAACATCTTCAGATATCCCAGATTCCAGATGCTCACTATAATTAATAATTAGAGGCAGTCCTGATTATGAGGGGAAGTCCTAATTGTAAGCGGGGCTGGGTTGCCTGTCCAACCTCGTGGGTTTTCTCTGGGTCCTCTTGTTTCCTCCCCCCTGCTAAAGACCCCTACGTGCCCGAAATGACCTGGTTTGTGTTGAGTGGATGTTTAACCCCATTTCTCTCTCTCTCTTTGGAGTAGGGTCGCCTGTCCAACCTCGTGGGTTTTCTCTGGGTTCTACGGTTTCCTCCCACTGCTAAAGACCCCTACGCGCAAGCGAATTATTGAAAGAAAATTTAACTATATGTTAGTCCCAAAATGACCTAGTTTGTGTCGAGTGGAGGTTAAACCCCATCTCTATCTCTCTCTCTCTCTCTCTCTCTCTCTCTCTTTTTATACAACTGAATAAAATTTCTGGATGTTTAACCTAGCAGCAGATATCCTTTGACTAAGTCATGGATCTTATTGAATTAGGACTTAAAGGGATATTATTGGAGATTAGATAAAGAGTTGACAGTTCTTGCTATAATTATTAATAGTTATAAAATAGTTAACGTAAATAGAATATGCTGAAAATTTTAGTCAAATTGCTCCACTCTGTACCAAGATATTAGCTTTTGAATTTTAGGCTAGCCTCAATCATCATTATTAAAGTCTTGATTAGCCATTTTCACGTTTAATTACTTTTCTGAAAAAATATTCCAATCCCCTAAATATCGCCGGCTAGTGATGGCATCTAGAGTTGATTATGGTCTGGATAAGTTAATTAATGTCTAATAAATAATTTAGATAACATTTCAGGAAAAAATAAAGCGAGAGAGAGAAATATGGGATTTAATGTCCACTCGACACAAACCAGGTCATTTCGGGACTAACATATGTTTCAATTTTATTTCAATAATTCGCTTGCGTGTAGGGGTCTTCAGCAGTGGGAGGAAACCAGAGGACCCATAGAAAACCCACGAGGTTGGGCAGGCGACCCTACTCCTTGTCACTTACAACCAGGGAATCGAAACCACGCCAGTTGACTCAATGACAGACCTTATGATACAACACGCACATGCTAACCATTCAGCCATCCAACCCCCCCCCCCCCCCCCCCCCGGCCTAAATAAAGATCTGCAGTAGGCAGACTTACCTCTTGCATAATGTATGTTTAAATCTAGTATTTTTTATCAATAAATGTGATGTTTTTTCCAGTCAGTAAATGGTGTAAGTAATAAGAAAAATAAAACGAGCATGGTACGAGCGTATTCATCACGGATTCGTCCATTATATCATAATTGTCATCTAGAAGCACCTGATGGTCAGATGTTATGTACATGTGATTTAAGTAAAGCTAGATGGTATTTACAGAAAGGTTTGGGAGGTAAGTTATATTGATAGGCCCGGTGGGACGATTTACCCAATACTACCCAATACCACCCAATACCACCACACCAATCAGTATCACCACTATTGAAGCGAAATTGATATTTAAAACATAGGGCTTGGCAAGGAAATGTGTTTAGTCGATTAGAAGGGATAATTATACCATTAGCTTAACATCCACTTGACACAAACTAGGTCATTTAGGGACTAATATATGGTTCAATTTTATTTCAATAATTCACTTGTACGTAGGGGTCTTTAGCAGTGGTAGGAAACTGTAAGACCCGGAGAAAACACATGACGCTGGATAGACAACCCTACTCCTTGTCACGTACACCTTGCATTGCACTTATAACAATAGACAATAGATTTTAGTATTTTGTTTATGTGCTCTTTGCACCAATGGTATAAAATATTACTATTATATAAAATATTACTTTATGTATAATATTACTTGTATAAAATGTTATTTGTATAAAATATTATTTGTATAAAATATTATTTGTATAAAATATTATTTGTATAAAATATTATTTGTATAAAATAGTTATTACTTGTATAAAATATTACTTTCATAAAATATTACTTTATGTATAAAATATTACTTTATGTATAATATTACTTTATGTATAATATTACTTGTATGAAATATTACTTTATGTATAATATTACTTTATGTATGAAATATTACTTGATTAAAATATTACTTTATGTATATTACTTGTATAAAATTAATAATGATTTTCTTCTATTTTCTAGACAAAGTAAATGATGATCCATTAACAATAAGATTAAGATTTGAACCATCCGGCCGACCAGAAACAGAAGAGAATTATTATTTACAATATAAAGATAATGTGTGTGTTGTTTGTGGCAAATCAGAATCATATATCAGGAAATTTATTGTACCTCAAGAATACAGAAAGTACGTTGTTTTTTTGTGCTAAAATTTACAAGAATAGAATACAAATAATTTCATTTATGAACATTGGTCCAGTCGGAGCAGAACATTACTGTAATCTGGGTATCATTTAATCTTGTATATTTAGCTAAATTTCTTTTACATTCATTCAATTCATTCTCGATCACTGTTAAGAAATAAACAACCCAATTGATTATTAAATTAAATGCTTGTAAATTAGACACTCATTATCAAAATTAAATGGTCAGCTTTAAACTGGACACAAGTACAATTTAGATGATTTGGGGTGATTTTAAATGATTTTTAATGGAGTTTTAAACAAGGTTTGATATTGAATGAATGTAAATGAAATTAGTGACCCTGGTTACAGTGACAGAAGGACGATAAACTCCATTTCATTTTCATTTCTATTGTTTGGAATGATCTTTTAATTTTGTATAATTTTTTTGTTTTCTAGATATTTTCCGTAATTTGATGAAAGCTCATACATCCCACAATGTGTTACTATTATTTTTTTTTCTAGATATTTTCTGTATTTGATGAAAGTTCATACATCTCACAATGTGTTACTATTATTTTATTTTTCTAGATATTTTCCGTTCTTGATGAAAGTTCATTTTTTTCTAGATATTTTCCGTATTTGAAAGCTCATACATTTCTCGATGTGTTACTATTATTTTATTTTTCTAGATATTTTCCGTTCTTGATGAAAGTTCATTTTTTTTCTAGATATTTTCCGTATCTGATGAAAGCTCATACATCTCACAATGTGTTACTATTATTTTATTTTTCTAGATATTTTCCGTATTTGAAAGCTCATACATTTCTCGATGTGTTACTATTATTTTATTTTTCTAGATATTTTCCATTCTTGATGAAAGTTCTTTTTTTTTTCTAGATATTTTCCGTATCTGATGAAAGCTCATACATCTCACAATGTGTTACTATTATTTTATTTTTCTAGATATTTTCCGTATTTGAAAGCTCATACATTTCTCGATGTGTTACTATTATTTTATTTTTTCTAGATATTTTCCGTATTTGATGAAAGCTCATACATCTCACGATGTGTTATTATTATGTCCACCTTGTCATCAGATTAGTTCCCAGTACGATACCGATGTTAGATTACAACTAGCAGCTGAATGTGACGCACCATTAGAGTCGGGGATTTCTTCAAAATCGATACAAGATCAGGGTTTACAGAAAATAAAAGCAGCTGCAAGGTAAATCTGAGAGAGAGAGAAATAGGGTTTAACGTCCACTCGACACAACTAGGTCATTTCGGGACTATCATATGGTTTAATTTTATTTCAATAATTCGCTTGCGCATAGGGGTCTTTAGCAGTGGGAGGAAACCGGAGGACCCGGAGAAAACCCACGAGGTTGGACAGGCGACCCTACTCCTTGTCACATACAACTGGGGATTCGAAACCACGCCAGTCGACTCAATGACAGACCTTATGATACAGCGCGCGCACGCTAACCATTCAGCCATCCAACCCCCCCTGCAAGGTAAATCTATTCTGTTACTTTAACATTTTGTTCTTCTCTGGGGGGTTGGATGGCTGAATGGTTAGCGTGCGCGCGCTGTATCATAAAGTCTGTCATTGAGTCGACTGGCTTGGTTTCGAATCCCTGGTTGTACGTGGCAAGGAGTAGGATCGCCTGTCCAACCTCGTGGGTTTTCTCTGGGTCCTCCGGTATCCTCCCACTTCTAAAGACCCCTACGCGCAAGCGAAATATGAAAATAAAATTAAACCACATGTTAGTCCCGAAATGACCTAGTTTGTGTCGAGTGGACGTTAAACCCCATTTCTCTCTCTCTCTCTCTTGTTCTTCTCTGTTTTTATATGCCCATATTTTCATGTGGACGTATGTTGTCGTTTCCCCTGTGGAACTGTGGAATTTTAATGATTTTCCTAGCACTGTGCATCAATTGACAGTTTTAAAAGGAATCTTAAAACCCATCTTTTTAGAAACGTTTTCTTTTAACTGTTGATAGCGTACTCCTTTTAACTAGTGTTTTTCTTTTAATTTACCATAATGTTACCAAACAGCAACTTTGGTTGGATTTGAGGACATCTATCTATACTAATATTTGTTTGTCTGTCTGTCTGTCTGTTCGGGTTTGGAGGCTACACTAGGTCTGCCCCGAGTCTGAAATTTGGGGTATAGGGGTAGCTCGGACCGGGGAGTAACATAGACCAGGTGGCGTTAGTCTACCACTTCCGGTTTCGGAATTATGACCCCCTTGCGAAGCCGATCTGTTCGGGGTTGGCGGCTACACTATGTCTGCCCCGAGTCTGAAATTTGGGGTATAGGGGTAGCTCGGACCGGGGAGTAACATAGGCCAGGTGGCGTTAGTCTACCACTTCCGGTTTCGGAGTTATGACCCCCGTGCGAAGCCGGGTATCCTGCTAGTTATTATTATTAGTTGTAATCTATTTCTGTTACTATAATGTTTTGTTCTTTTCTGATATGAATTTGTTTCTTTTACTTTTATAATTTATGGACAGGCTTTAAGATGTTTAAAAAGGAGTTGTTCAGTAATATTTATATTTTAATTTCCCCAAATTGTGGAATATATATTTGAATATTATTTTTCTCTTTCAGGGCACTAACTTTAAGTAGAGCTAAAATACCCGAGAAAAGATTAAAAGAATTAGAAGAAACAGTTATGACATATTTTGGTGTTGATGTTTTAACGGATGAATTAATACAAGAAGTTCTAGATATGGATATTAGGTATAACTTCTCTTCCTATATTCGGGTGGTTGAATGGCCAAGTGGTTAGCGTGTGCGCGTTCTATCATGAGGTCTGTCATTGAGTCAACTGGCGTGGTTTCGATTTTCCAGTTGTACGTGACAACAAGTAGGGTCGACTGTCCAACCTTGTGGGTTTTATCCAGGTCCTCCCACTGCTAAAGACCCCTACGTGCAAGCAAATTATTGAAATAAAATTGAACACTGTGTTAGTCTGGAAATGACCTAGTTTGTGTCGAGTGGACGTTAAACCCCATCTCTCTCTCTCTATCTCTCTCTCTCTACCTATATTCACTGGCTCACTGAGTAATATGCTGGCTGGATAACTGTGGACAGTTTCTACTTGAAATGAAATGAAATGGGGTTTAGCCTCCTACTGTTCTGCTCCGACCGGGCTAATGAAGACGGGGCGTACGCCATACAGTGTGCTATGAGATACATTTTGCCCAGACAGCGGCACTATGGCCTACTCTTATATCGTATTCCAACTGCCAAGGAATCTTTTACGTGCCCGCCAATGTGTACATGTGACCTCATTTCGAGACTAACATATGGTTCAATTTTATTTCAGTAATTCGCTTGCGCGTAGGGGTTTTTAGCAGTGGGAGGAAACCGGAGGACCCATAGAAAAGCCACGAGGTTGGACAGGTGACCCTACTCCTTGTCACTTACAACCGGGGAATCGAAAACCATGCCAGTTGATTCAATGACAGACCTTATGATACAATGTGCATGCGCTAACCATTCGGTCATCCAAACCCCTTATAAAAAAACGAGTGGGGTTGTATGGCCGAATTATTGACATGAAACTGAAACATGTGACCTAGTTTGTGTCGAGTGGACGTTAAACGCCATTTCTCTCTCTCTATAAAAAACGAAACGAAATAGGATCTGTGTTTTAAACAGATTGTGTCATAACCAGTGGCAAAGACACTTTTGGCACATAGTCAGAATTTCAGCCAATTTTTACAAATTTTGTTATATATTTTTATCTTTCAGGGTATATAATTCCGAATACATTCCACATGCTCAAAAAGTTGTAAATTATAAAAATAAACATGGTGGATTACTGGCCTTTGAGCGAATGTGGCGTAAACATTTTGTAGATATGATGAATCCCGAGTTTCTACCTCCACTTTGGTCTGTTGATCACACCCATCAACAAATCGCTAAACTTAATAAAACTTCGGGAGAACCTCACTACACGTAAAACATAACCATCAAGACAAACCCGCGGACAAGACAAACTTCTAGAGAACGTCACTACACGTGAAACAAAACCGATAAGACCAACCAGCGGACAAGATAAACTTCAGGAGAACATCACTACACGTGAAACAAAACCGATAAGACCAACCAGTGGACAAGATAAACTTCAGGAGAACCTCATGATCACTACACGTAAAACAAAACCCACAAGACTAACCCGCGGACAAGACAAACTACACACACATTGCAAGAAATAAACAATAACTATCAAATCATATTAGGAAGCTAGTATGAATGCCTTCTGATAGCTATCTGTCTTTCTGCAAGTGCAGGAGAACCACACTAAACTACACAAAACTGACAAGACCAACCTGTGGACATGATAAACTGGTTGAGACATTATAAGAAATAAACAACGGATATCAAATCAAGTGAATGGATCCACTGCGCTGTACAATCCTGGCCTGTAATGATACCAGCTTTACTCAGAATTATAAAAAAATCCATGATTTATGTTGACGCAAAAATATAAAAGCTTATTGTGATAATTTTGTATTTATTAACAATCTCATTTGTTATTTGGGGGGGGGGGGGGGGTCACGGTGGGTAAGATGCTGGCTCGCTAGCCTGGAGGTCGGGTGTTCGATCCCTGCATTGGCTGAGAAAGTTCATTCAGATTTTCAGATTGTCAGTGATGCAGGACGGAGGGCCTGACAAGGACAGCTGTCTAGTCCTTTGGATGATACAAAAAACCGAGGTCCCGTGTATACATTGGAATGCACGTAAAAGATCCCTTGACAGTTGGAATTCGATATAAGAGTAAGCCGTAGTGCCACTGTCTGGGCAAAATTTCCCTCATGTCACACTGTATGGCGTATACCCTTCTTCATTAGCCCAGTATAGGAGCAGAACAGTAGGATGTTAAACCCCATTTCATTTCATTTCATTTCATTTGTTATTTATTAGGCCACATCAATTTGGTTTTCTGTTCTTTGGGATCTTGATAAATAAATAACCACTTGAATCATGTGAAAGATGTTTAGTTTATAATTTCACAACTTAATAATTTAGAACTAAAAGTTTTTAAACAGCACAACCAAGTACTTTTGGTTTTTAAATTAGTCCTTCGCCTCAACGGGGGTTGGATACGCCAAATTTTTAGCGCTGTATCATAAGGTCTGTCATTGACTCAACTGGCGTGGTTGTATGAGACAAGGAGTATATGGTCGCCTGTCAAACCTCTGGGGTTTCCTCCCACTGCTAAAGACTAGAAACTGTCCTTGCTAGGATAAAAGATATTGCATAGAGAATATTATTTTAATACTAGATAATGGATGTCTCCTTTTAAAAGCATATGCCAGGCCCTCCTCTGCTTGCACATTAGGGGGTGGATGGCCGAATGGTTAGCGTGTGGGCATTGTATCGTAAGGTCTGTCATTGAGTCAACTGGCGTGGTTTCGAATCCCCAGTTTATGTGACAAGGAGTAGGGTCGCCTGTGCAACCTTGGGGTTTTTTCCGAATCCTTCGGTTTTCTACCACTGCTAAAGAACCCTATGCACAAGCAAATTATTGAAATAAAATTGAACCATGTGTTAGTCCCGAACTGACCTAGTTTATGTGGAGTGGACTTGAAACCCAATTCTTGGGGGGTTGGATGGCTGAATGGTTAGCGTATGCGCGCTGTATCATAAAGTCTGTCATTGAGTCGACTGGCCTGGTTTCGAATCCCCGGTTGTACGTGACAAGGAGTAGGGTCGTCTGTCCAACCTCGTGGGTTTTCTCCGGGTCCTCCGGTTTCCTCCCACTGCTAAAGACCACTACGCGCAAGCGAATTATGTAAATAAAATTAAACCATGTGTTAGTCCCGAAATGACCTAGTTTATGTGGAGTGGACTTGAAACCCAATTTCTCTCTCTTACTCTCTCCTTTGTCTCAAGAAATAAGAAGCAAAATTTAAACAGGTGTTTCCATAGAACCAAAAATTTAAATTAGTGTTGCCTTAATTTGCTTCTAAGCTTTTGACAACCTTCATTATCATTTGTGGGTTATTACTCCATCAGTGGAAAAAGATTAAATTCAACACAATCTTTCTACATGTATCAAGCGAAAAACACAAAACAAGAATCCATGTTGCTTTTATATGGTGGTTGTTTTTGGGAGTCATGGTGGCCTGGAGAGCATGGCGCTTGCTTACTAACCAGGAGGTCCAGGTGTTGGTCACAAAAGTTCCTCTGGATTCCTGAAGGAAATTCATCTTGTGATTTGAATGTCACAAAAAACTGTGTATATCACTGGCAGAAATGAAAAGGGGTTTAAAGTCCTACTGTTCTGCTCCGACTGGGTTAATGAAGACGGGCATAAGCCATACAGTGTGCTATGAGAGAAGTTTTGCCTGGACAGCAGCGTTACAGCCTACTCTTATATCGAATTCCAACTGCCAAGGGATCTTTAACATGAACGCCAATGTGTACATAGGACCTCAGTTTTTTGTGCCATCCGAACGACTATACGACTATACGTTGTCTGTTGAAATTTGGTGTATGTCATGTTAGCCAAGTAAATACACAAAATAAAAAACTTTTTCTGTAAGGATTGTCTGAGAAGCTGCTTTTTTGTATGGCCTTAATTTCAGAGAGAGAAATGGGGTTTAAAGTTCACTCGACACAAACTAGGCCATTTCAGGACTAACATATGGTTCAATTTTATTTCAATAATTCGCTAGCACATTGGGGTCTTTAGCATACGGAGAAAAACGGAGGGCCTGGAGAAAACTCACAAGGTTGGACAGGCGACCCTACTCCTTGTCATGTACAAGTGGGGAATTGAAACCAATCCACTTGACTCAATGACAGACCTTATAATACAATGCACATGCGCTAACCATTTGGCCATCCAACCCCCTCCCCTGCTTAATTTCAGTGAACAGTGTGCTAACAAGAGAAAGGATCAACAAATAAAAACTCGTGTTACAGAAAATCAACAATTTATTCAAAGTTAATACAGTTATTAATTAAATTAGAAAATCAGAAAACCAAGCAAATCTTTTGACACGTTATAAAATTCATACAAACATTAAAGATAGGTTGCCAGGCAACGAAACATACGCCCACAGCAACTAAATCGTCCGGGCAGTCAACAAGGGTTGTCGCATATTTTTACTTTTTTCGGTAATGAAACATTTATAATACACTAAAATCTGATTAAGAGCAACAATTCACGAAGTAATTATCAGAAAACTATTAGAATTTGTTTGCCCCATGCTAACGTTTTGTATGCAAAGCTTTTAATATCATAGATTTAACTGTTCAAGTCATAAAAATTCATTGAAAATCAATATACTTGTTCGTCTCAAGATCTTAAACTCTGTATATCAATCTGAAGTCAATCGGATGATAACTTAAGGGCCATAACTTTGGCAGTAATTATCGGAAATCGATGAAAATCAATAGGAATCTTTGTCTCATGACCTCAAACACTGTGTATAAATTTAAACTCAATCGGATATGAACTTTAGCCTCTAGAGCATCCACAAGATTTTTTGAAGTGATCAAGGGCCATAACTCTGGCAGTAATTTAATGGAAATCATTGAAAATCAATAGGTTTCTTCGTCTCATGACCTTAAACATTGTGTATAAATTTAACGTCAATCGGATATTAACTTTGGCCATTAGAGCATCCACAAGATTTTTTTGAAGTGATCAAGGGCCATAACTCTGGCAGTAATTATCGGAAATCGCTGAAAATCAGTAGGCTTCTTTGTCTCATGACCTCAAACACTGTGTATAAATTTAAGGTCAATTGGATATTCACTTTGGCCTCTAGAGCGTCCACAAGATTTTTCAAAGTGATCAAGGGCCATAACTCTGGCAGTAATTATTGGAAATCGCTGAAAATCAATAGGCTTCTTCATCTCAAGACCTTAAACACGGTGTATAAATTTAAAGTCAACCAGATATTAACTTTAGCCTCTAGAGCGTCCGCAAGCAATTGTGGACGCCGGACCGCCAGACCAACGGACGGACGGGGGCGACGACAATATACGACCACATTTCAATGTGGGCGTATAAAAAGAATTTTACATTCATGTCACATAGATTAACTCTCACAATTTAAATACAAACACATCACCGTATTTATACAAATCGAAAACATCTTCAATCATATCGACTTTCACATGTCCAGGCATTATGCACACAGAGAACTACTACTTCGAGAAAAAATCTCTGCCCTGAATGGCTGCCATAACCAAAAATTAGTATCATATTTTGTAATTCGGTCCTATTCCGTTTCACATCTGTCATACACACATATAAACATTTAAACTATCTATAAACTATCTACTTCGAGAAAAGATCTCTGCCATGAATGGCCGACATATCCCAAAATTAGTATCCTAATTTGTAATGTGGTCCTATTCCGTTTCACATCTGTCATACACACAAATATTAAATAAACATTTAAACTATCTACTTCGAGAAAAGATCTCTGTCCAGAATGGCCGCCATATCCAAAAATTAGTACCCTATTTTGTAATTCGGTCCTATTCCGTTTTACACCCGTTATACACACAAAGACCAATCTGGTTAAAACATAGGATCTATTTCGTTTCGCTTTGTCTGTACTACACAGTAGATCAGTATTTTAATCAGAATGCACAAAAACTAAACATTTTCAATTTTATTAAATAGAAAAAGAATAAATACTTAGTGTTTTTGACTTCTATCGTAGATGTAGGAATTAAAATGTCGGTCAATTAGCTTAAACATGCATTATGCAAGAGCGAAATCTGCCTATTGCAGGTCTTTCTTTAGGCCTGAAATGTTTTCTAAATTATTAATTAGACATTTATTAACATAACAAGATCATAATCAACTCTCGATGCCATCAGATTTCTCCGATATTAAATAGATTAGAACAGTTCAGCCATATTTTGATTTAATCTAAAAATGGAGGAGCAAGACTTAGCTTCGAACAACCAGTACGGTGATTGAAATTATTGCACACATATTGTCAAACCTTCAAAGGCTAATATCTTCGCTCTCAATAGAGTAATTTGAATGAAATTTATAAAATTATTCATTTTACATGATCTATTTTCGAACTATTATAGCAAGAATGTTTAGCTCTTTATCTAAATCTTACATAATGTATCTTTAATGTCTGTTCTCAAGCAGAGCTAATTGTAGACAGACAGTGTTAGTTTAGTATGATGGTGAATGGGGCAGAAAACCATCTGTGTACATATTTGCATGCACATGAATGAGGTGTTTAAAACCTCAGTTGGATGAAAATTCTTTCACATGTAAGCATAGAGAGAAATATGGGGATTAACGTCCACTCGACACAAACTATGTCATTTTGGGACTAACATGGTTCAATTTTATTTCAATAATTTGCTTGCGTATAGGGGTCTTTAGCAGTGGGAGAAAACCAGAGGACCCGGAGAAAACCCACGATTCATGTAAATGTAAATGAAATGAAATGGGGTTTAAACGTCCTACTGTTCTGCTCCGACTGGGCTAATGAAGATGGGTTTACACCATACAGTGTGCTATGAGGGAATTTTGCCCGGACAACGGCACTATGGCGTACTCTTATATCGAATTCTAACTGTCAAGGGATCTTTTACATGTACGTCCATGTATACAGCTGTCCACTGACAAGGGGAAACCACGTCGGAAAATCCTGATGAACTTTCTCGGCCAATGCAGGGATCGAACATGTGACCTTGAGGCTAGCGAGCCAGCGTCTTACCCACTCAGTCACTGTAGCTCCCCCAATTGAAAAAGGTGAACTATGTGAAATATAATTTCTAATCAGTTATGTTCGGTGAAATATGCCAGAAGTCTCAATCGAATGGTACTCTCTAGTGTCTGATTATTCCAGTCTACACCGATAGTATTTATTGCTCATACTCTACAGATAAGAATATGTCTAGCCTCATTCTTCGAGTCGCTTGTTACAAATGGCACTGAAACGCATTATGATATACGATTCGTGTACCAATGGTAAACATAACAAAATCAATGCCCATCCTTACCAACATTCAAAACCATATTGAAGACATATTTATTTAGATGTTATCTTTAGTAGTTCCTTTGAGTTGGAACTTTTATTGTACAGAACTGAATCACAAGCGCTTTGAACATACTCTCTGTGTGGAATAGCGCTATATAAATGACATTATTATTATTATTTATTATTGAAGAACAAAAATCAAATTATTGGTCTATGAAACTATTTTATCTGTGTAAAGAAGCTAATAAAGAAGGATCAACACTAGACAACGCCAATTTAGGCGTATGAATACCCGGCTTGGCGGAATATTTTGTACCCGCGATATCTATTTCATAAATAGCGTTTTTATCCATCACATAATCGTTCATATTTGGGTTAATTTTTGGTTGTCCATTTTCATCATAGTCACTGATGAAACCTAGACATATCATTCTGTCTAGGGTAAAGCCGTATCCACAGGTAGAGGTATTACCAACATATCGGCCATTTCTAAATATAGGTTCTTCACCCCATGGCCATACGTCATTATCAACATCAAAGTTTTCTAGCATAAACTGAACAAACTTTTGACTGACACCTTCCTTTCGCTGTTTAATCAGAGCGTCTTTACCGATAAAATCTTTCTGTAAAAATAAAAAAAATTCAAAATCAATTAAACTTCATGAAATGTAATAAAATGGGGTTTAATGTCCTACTGTTGAGCACAGACTGGGTCACACTGTTCAGCAGTGAATATTCGCTAGGCCGCGACAATCACTGCTGCGACTTAATGAGTCCCAAATATTAACTTTTTTCCTTCGACAAATTAAATTCTAAAACATTTTTTTTTGATGTATTAGAAAAATAAATAAAGACGTTTGAAGTATTTGTAGGTAAAAATTATTTCCTATTTTAGTGTAAATGGGTATTTAAATGAATAAAAGACACCATTCTGCTCGAATCAGTAACGTCTTATGTAGACAATGCACGCGCCATTGAGCCAATGATTGACGCCGCGTAATATGACGTCGTGTGTTGAGGGCAGTATTATTAATACATACCTTATCAAATTTAACTATTCATATATACATATAGATTATGAATATTCATATATACATATAGGTCATGAATATTCATATATACTAGGTCATGAATATTCATATATACATATAGGTCATGAATATTCATGTTTGGTTGATTATACAGAGATTATAATGTGAATAATACATACCCCATCAAATTTAACTCGGAATTCACGGCCACACTCTAGAGGAGTTGTATGTGCATCAAGATCTAATCCCCAATAGGCAAATGATTTCTCTATACGGAGATGTCGTATAGCATAATATCCAGCGTTTCTAATTCCATAATCTTTACCTGCATTCATCAAGGTGTCATACACATGAAGAGCATACTGAAAATAAAATCCATTAAAATTCTTAAAGCATTTATCTAGAACATCCTCAGTATCCCCAGTGGTCTCATTCCATTCTACTCAACTATACCCTGGGTTATCTGCCCTTGATCGTAGCTTGATTCTACAAACTAATCAAGAAACAGTTTACAAACCAGTCTTAGCCTCAATGTTTACGTTCACAACAATATGGTGGCTTAATATAAAAGAAGTGACAAGCACACAAAAAGATGTCCTAAAACATCTTTTTGATGGAAACGATGATTTTAGTGGCAAGTATTGGTTGACAAAATTAGCATAATCATCAAGGGTAGATAACTTGTATACATGTCTCCCCCATGGATGGACCCAGGGTATAATGGAGTGGAATGGATACATAGTTTATTGTGCTAATGAGAAATTATTTACGACAGACAAAGGGAAGGGGACAGACGTGATGGCAATATATGGACGGCAAAGGGACGTACAGAGGTGATCTTTAAGTGCCATTTAGAGATTGGGAAACACATTAACAGAACACAATTTTTATGGGAAACAGAACACAATTTTTATGAGAAACCAAGACGGGTGATTTCAACAACACAACATTAGAATGTGAGCGTATAATAAAATTACGTTTACCTCTGATGGAATATAAAGAATAAATCCATCTTCTCCTGCTTGTGGATGGACAGGGGTGAATGTGCGTGTATAATAAAGACAATATGATAAACTGAAACTTACCTCGGATGGAATATAAAGAATAAATCCATCTTCTCCTGCATGAGTTAATCTCATAGCTGTTATACCACCAGCATGGCCGACATCTATTATCTAATAATTATAAATAATTTCATTTTAACAATTTCTCCATGTGTTGCATTTATACTAAATAGAAAGAGAGAAATGGGGTTTAATGTCCACTCAACACAAACTAGGTCATTTCGGTACCAACATATGGTTCAATTTTATTTCAATAATTCACTTGCGTGTAGGGATCTTTAATGGTGGGAGGAAACCAGAGGACCCAGAGAAAACCCACGAGGTTGGACAGGCGACCCTACTCCTTGCCACGTACAACCAGGGATTCGAAACCACGCCAGTTGCAGTTAAGCCAGCACGACGAAAAAAGATGATTATCGGCGACCCCAGACTTTCACAACATGACAGTTGCCGTTAAGCTGATTACTAACTTTCAACTTCTGAGACGATAGTCGCCATTAAGCCAGCACAACAAATAAGGCGACGTTCGGCGGCTTTTTCATCATATTGGCTTGTCAGCGACCCTCCAATTTCAAAACACAAGAGTCACGGTTAAGCCAGAGCATTTAAATCAAAACATAATTTGAAATATCTTACTTTACAAGTCATGACATTGAAATCTTTTTTCGTTGTTGAAACATCCGTAACATCTGCTAATAGTTGTTGAGCATGTGGACCAATGACATTTATTCCTGAATACATGGAGGTAACATCTCGAACCTGAACGGATCCATCAGCAGGTAGATTACGTTGTAACCATGACAACGCTCTTGTCTGTTGTGTGGCTGGACATATCATGAAAAAGCTGTCAATAATAGAGGGAATATTTGTATCAGATTTTAAAACAGGTTTTGAGGGTACATACTCTGATAAGGCTCAATTGAGGAGGGGGAAGGAGGGTTTAACACAAACTAGGTCATTTTGGGACTATGAAATGAAATGGGGTTTAACGTCCTACTGTTCTGCTCCTATACTGGGCTAATGAAGACTGACATACGCCATACAGTGTGCTATGAGGGAAATTTGGCCCGGGCAGCGGCACTATCGCCTACTCTTATATCGAATTCCAACTGCCAAGGAATCTTTTACATGCATTCCAATGTATACACGGGACCTCGGTTTTTCGTCTCATCCGAAAGACTAGACAGCTGTCCTTGTCAGGCCCTCCGTTCTGCACCACTGACAAGGGGAAACCACGTCGGAAAATCCAGATGAACTTTCTATGCCAATGCAGGGATCGAACACTTGACCTCCAGGCTAGCGAGCCAGCATCTTAACCACCCAGCCACCGTGGCTCCCCATTTTGGGACTAACATAGGGTTCAATTTTATTTCAAATAGCATTGGGATGGAAACCGGAGCACCCGGAGGAAACTCACTATTTGGACAGGCAACCCTACTCCTTGTCACGTACAACCGGAGAATCGAAACCACACAACTTGACTCAATGACAGACCTTATGATCAAACACACACAAGCTAACCATTCGGCCATCCAACCCCCTTCATCTATATTAAAATATTCGCTTGCGCGCAGCTATCATTAGCTGTGAGAGGAAATTGGAGGAACCAGAAAAAACCCACAAGGACTTTCTAGTCAAGAGTCCAATGTCCATACTACCATGATCACTGCACTATCCCCAATTATCAACGTGTCGTCAGCTGAGAATTAACTAGTTCTATTTAAAGGCTCAGTACCACTCTTGTTGTAACTGAATAATATGTCCCAATCTTTATTCTGGTCAACAAATTGTACTATTTTAGAATATTTCAATTAATTGATGATATAAATTTCATCTTAACACACTTATTTAAAAATTTTGAAAAATTCAACATAATGGTTTGAAACGTCTAACGTAAACCATTTCAAATGAAACTTCGATTTAAAAATATTTTCGAACCCTCTGGACAAGTAAAATAGGATGTAATGGATAATTTACACAACAGGTAGGACACTTAAACATCTAGTACTTAGATAGAGATATTATTTATTTTCTGGAGCTTTCAAGCCAGCAAGAGTGTTATTGTCCCTTTAACATTTTTTCTAGTTCTGATGAAAATGAGTTTTAAGAATCAGGATTCTATAATTGTGTCAGTTAGTATCAATCCATTATAGCTACATGTAAATAACCAGACTAAAATCTCTAAATGTAACAGAAATATAGACCCTAAAACTTTAAACTCATTTTCCTCAGAAATTAATAAACTTTCAGAAAATGTTATGTTTTAATTAAGAATATATTGCAATACCATTTCTGGCCACAATACACAGCTCTAATATCTTGAAAAAAGAGAGAGGGAGAGAGGGAGAGAGAGAGAGGGAGAGAGAGAGAAATAGGGTTCAACATCCACTCGACACAACACAAACCATTTTGGGACCAACATATGGTTCAATTTTATTTCAATAATTCGTTTGTGCGCGGGGTCTGTAGCAGTGGGAGGAAACCGGAGAACCCCGGATAAAACCCACGAGGTTGGACAGGCGACAGGGGAATCGAAACCACGCCAGTTGACTCAATGACAGACCTTATGATACAACGTGCACATGCTAACCATTCGGCCATCCAACACCCCGCAATATCTTAAAAGAATATCATTAGCCACAACAATATCTATATATACTCACAAGTTTTTACCAATTCTTGCTATACTACAATCATTTTCGAATCCACCGAGTACATTCTGCATACCAGTATGTATAATACTTCCTGGTTCTAGAGCTATATTATTAGAACATAAATACTGTAAATAGTCCAACGCTTCTTTACCAGACGACTGAAACATGAAATTAAATTCGGCTTAACGTTCTACTTTTCACTTTAGGGGGGGGGGGGGGAGAGAGTCAGAACGGTTAACACAAAATCAAATGTTATTGTTAGTTAGTTGTATTTTACGTCCGCTTCCACCGAGGTGATATTGCAGACAACAAAATTGCTCCACTCTGAATTTAAGTCGGTACGATAAGAAACATGATCTCAATTATCCAGTTTTGGATTTAACCATCAAGTAACTTACCCAGACCAAAATCAACTCTTGATGTCATCGTTACCCTGCAATATCTAATTCAACGTAAAAATGGATAATCACACCAAAGTTAGTAATGACATTCAAGGCTAGCCTAAAATTGAATCATTAATTTCTTGGTTCAGAGTGAAGCAATTTGACTGAAATTTGCAGCATATTCTGTTTTGATTATCTATTTTTGAACTATTATAGCAAGAACTGTCAGTTCTTTACAAGTTGATTTTAAGTGGTTAAATTACCTCCCTTGACACACTTAAGGGAGATAATTCAAAACAATCAACAAACACCCTATCATTTGTTACAATCTTCGGTTTCTGGTTATGTCAGTTATGTTCGGAATTCTGATTCATCGAAATGAAATGTTGTTGTTCAAAATCAGATGTTAACTATTGTCGATAGAGCACTGACAAGATTCTACAAAATAATCAAGGGCTAAAACCCTGGATGTTATTATCAGAAATCATTTCAGGTCTACAGGATTCTTGTCATGTGTGTGTACAAAAAACACAACAGTACATAACATCGATTGTTAACACAAGGGCTATAACTCTGGATGTTATTATCAAAAATCATTTGAGGTCAACACCACATCACATTCATCGTTAACACAAACAAACAGGCCTGGAAATAACGGTTTTAGAGAGAAAGAGAGAAATGGGGTTTAACGTGCACTCAACACAAACTAGGTCATTTCGGGACCAACATATGATTTAATTTTATTTCAATAATTCACTTGCGCGTAGGAAACCGGAGGACCCGGAGAAAACCCACGAGGTTGGACGGGCGACCCTACTCCTGGTCACATACAACCAGGAATTCGAAACAACGCCAGTTGACTTAATGACAGGCCTTTTGATACAGCGCGCACGTGCTAACCATTCGGCCATCCAACCCCCCTTAACAGTTTTAGATGTACCTTACAAAATGTCAGGCACTAATAATGAAATAGTACCTGACATTTTAAACTTAGTGCCAGACATGTATTTATAATATCAATAAAAAAGACAAATCAGTGCCAGACAAAATGACAGACACCAGAGGTTTTGTGTCTGACAAAGCCTGAATCTGTGCTTGACATTGTCTGTGACAGGTGCCTTATTTCCAGGCTTGCTGAAACATACCTTTATTTCAAACTTGGCAAACGAAGACATATCAATTAAACAAACTCTTTCTTTACAAGCCATATATTCTTCTTGAGCAATTTCAAACCAATCAGGTTTTTTAAATGAACCTTGATGGATATATACATCTTCACCACGTTCTGTAATATTGTCATAAAATTATAACAAGGGCCATAACTCTGACAACAAATATCGGAAATAGATAGGCTTCAAATGATCTAATAATAGATGAAATGAAATGAAATGGGGTTTAACGTCCCACTGTTCTGCTCCAACTGGGCTAATGAAGACAGGCAAACACCAAACAGTGTGTTATGATGGAAATTTTGCACGGGCAGCGGCACAATGGCCTACTCTTACATCAAATTCTAACTGCCAAGGGATACCAATGTATACACGGGACCTCAGTTTTTGGTTCCATCCGAACGACTAGACGGCTGTCCTGGGGGGTCCTGCACCACAGCAAGAAAAAAACATGCCATAGAAATTTGTAATAATGAGTTTGAGGTGGAAGGAAATGAAATAAAATGGGGTTTAACGTCCTACTGTTTTGCTCTGAACTGGGCTAATGAAGACGGGAATACGCCATACAGTGTGCTATGATGGAAATTTGACTGGACAGCGGCACTACGCCCTACTCTTCAAAAGGGCAATGGATTTTTACGTGCACGCCAATGTACACACGGGACCTAGGTTTGTTGTTCCATCCGAATAACTAGACAGCTGTCCTTGTCAGGCCGTCCATCCAGCACCACTGACAAGGGGAATCCTACTAGGGTAAGACAGGACCTAGAATACATGAAGAGATAATTACTGGTCTGAATCCACATATAATGGAATTACCTCTCTTATCAGGATCAAACCACATGGGTCTTTCATACGCCATTGTTTCACCGAAACAAGCACCAGCTACCTCAAGTCTTGTATGTAATGGTGATGTACGTAATTTACGACCCGTCTTATAATCATCTCTAGGATAACGTAAAATATACTGTGTTCCTACAATAAATAACATATTCATTAGTTACATGAAAGTTTCATTTTGTTATTTTAGCACCATAGTATTCCCTTACAAACTACAATATTGTAATAGGAATCTCTGATAGGAATATCGGCATAAAAATGATTCAATTGCAAAGATACAGCTGTATGTGGAATTGAGATTTCATCAATAAGCATGCTGCCCGTTCGAACAGAATAGTTAAGCCTATTTTAAATCTGATGAAATCCAAGCTGGGAGGTTATCTAGCTTTGTTATTTTGTTTTCTTAATTAAATGTCAAATATTCAATCTGAGTACATGTACAAGATTCTATAGTGTGATCAAGGGCAATAACCCAGGAAGTTACCATCAAAAATCACAGAAATTCAATAGGATCTGTGTAAACTTTAAAATGATCTAATAATAAATGTAGTCTGTCAAGTGTTCACAAGAAATTGTGGACTACAGACTATGACCTGACAGCTATATACAAGCACTATATCAAAAGGGGGCGTATAATAAAATTGCGTTGGCCTTACCCAAGACCTCTTATGGATGGACCAACTTATGGACGAACAACAGCAACAGTTGAGTGTATAATAAAATTGTGTTGGCCTTATCTAAGACCACGAGGAGGTGCTCGATTCTCAGTCCGGAACGTCCCGAATTGACAGAATTGCAATCAAGAGATACGGAATTCGGCCCTGTCACAGTTCTGTCAGTCCCAACACCTGAGGTGGTGTGAATAGAATCGTGACGTATTTTAAGTAACAGATATGTTACAGCTGTCATGATTGGTTGAGATATCAATCGAGTATCCCCAGACTGTTCATAAGATGGACCAACTTGTGGATGAACAGTTTGGTGAATAATAAAATTGCTTTGGCCTTACCTAAGACCTCCCTCATTCTATCTTGTAAGAACTGTCTATTATTATGATGATCGACATAACGTCTGACGTCATACTGCCATAAATCAATACTAGGTTCACCATCTATAATCCACTCGGCCATATATTTACCTATACCACCACTACCTACAATACCTCTAGAATTCATACCTGCCGCTACATAATAATTATCTACCTGTAATTAATAATAACATGTCCATTGATATATTCACTAAACATACTCATGGCGAGGAATACACTAATAATATAACTAGTCATTTCAAGGAATAACATATGGTTTAATTTTATAAAGCCCCAAATTCACAAAACTTATTCATGGTGAAGAATACACTAGTGTCTTTAATATAACTCAAAACGAGAGAGAGAGAGAAATGAGGCTTAACGTCCACTCGACACAAACCACGTCATTTTAGGTCTAACATATGGTTCAAATTTAGTTCAATAATTTGTTTGAGTGTAGGGGTCTTTAGAAGTAGGAGGAAACCAGGGAACCCCAAGAAAACCCATGAGGTCGAACATACAACCTGTCTCCTTGAAACATACTAGCCACATGACTTAATGACAGACCCCTTTGATCTTACCTGTGCACCTTAAATCATTCCACCAAGTTCAAGAGAGAAATATTCAAAATGAAATTTTGTTTGTATTACATTGATCAGTGAGTCAATTTAAACAATAAGTTTTATTTTCTGGTTGTGGCTAAGTGGGTAAAACGCTGGCTTGCTAGCCTGGAGGTCTCGTGTTCGATCCCTGCATTGGCTGAGAAAGCTCATCAGGATTTTCCCACCTGGTGTCCCCTTGTCAGTGGTACAGGATGGAGGCCTTGACAAGGACAGCTGTCTAGTCGTTCGGGTGGGACGAAAAACCGAGGACCCGTGTATACACTGGTACAAAAGAATCCATTAAAAAAAACTTACTTCGGCCGATTCTCCGAGTATCCAATTTGAATCTGGAGTAAAACTCTCTGGTCCGTTAATCAGTTGACGAATTTCAGCATCTTCCAAAAATGGAAAGCGATGCAGAATTTGTTCCAAAAGAATTTCTAAAGAAATACAGAGAGAAAAAAATATTTTGTTTAACAAAGTTCTAAACATAGCAGACATCAAATTCAACGATCATTTGCATAGAACTTATTGACCTTCAGCTGGTTTTGATAATATAATATATTGACTTTTCAACTCTGTATATACTTCTGCTAGTCATGAACTGGCTGTGTTGTAATTAAACATTTAATTAAAGATACATTATGGGTGATTCGATAACGAGTTGGCATTTCTCACTATAATAGTTAAAAACTAGATAACTTAAAGGCAATTTGCTGAAAATTTCATTCAAATTGATCCACTATGAACCGAAAAGTAAGCGAATGAAATTTCTGCCTAGCCTCGGTCATCATTACTAAAGTCAGTACGATAAACAGCATAGTCTCGATTATCTATTTAATCTTTTAATCGAGAAGGAAAGTTATGCAGTAAATCGGCTCACAATCAACTGAAGATCGCAGGCTAGCGATGCCATCTAGAGTTGATTATGGTCTGGATAAGTTAATTAATGTCTAATTAATAATTTAGATAACATTTCAGGCATAAAGAACAGGGGCGGATCTAGGAATTTTGAAAAGAGGGGGCGCTGCAAAATGAAGGCATTGACCGCGGAGACGGGACACGCCGCTGTGGGGGGGGGGGGGTCCCCAAGAAAATTATTCGTCATTTCCTTGCATCTGTAGCCATTCCAAGAGCTATTTCCCAGACTGGTGTGTTTGAGTCGATGGTTTGAGTCATTTGGGATCCCTACAAGGGGTTGGGAACGGACATATTTGAGTCTGAGAAAAGGCAGTAAAAAAGGGCACTGTCGAAAATTAGGGGGGGCGCGCAGCCCTCGCGCCCCCCATTGAATCCGCCTCTGAAGAAAGACCTGCAATAGACAGATTTAGCTCTTGCATATTGTATGTTTAATTCCATTTGTTATTTACAAGCTACATATGATCTGTGTACAAGCTCTGCATGACTTCAAAGGAAATACGCATCTAGTCAGTTACTCATACTGTGACGTGATAAATAGACAGTTCCATTATGACCATGACTCTTATCCATTTTCACTATTGTCAGAGGCTATATAACAAGGAGTTTGCCCACAGTTAGACAGACAAGTAGGGAGGAGAAGAGACGCAGACGAGATATGAGAGAGACAGAGAGATGGGAGGAAGAGATGTGCAGAGACCGGCATATAGACAGCTGCCGGGGCAAAAGTAAGATTGTCTTAATGTACCATATTAATGTTATCGTTTATGTTCCCGATGTAGTTTAGTTCCGGTTGTATTTATGTAACTGTTTTATATACCTGATGTAAATAAATCATATATTCACTAAACTGATCTCTGTTATCACTAAAATAGTGTTACATGTACATTATGTACATGTACAATATTCTCTCAATGTTATCAAGCTAATATAGCATACTCTTCAAAACATCGCCTAAATAAATCAGTAGCCTTTTTTCCATAAGTATGTGTTTTGATTTATTATTCTACCCAGTTACTAAATAAATCAGTAGCTGTTTTCCATAGGTATGTGTTATAATTTATTATTCTACCCCGTTACTAAATGCCTCTAAAAGATCAAAGGATAATATAAAACTATGTTATTTAATATGGTACTCACGGAAATGGTCCCAATCTTCTTGTAAAAGTTGGAATTCAAATTTATCGGGAACACCAGTATGGAAAACTGGTTTAGACACAGGTTCAAATCCACCAGCAAGAATTCCACCATTCCATTCACGAGAATAAATATAACCATCTTGATCCCTTATAACTGAAAAAGAGAGACAGAGAAATGGGGTTTACCGTTTACCGTCCACTTGACACAAACTAGGTCATTTTGGGACTAACAAATGGTTCAATCTTATTTCGCAAATTCACTTCAAGTAGGGGTCTTTAGCAGTGAGAGGAAACCGGAGGACCCTGAGAAAACCAACAAGATTGAACAGGTGACCATACTCCTTGTCTCATACAAGGTGGAAATCGAAACCATGCCATTTGACTCAATAATAGACCTTATGATCCAAAGGGCATATGTAAAAATATTCGACCCCCCCCCCCCCATCTTCTTAATAATTGTACTGTTATGAGTAATCATTTTTGGGCATACGGGCATACACCATACAGTGTGCTCTGAGGGAAATTTTCCCCAGGGCAGCGGCACTATGGCTTACTCTTATATCGAATTTCAACTGTCAAGGGACCTTTTACGTGCAAGCCAATGCATACACAAGACCTCAGTTTTTCATTCCATCCGAACGACTAGACAGCTGTCATTGTCAGGCCCTCCTTCCTGCATCACTGAAAAGGAGAAACCACGTCGGCCAATGCAGGGAATGAACATGCGACATCCAGACTAGCGAGACAGCGTCTTACCCTCGTAGGCACCGTGGCTCCCCTCAATGACAGACCTTACGATCTAAAGCGAACACATTAGACCATTTAATCCACCAACCCCCAACCGGAAATGAAATGAAATGTGGTTTAACGTCCTACTGTTCTGCTCTGACTGGGCTAATGAAGACGGGCTTACACCATACTGTGTGCTATGAGGGAAAAATTTTGCATAGGCAGCAGCACTATGGCTTACTCTTATATCGAATTCCAACTGTCAAGGGAACTTTTACGTGCACAGAAAATAAAAGTAGATTAATATAGTACCTGGCATCATTCTGTCCACTTTCTCTAATGGTTTAGTGACCAGATAATAATGTTCACAAGAATGTAAAGGTACACGAACTTTAGGTACACTTCGTTTACCAACTTCACGAGCCCACTATAATAAATATTTATGGTAATAATATTTTAAAATGAAAGATTATTTTTTATTTAAAAAGTAGAGAAATTTAGCCAGACATAGTTGTATGTGTGTAACTTCAATTGAAAAAAATGTCATTTATTTTCATTTAAAGCAAGCCTTGATCCACTCTGAACCGAGAAATTAGCAATTCAATTTTGGGCCTAGCCTCGATCATCATTACTAAAGTCAGTGCGATAAAAAAAAACATAGTCTTGATTACCTATTTTTAGATTTAATTATGAATGAGCGAGGAGAAGCAGATCGGATTATAATCCAGTACATATCGCAGGCTAGCGATGATATCGAGAGTTGATTATGGTCTGGATTAATGTCTAATTAATAATTTAGATAACATTTCAGGCCTAAAAAAAGACCTGCAATTGGCAGATTTACCTCTTGCATAATGTATGTTTAAATGCTAACAGAAAATAAAAGATCCAGTCATCAACATCCCGTGTGCCGTTGGTGTTCGAAATGGGATGTAGTCAAAATGGAATTAGTAAAAAATGGGACGTAGTCAAAATGAGACGTAGTCAAAATGGGATGTAGTCGAATGGGGTAGTAGTCAAAATGGGATGTAGTCGAATGGGGTCATAGTTAAAATGGGATGTAGTCGAAATGGGATGTAGTGGCAATAGGATGCAGTCAAAATGGGATCTAGTAAAAATGGGATATAGTCAAAATGGGATCTACTCAAAAAGAAATGTAGTCAAAATGGGATGTAATCAAATGAGGGTGTTGTCTAAATGGGATGTAGTCAAAATGGGATCTAGCCAAATGGAATATAGTCAAAATGGAATACAGACAAAATGAGATGTAATCAAAATGGGATGTAGTCAAATGAGGGTGTAGTCAAAATGGGGTGTAGTCAAAATGGGGTTTAGTTTCAATAGGATGTACTCAACCATTTTACAAATTCTACATTACCTGACCAGCACAATTCACAAAATATTCACAATTTATTGTTCCTGCTGATGTCTTTACTCCTTTCACAACATCATTCTGGATTTGAATCTTTTCTACCATTACACCTTCTAAAATCTTTACACCTGAAACAAACATTAAACATACATTATGCAAGAGCTAAATCTGCCAATTGCCCGGTCTTTCTGTAGGCCTGAATTGTTATATAAATTATTAATTAGACATTAATTAACTTATTCAGGTCATAAACAACTCTCGATGGCATCAAATTTCTCCGATATTAAATAGATTAGAACAGTTCAGCCATATTTTGATTTAAGCTAAAAATGGAGGAGCGAGACTTAGCTTCAAACAACCAGTACAGTAGTTGAAATTATTGCACACGTCTGTGAAACCTTAAAGGTTAATATCTTCACTCACAATAGAGTAATTTAAATGAAATTTCCAAATTATATATTTTACATTAACTATTTTCGAACTATTATAGCAAGAATGGCTAGCTCTTTATCTAAATCTTACATAATGTATCTTCAATTAAACTTTACCTTTATCTTTGGCAAGCTTGGAAAATACCATAGCAACATCAGGAGCTGTAACTGCTCCATCAGATGGTATCCAAATTCCACCCTAATAAACAAAAAATCCAACATTCAAGGAATGAGATAAAAAGAAATCGTTGGTGAAGTGTCAAAAGGGTGTATCTCGGGAAATTAGTCAAATATACTTTTTTGCATTTTTAAAATCTCCCAATTAATAATAACCACATTTCTTTCTAAGCTGTGTATCTCTACGCCAATTAGAACTGTTCTGGGTATCATGTGTCCAAATGTTGTATCTTGATTTGTGGAAATTTTGAAATGAAAATGGTTCTATTTCTTAATCTTTAGAAATTCTTAGATACACCCTTTTGACACTTCACCGACGAAATGAAATGTAATGAAACATGGATGCCTGAGATAAAAGAGAGAACAAAAATATTTCAATTATCTTCCCAAAATTTCTCGTTAGTATATTTAAATCACAAAGTAAATTATTTCATGCGGTAATTAACAAGAGAGAAATGGGGTTTAACGTGCCACCGACACAAACTAGGTCATTTCAGGACTAACATCTGGTTTAATTTTATTTACATAATTCGCTTGCGCATAGGGGTCTTTCGCAGTGGGAGGAAACCGGATGGCCTGGAGAAACCCCACGAGGTTGGACAGGCGACCCTACTCTTTGTCACGTACAACTGGGGATTCGAAACCATGCCAGTTGACTCAATGACAGACTTTATGATACAGCGCGCACTTGCTAACCATTCGGCCATCCAACCCCCCTTAGGAGCAGGACAGTGTCTAGTCTTTTGGTGCCGTGCACGTAAAAGAGCACTTGACAGTTAGAATTCGAAATAAGAGTAGGCTGTAGCACGACGCTATCCGGGCAAAAATTTCCCTCATAGCACACTGCATGCCTATGCCCATCTTCATTAGCCCAGTCCATGCTGAAAAGTAGGACACTTAACCCCATTCATTTCCTTTCACTATCATACTAGTACCTCTAAATTAGGGGCCACGGTGGCTAAGTGGGTAAGATGCCGGCTCACTAGTCTGGAGGACACGTGTTCGATCCCTGCATTGGGCGAAAAAGTTCATCAGGATTTTCCGACATGGTTTCCCCTTGTCAGTGGTGCAGGATGGAGGGCCTGACAAGGACAGCTGTCTAGTTGTTCAGATAGGACAAAAAAAAATGAGGTCCTGTGTATACATTGGCATGCACGTAAAAGATCCCTTGGCAATTGGAATTTGATATGAGTAGGCTATAGTGCTGCTGCCCGGGCAAAATTTCCCTCACAGCACACTATATGGCGCATGCCCATCTTCATTAGCCCAGTCGGAGAAGAAAAGTAGGACGTTAAACCCCATATCATTTCATACCTCTAAATCATCAGATTTTAACAACGGGCACATCTGTTTAATCTCGTGTGGCGTCAGCATATGTACTTCTAAACCAGTGGCACTGTAAAGTAACAATATCTCAATAGATCAATTCATCCAGCAGGAGTTCATTTTAACGACGGCATGTTTAAAGCACCAAGTTATAGATCAATTCATTCAGCAGGAGTTCCTTCTAACAAGCACATGTTTAAAAGCACCAAGTTATACTCATCATAGACCAAAACTTCTCTTCTATTGGTTGAAGGTGTTATGATGTCATACTCTGTCCTTCCAACAGACGTGACCAATGAACATCATTATAATAATGCCTTTAAGATAGACACAGAAATTTCGTTCTATAATCTTTTTTTGATGAATGTATCGAAAAGAGAGAGAGAGAGAGAAATGATGTTTAATGTCCACTTGACACAAACTAGGTCATTTCGGGACTAACATATGGTTCAATTTTTTAATTCAATAATTTGGTTGCACGTAGGGGTTTTTAGCAGTGGAAGGAAGCCGGAGGACCCGGAGAAAACCCACATGGTTGGACAGGCAAACCTACTCCTTGTCACGTACAACCGTATGGTTTTTTTTTTTGTACTTTCGATGGCCTCTACTACATGAAGATCTGACCAGTTGTAGTGGGAGGTTGCATCACAGGTCATACCAGCGGCTTTTGACCCTATGACGTCAGACTTTTAATTAGCTAATCAGCATTGATGTTTCTACTCGGATATCCACCATTTCGTGCAACGTTTCATTGGTTTATCCCTCACATCAATTAGAACGCGGTTATATAACAAATCCTCCAGATCCTAGTGTAGTAAAGACAAGTAAAACAAAATTTTGACCTATAAAAAAATCAGCAGTGAACAGTCGCTAGGCCGCGACAATCACTGATAAGGATGACATGATGCGACTTAATGAGCCACAAATATTAACTTTTTTCCTCCGACAAATTAAATTCTAAAACATTTTTTTATGTATTAGAAAAATAAATAAAGACGTTTGACGTATTTGTAGGTAAAAATTATTTCCTATTTAGTGTAAATGGGTATTAAAATGAGTAAAAGGTTCCATTCCGCCCGAACCAGTAACGTCTTATATAAACAATGATTGACGCCACGTGATGAGACGTCTCGTGTTGAAGGTAGTCATCTTTTACAGAGATATTAGAAGACTTGCGTAATCCTCTGTGAAACAGATTGGTAGCTATGTAGTATAGTAGTACGACGTTTCGGCCCCACGACCATTCAGACTCCACACAAACCACCGTTCAGACTTAGTTACACAACTTTTTGGACTTCCTTAACCCCAAAGGCTGTTCGGATATCATCATAATAAACAAGTTACCGACAATAATAAATGACGAATAAATAAAACATTGCTGAAAATTTGTGTTGGCTATATTTAGTAATACTTTGTCGTTTTGGTTGACCGATCACAGCCAGTGTTTTTGTAAAATTTGTGAAAGAATGCCTTTTATGTGAAACCGAAAAATTGCAAATAAAATGTGTATACCTAGCAAGAGCATGTTTTCTTCTGAAGTCAATCATTCTATCATGAGTTCTAGCAAGATTAACACTACCACATTCCTTCCAGCCTAAAAAAAATAGTTTATAAATGTGCATATAGCCAATTCTTACATTAGCAAGGTTAAAAAATTTACTGGATAATCAAGACTTAGTCTCAATTGTCAAGTATCATTGCTATGATAATGAACAATCTTCGCTGCCTCTTCAAAAACTCATAACTTTGCTCTGAATAAAGTCATTTGAATGAAATTTTCAGTATATTCATTTTTCATTATCTATTTGTATATGTATTACAGCAAGGACGGCAAACTCTTTATCTAAATCTTAAATAATAAATCTGTAACAGGAAATATATATCCTCAAACAATCATAACTTCGCACATAATAAAGTAATTAACAATAGAACGGTCAGCTCTTTATCTAATGTATCTAAATCATACATAATACATCTCTTTAAAGATACATTATGCAAGAGCTAAATCTGCCTATTGCAGGTCTTTCTTTAGGCCTGAAATGTTATCTAAATTATTAATTAGACATTAATTAACTTATCCAAACCATAATCCAAAAATGGATAATTGCGACTATGTTTTTTTTATCGAACTGACTTTAGTAATGATGATCAAGGCTAGGCTTAAAATTCAAAAGCTAATTTCTCAAAGTGGAGCAATTTGACTGAAATTTTCAACATTTTCTATTTACGTTAATTTTTTTTTTAACTGTTATAGCGAGAACGGTCAACTCTTTATCTAATCTCCCATACTACATCTCGTTAATGGGAAATATATTGTATATAACATACCTAGTCCATGTCCTTCTTCCTCCAAACGTTTGTAAAGATTACGACTATAGCGAACCATTTCCATCTCTATAGTATTGCCACGAAGTTGTCCTATCATACCAGCTGAATGCCATGTTGTACCACAAGTTAAACTAAAATTAACAATTTCAATAAACAACGTCAAATTATATGGATACACAATTACTGAGTTTAATACAAAGCGACGTTTCGATGAAGATACTCTCAAAAATTGTACCTCGTGTTACCGTACTATGTTCAACAAGCCAACAGTGAGGCTGATGTCCCCCGCCGAAATCCCAAAATAAATAGACGACACATTTTAATTTATCGCACATTCATTTTTTTCAAAAGTATCAACACAAACTAGATCATTTCGGGACTAACATATGGTTCAATTTCATTTCAATAATTTGCTTGCGCTTAGGGATCTTTAGCAGCTGGAGGAAACCAGGGGACCAGGAAAAACTCATGAGGTTGGACATGTGACCCTACACCAGCTGTCTCAATGACGGACCTTATGATACAACGCGCACACGCTAACAATTCGGCCATCGAACATCCCCTTTAACTATTATAGCAAGAACTGTCAGCTCTTTACCTAATCACCCATAATGGCCCTTTAACTAATGGATGATATTAATATTAACTCAGATAACAATCTTTTTTTATGATACGTGACAATATGATGCGATAAATGATTGTGTCAATTTGATAAGTTCTTTTGTTATCTTTTGTTTATATATCACATGTCTAATAATCGTGTATCAAGTTAAAACTAGTTCTTATCATTGTCCAGATTGAGTTCAGTTTTTAAATAACTTTGCTGTATCTATACTTAAAACTTTCAATTTGCTCTAGATATCAGGGGACACAAGTCCTTAAAGGGACAATAACACTCTTGCTGGCTTGACAGCTCCAGAAAATAAATAATAGCCTTATTCTAAGTACTAGATGTGTTAGTGTCCTACCTGTTGTGTAAATTATCCATTACATCCTATTTTACTTGTCCAGAGGGTTCGAAAATATTTTTAAATCCAAGTCAAATTTGAAAAGGTTTACGTTGGGCTTTTCAAATCATTTAGTTGAATTTTTCCAATTTTTTTAAATTAGGTGTGTTAAGATGAAATTTATATCACCAGTTAATTGGAATATTGTAAAATAGTACAATTTGTTGACCAGAATAAAGATTGGGACATATTATTCAGTTACAACAAGAGTGGTATTGAGCCTTTAAAGATAAGCTGCCAGGTATGGATGAAATGAAATGTGTCTTAACGTCCTACTGTTCTGAAATGAAATGGGGTTTAACGTCCTACTCTTCTGAAATGAAATGGGGTTTAACGTCCTACTGTTCTGAAATGAAATGGGGTTTAACGTCCTACTGTTCTGAAATGAAATGGGGTTTAACGTCCTACTGTTCTGAAATGAAATGGGGTTTAACGTCCTACTCTTCTGCTCCTACTGGGCTAACGAAGACGGACATATACGCCATGTAGTGTGCTATGGACAGTGGCACTTCAGCCTACTCTTGTTTCGAATTCCAAATGTCAAGGGATCTCTTACGTGTACGCCAATGAGTACAACACGGGACCACGGTTTTTCATCCCATCCGAATGATTATACATTGTCCCTTGCCAGGCCCTTGGTCCTACATCACAGACAACACACTAACTATTCGGCCATCCCACCCACCTGGTCCTCAGGTTTACTCCAGCATCGTGGGTTTACTCCTGGTCCTCCGGTTTCCTCCCACTGCTAAAGACCCCTAGGTAGAAGCAAATTATTGAAATAAAATTTAACCATATGTTAGTCCCGAAATGACCTAGTTTGTGTCTAGTGGACTGCTGAAGAACCTTACGTGCAGGGGGGTTAGATGGCCGAATGGTTAGTGTGTGTGCACTGTGTCATAAGGTCTGTCATTGAGTCAACTGGCGGGGTTTCGATTCCCCGGTTGAGCGTGACAAGGAGTAGGGTCACCTGTCCAACCTCGTGGGTTTTCTCCGGGTCCTCCGGTTTCGTTCCACTGCTAAAGACACCTACGTGCAAGCGAATTATTCAAATAGAGTTGAACCGTATGTTAGTCCCGAAATGGCCCAGTTTGTGTCGAGTGGACATTAAACTCTCTCTCTCGCTCTCTCTCTCTCTCTCTCTCTCTTTTACCAAGCTTAAACATGCATTATCCAATTTATTAATTCTTTAAATAGGCATTATTCAAGAGAGAGAGAGAGAAATAGGGTTTAACGTCCACTCGACACAAACTAGGTCATTTTGGGACTAACATACGGTTTAATTTTATTTACATAATTCGCTTCCGCGTAGGGGTCTTTAGCAGTGGGAGGAAACCGGAGGACCCGGAGAAAACCCACGAGGTTGGACAGGCGACCCTACTCCTTGTCACGTACAACCGGAGATTCGAAACCACGCCAGTCGACTCAATGACAGACTTTATGATACAGCGCGCACACGCTAACCATTCAGCTATCCAACCCCCCATTATTCAAGAGCTAAATCTGCCTCTTGCTTGTCTTTCTTTAGGCCTTAAATGTTATATAAATTATTATTTTAACATTTATTAACATGACAAGACTATAATCAACTTTTTAGGTCATCAAATGGTCTAGATTTTCAATGGACAGCAATGATAATCAAGTCTTCGCTATTCTCCAAACTGCCTTAACGTCGCTAAGATTGAAGTAATTTGACTGAAATTTTCAACATATTCCCTTTTCATTATCTACTTTATAACTACTATAGCGAGAACTGTCATCTTTATGTAAATCATACATGATGTGTCTTTAAACTATCCATGGTGCCTGGTTAATAGAGTCTTATTTTAGTATTAGAACAGCATCTTTTAAAGTTACAATTTCATATTTTTAAGTTATATTTTTAAAATGTATTAAAATAAAGCCCTAACATAGATGGTATCTATAGAGAGAGAGAGAGAGAGAGAGAGAGAAATGGGGTTTAACGTCCACTCGACACAAACTAGGTCATTTCAGGACTAACATATGGTTTAATTTTATTTACATAATTCGCTTGCGCGTAGGGGTCTTTAGCAAGATGGTATCTATAAACAGTCCTACCTTGTTAAAAAATAATCCAATTTATCCTATAATTCACTATTGCCAGTTGAGAAATTGGCAAAAATATAATTTTCAACTTCAAATTCCAACGTTTAAAGATAGCTATTCAATGGTGGAGAATAGGTAAACAAGGGAGGTAATTGTGTTACTATTTCCGGCGTGAAGATTTTTAAGTGTGAGAAAGATAACCTATGATCGTATAATAGTGAGTTGACAACCTATTGAGCAAAAGACATAGAAATAATTATGTTTTGACTATCTTAGAAAATATGAAATTGTAACTTTAAACTATCCGCTGAAGAGCCTGGTTAATAGAGTCTTATTTTAGAGTTAGAACAGCCTAAAATAGAAATGGACACAGGCAGCTGGTTAAAAGCAGCAGCAAAAGAGAGACATTGGTTTAACGTCCACTAGACACAAACTAGGTCATTTTGGGACTAACATACAGTTCAATTTTATTCCAAATGATCCCGAGAAACCCCACAAGGTTGGACATTATTAATTCGGGACTAGCATATGGTTTAATTTTATTATTTTATTTCAATAATTCGCTTGCATGTAAGGGAGAGAAAGAAAGAGAAATGGGGTTTAACGTCCACTCGACACAAACCAGGTCATCCTGGGACCAACACATGGTTCAATTTTTATTTCAATAATTCGCTTGCACGTAGGGGTCTTTAGAAGTCGGAGAAAACCCATGAGGTTGGACAGGCGACCCCGCTGCTTGTCACGTATAACCAGGGAATCGAAACCACGCCAGTTAACTCAATGAGAGACCTTATGACACAGTGCACACACGCTAACCATTCGGCCATCCAATCCCCCTGCACGTAAGGGTCTTCCGCAGCCCACTAGACACAAACTATGTCATTTCGGCACTAACATATGGTTAAATTTTATTTTAATAATTCGCTTCTACCTAGTGGTCTTTAGCAGTGGGAGGAAACCGGAGGACCAGGAGGTAACCCACAATGTTGGAGTAAACCTGAGGACCAGGAGGAAACCCACGATGCTGGAATAAACCGGAGGACCAGGAGAAAATCCATGATGTTGGAGAGGCAACAGCAGCAAAAGAGTTAAATAAGTTTATACACACCTTCCCTGCTCTAATAATACTATATCTGTCCACCCTCTCTCTGTTAAATGGTAGGCAACACTGGATCCTAGAATACCTCCACCACATATAACAACTCGTGCTTCTTTAGGTAGGGGAATAGCCTCTCTTTCCAGCGACGACACTGTACCAGTAGAATACCGTCTGCTATTCTGTAAACGATGAACGGCACCCAATCCACTTCCATTGAATAGAATTTCTTGAAACCTGCTCCGACTTCCAAAACCAGGGTACGCACACTTTTTGTGAATATTAAGACACTGACGAAAGATGTGCTTCACCTCCATGATGACGATGATGACGACTTTACAATAAAATTTCTACAAACCTTCGACCACTATATGCTTTTTCTACACCTTCTTAAACATTGATGTGCATAAATACACCAAGTCAGGTTACTCTGTACTTCTTTGTCAAGTGCAGCATTTTGAAGTTTAAGCTTGTTGTTAAAATCCCTTGAATTTATATGCAGAGAAATGAACCAGTTTTATCCAGATGTTACATAAATCGTTTATTGGCTGGTAAATTAATAAACCATATATATATATATATATATCTAGATAACAACAATATCACATTTATAGTTATACGATATACCATGTACATGTACGACTGATGAACTTTTTAAAGTGGCGTTCTGTGGCTGATAAACATAACTATATACCTGTTGAAAAGAAATATATATTTAAACACACATTATGCAAGAGCTAAATCTGCCTTTAGGCCTGAAATGTTCTATAAACTATTAATTAGACATTTATTAACATGAAAAGACCTTAATCAACTCTCAATACCATTGCTAGCCTGCGATATTGACTGGATTGGAATACATTTTGTGATGGATGATTTAACGTCAAAATGGATAATGGAGACTTTGTTTTTTATCGTACCGACTTTAGTAACGATGGACGAGAATAGGGCTAAAATCCAATTGTTAAATTCTCAGTTCAGAGGGGATCAATTTGACTGACATTTTCAGCAAATTCCCCTTACATTATCTATTTTTTAACTATTATAGCGAGAACTGTCAGCTCTTTATCTAATCTTACCTTATGCCCCTTCGACTTTTGACTGTTGATCATAAAATTAGTTTTAAGAGGGAAAATTTGCTTTGACAGCCATGGGCCTAGATTTAGGGGGAGGGGGAGGGACGGGGGGATGAAGAAGGTCCCTTCTCCCATGATTTTGACCGCCAGGACAGATTTTCAGGTTTATATCCATATGATTGTCCCATTCTGAAATTCATAGAGAACAGTCCTGATCGTAGAAAGAACGTCTTTGGACGATTCACTTAACTTCATCAACAATTAATATTTATGCAGCTTTTCCATATCGTCATCATATTACCCCTAGTTACAGCTTTCATCGAAATAACACTGGTACTGGTTCGTCCATCCTCCCCCCTCCCCGCCCCAAAAGTTATGACAAATCCACGTCCTTGTTGACAGCTACGCTACAGCCTACTCTTATTCGGAATTCCTTTACATGCACGCCAATGTGTTTCTTGTACCATCTGAATAACTAGACATCACCCTAGTGGATGGCCGAGTGGTTAGCACATGCGCGTTGTATCATAAGGTCTATCATTGAGTCAACTGGCTCGGTTTCGATTCCCTGGTTGTACGTGACAAGGAGTAGGGTTGTGTGTCCAACCTCGTGTGTTTTCTCCAGCGAATAATTGAAATAAAAATTGAACCATATGTTAGTCCCGAAATGACCTAAAGTAAAGGTCTAAAACTTAATTAATCTATATGAAAATGAAACTAACACAAAAAAAAACAATCAGCTACTTGGAATAAATTTATCGCATCAGTTATATTTTATTTTAATATCTTTCGTGAAGATCTTCTCTGGTTGGTTGTCTTTTACTATACATGTTGTTCAGCCATGTTCATTTTATTTCTATCTCTAGGATAAATCAGTTAATTAATGCTGCCAACTGTCTTTCTTCAGTCAATCGTACTGTATGATGAATGCGGTATAATCATATTAGTGACAAACTGTTAACGCCACGAACAACATTCAATTATCAACATGAAGACTCATGCATCAACATCCCTTTCGCATGGAAACACAAAAATTGTTAAATTGGATTGAGTAATTTCGACATACATGTACACTATAGAGTGTGATACAAAGGAAATTTTGCCAGGACAGGGAGTAGGGACGCCTGTCCAACCTTTTGGGTTTTCTACCAGTCCTCCCACTGCTAAAGACCCCCTACATGCATCGGTTACCTCCCTTTACCCCTGAGGTCCTTAAATCTTAAGAGCTGTAAATAGTGGAGAAAGGAATCGAAACCACGCCAGTTGACATAATGACAGACCTTATGATACAATGCACACAGTCTCACACGCTAACCAATCGGCCATCCAACTTCCCTCTAGACTGCTAATGTTAAAAGAAAATAACGATGTATATAATATGTTTCTTTGTACTTGTACTATTTTTGTATATTTGATATAAAAAAAGGTAGCTGATGAATTTATCTGAAATAGGCTAATTCAAAACACAAAAGAAAATATCAAAGCGAGAATTTCATAATTATTTCTATGTCTTTTGCTCAATAGATTGTCAACTCACTATTATACGATCATAGGTATCATTCTCACACTTATAAATCCTTGACCCCGGAAATAATAACACAATTACCTCCCTTGTTTTTCTATTTCCCCCATGGAATAGCTATCTTCAAACGTTTGAATTTGAAGTTGAAAATGATATTTTTGCCAATTTCTCAACTGGCAATAGTGAATTATAGGATTAATAGGATTATTCTTTAACAAGGTAGGACTGTTTATAGATACCATCTATTTTAAGACTTTATTTTAATACATTTTAAAAATATAACTTAAAAATATGAAATTGCAACTTTAACATGAATCTATTATAGCGAGAACTGCCAACTCTTTAATCTTCCATAATAGTCCTGGATCTGACTATGGTTCTGTAGGAAAGTTTGAGTATGGAGAATCTTTTTGAAGAAATGTTTTAAGGGTGCCGAAGTAGGTATTTTGGACTTGGGTGGACGTACACTCACCACGTGGTAGGTTATTCCCTATGACATCATCAAAGATGGCCGCCGACGTTATTTCAATTTCATCCTACGAGGGGTGATTGATAAGTAGTGAGTCTAACACAGAAAGAAACAAGAAATTCAAATCAAATGCATTTATTTTTCAACATAGTCCCCCTTCAATGTAATACACTTCTGCCATCGGTGTTGCAGAGCCTTTATTCCAGTTCTGTAGAAGTCTTTGTCTTGGGTGTGCAGAAAATCATCCACAGCGGCAATGACGTCATCGTCAGACAGGAAATGCCTACGGGAAAGACATTTCTTCAGAGCAGGAAACAAATAAAAGTCTGAGGGAGCTAAATCAGGAGAGTAGGGTGGATGCTGGAGAAGTTGAAAACCACAGTCATGGATTGCTGACATGGCAACAGCTGATTTGTGCACTGGCGCATTGTCCTGGTGGAAAATCACACCTTTGGTCAGCTTTCCTTGTCTTTTGGTCTTAATTTCATGCCTCAACGGCAGAGTATCTACCGTTAATTGTTTCACCCTTTTGGAGGTAATCCACCATGAGAACACCCTCAGAATCCCAGAATACTGAGGCCATCACCTTTCCTGCCGATGAAACAGTCTTTGCCTTTTTTGGGGTCGGTGACGTCACATGTTTCCACTGTTTTGACTGCTCTTTTGTTTATGGCTGAAAGTGTTGGACCCAAGTTTCATCCATTTAAACAATTTGTTTTAGGAAGCGGTTAGGATCGGTTTCAAATAAGGCTAGATTCTCTTCTGACATGATGTGTCTTGAACGCTTTTGATCAGGCGTCAAAAGCTTTGGCACCCATCGTGCTGAAATCTTTGTCATTTCCAAAGTTTCATTGATAATAGAATGAACTCTCTCCTGGCTAATATCAACTACCCCAGCTATGAATCGTTCAGTAACTCACGGGTCATTCATTATCAGATCATGGATTTTTTGTACCATTTCAGGTGTTGACACAGTTTTTGGTCGACCAGGGCGTGGTTCATCTTCAATGCTGTCTCAAATTCAGCTGACCACCTTATAATTGTGGCATATGAAGGAGCATCATCTCCTAATGTCTCAACCATATCATCATGTATGGCTTTCGGTGTTAGACCCTTTTTATGCAGATACTTAATCATAGCTCTCGCCTCGATATGGTCCATTTTTTGATAACAACAGACCCTAATTGATTGTTATGACCTGTCACAACCAAACAGTTTAACCGAATGTGATGAAAGTTGGTGACAGAGCCCGAGGAACATAATAGTGCATGTGCAAAACGTGGTATCATTGTGTTGCACGGTTTTCCAATCAAGGCTCACTACTTATCAATCACCCCTCGTACCTGCTCTAGTTTTCTGTCCAGTTCTATGAAATAAAGGCCAAAATGAAGCTGTTTATGTGAACTTATTTGAAGAACATATTTTTTGGTAATTTTTTTTCAAGAAAACACATTATACCTAATTTTGAAGTGAAAACATGGAAAAAGTTCAAAAATATAATCCTATTGATTTTCAACAAATTCTGATAATTACTGCCAGAGTTCTGGCCCTTGATCACTTTGAAAATTCTTGTGGTCGCTCTAGGGGCTACAGTTAATGTCCGTTTGACTTTGAATTTATAGGTCACGAGATGAAGAAACCTATTGATTTTCAACAATTTCCAATAATTACTGCTGGAGTTATGGCTTTTGATCACTTTGAAAAATCTTGTAGGTGCTCTAGAGGCAAAAGTTACTATTTAAATTTCTTGTTCACAATAAAGTATTTATGAATATTACTCTAGTTTTCTTAAACATACATTATGCAAGAGCTAAATAACTTATCCAGACCATAATTAACTCCCGATGGCATCGCTAGCCTGCGATCTTTAGTGGATTATGACCCAATTAACTGCATAACTTTCATTCACGATTTAACGATTAAATGGATAATTGAGACTGTGCTGTTTACCGTACTGACTTTAGTAAACATACTAAAATATCGCAAACTGAGCACACAGAAAAGAGTATGTTCATTTTGCATCAAACAGTATTTTAACCAGCTTTGGTGGAAAAATGTTCTTTATTTCACAGAATCAAGGGATGAAAAAACTACTAGACTGTAAAATTTTATAAGGCTCCTATGTTGCATTGTATTCATGACGCCTATTTCATACAAAATCGTATTTTATATCCAAGTGGACCTTCCGTATAAACATTATCAGCATAATTAGTTTATGAAAATACACATTTAAATATTATCTACCACCTGTAGCGATTTCCACTCAAACTAAAAATAAATTGTTAATTAGAATTTTCAATTAAACGGAAACGATCTTGTTGCTGTATAATATTCAATCAAAATACCAAGTGTTAATTCATATGATGATTTAAAGATACATTATGGAAGAAAAGATAAAGAGGTGGCAGTTCTCACTATAATAGTTCAAAACTAGATATTGGAAAGGGAATTTGTTGAAATTTCAGTCAAATTGATCCACTATGAACCGAAATTTTAGTGATTGAGTTTTCGGCCTAGCCTCGATCATCATTACTGAACTCTGTACGATAAAAACATGGTTTTCGATTATCTATTTCATGATTAAATTATGAATGGAAGTCGTACAGTAAATCGGAACCTAATCCAATAAACATCGCAGGCTAGCGATGCCATCGAGAGTTGATTGTGCTCTTTATAATTAATAATTTTGATAACATTTCAGGCCTAAAGAAAGACTTGCAATAGGTAGACTTAGCTCTTGCATAATGTATGTTTAAGGTCTATCCCTATCATGTAAATACAAAAACATGCGTATCTTTCTGCATGAAACGACAACAAATTGTTTATTGGATAAATGGAAACAAATCTTTTTTTCTATTTTATACCTGTAAAATAATATATGATTTATCATTTTATATAGCATATCACTTCTGATGATTAATTAAGTAATGCGGGAATTTGCAACACGTTTTAACATCCTATCTTTCCCCTCCCTGCTAGGGATGAGCTGAACGGGAGTATGGTAGTTTCAGGGGTCCCAAAAGTAGTTAATGTTCATGAATTTACGTGGTTTTTGATGAATTACTAAGGTTGCCGCAAGTTAAATATGTGCAGCAGCTAGAAACACCAAGATATACTCTAAAAAGCACAATTTACAGTCAGCTTTTCTAAAGAAATTTTGCGCCTGTTCAGAGAGAACCCCACACTTACGGAGCAAGGTTCACTACGCTCCTGGGATATCATTAGGTGCATTTTTGCCCATTTGTCTAATGTCCATTGCTGATGAAAAACAGTATTGTTGTGGCAATCACAAGAACTTGTGAAATGCATAACAGACAATCTTATCGGAAATTAATTTTTGAACCCCATATTGAATTCAGTAATTCTAGACCAAAAAATCAACAAAAATGGGCATGCAAATGGGGAAAACAGACAGAGAGAGAATTGCTATAAATAGAGGAACTAGTACAATCTGTGGGTACCGAGATGGTGAAATTTAATGGTGGTCTGCCCCCCTCTAGTGGATACATGGAGGCAGACAAATTGTAGTTTGTCTATTTATAGCAATTCTCTCTCTGTCTCTTTTCTCCCCTTTTGCATGCCCATTTTTGTTGATTTTTTGGTCTAGAATGGACGAAGAGGGTTTGAATTAACATTTTCTGCCAGGTTTTGGTAAATATTCATGATTTTGAGGCGGAAAGGATAACAGGGTTATCAGGTTGGCTACGGCGATATCAACGGCGATATGTACGGCAACTAGTTACATGTTTTTAGTATGCTTCTTCAAGTTTGTGTATCTCAAAATTTTGGAGGTCAACCTCATACAAATTTTAGTGCAAAGACATGACCATTTGTTCCTCTCTCTGTAGTGAAAAATATTCAGCCAAATGAAAATTTGGGGAAAAGTTGGAGGTGGGCAAAGAGGCCAGAATTAACATTGAAGTCAATGGGGAAATTAATGGTGGTCTGCCTCCACATCTAAAGGCTGGTTACCTCCCTTTACCTCTGAGCTTCTTAAATCTTAAAGAGCTGTAATTAGTGGAGAAATACCACCCAAAGCTCAACAGTTTGGTTTTTTTGAGAGAGAGAGAGAGAGAGAGAGGGTTAAGGTTCACTGGTCACAAACTAGGTCTAGGTCATTTTTGGACTAACATATGGTTTAATTTTATTTCAATAATTCAACTTGCGCGTATGGGTCTTTAGCAGTGGGAGGAAACTGGAGGGCCCGGAGAAAACCCACGAGGTTGGACAGGCGACCCTAGTCCTTGTAAAACCAGTGAATTGAAACCATGTCAGTTGACTTAAATGACCGACCTTATGATACAATGCGCACACGCTAACCATTCAGCCATCAAACCTCCAAAGACCTCTAAAGGAACAGCAATATTTCCATTTTGAATGTTAAAGAAAATAAAGTTGCAATGTATATAATATGTGTTTCTTTGTATTTGTACTATTTTTGTATATTTGATACCAAAAAAAAGGTGAATTTATCCGCAATAGGCTAATTCAAAACACAAAAAAAAATATTAACATGAAACTATTATAGTGAAAACTGCCAACTCTTTATTAAATCTCCAATAATGTCCCTTTAACATGAAACATGTGGTTATTAAAAGGCTTAACCCAATGATAAAACTCATCCCAATTTTCCGACGTGGTTTCCCCTTGTCAGTGATGCAGGACGGAGGGCCTGACAAGGACGGCTGTCTAGTCCTTCGGATGAGACGAAAAACCGAGGTCCCATGTATACATTAGAATGCACGTAAAAGATCCCTTGGCAGTTGGAATTCGATATAAGAGTAGGCGATAGTGCCGCTGCCCGGGCAAAATTTCCCTCATAGCACACTGTATGGCGTATGCCCGTCTTCATTAGCACAGCATAGGAGCAGAACAGTAGGACGTTAAAACTCCATTTCATTTCATTTCCAGTAAAGGTAATATATTTTCTTAAAATAAGAATAATATGCTGATGAATTTATTTGAAAATACCTACTCAAACACAAACGAAAATATTTACATGACATGCACATTTTTTCCTAGAAATTTGCAATTATTCGGTTTCACATAAAAGGCATGGTACTCTTTCACAAAGTTTTTAAAAACATCAGCTGTAATTGGTCAATCAAGCTCGTTTACTATTTGATAAAAGAAAAACAACAAAATATTACTAAATATACCCTACACAAATTTTCAGAAATGTTTTATTTATTCGTAATTTATTATTGTCCGTAACTTGTTTATTATGATGATGTTCGAACAGCCGTTTGGGTTAAGGAAGTCCAAAAAGTTGTGAGACCGAGTCCAAACCGTCGTTTGTGTGGAGTCCGAATGGTCCTGGGAACTTAGTTGTTCTTAGTGTTTAACGTCCGCATCCACTTAAGGTGATATCGCAGACAGGTCTTATTTCTTTTTTTTTATTATCTTAGCGCACGCACAGGGGTCTTTCCTGTGGGAGGAAACCGGAGTATCCGGAGTAAACCCACAAGGTATGAGAAGGCGCCCCTATCTCCAAGTCACATATGCTTACACCTGGGATCAAAACCACAGCCGCAAGCCAGAGGTGACTGGCCAGCTAGAGGTCGAAGCGAGGCACTCTACAACACTAGGCCATCCCAACCCCCCTGGCACGAAACGTTGTATACTAGTACTAGTACTACGCAACTGTCAATGATCATGCCCCATGCTATGTGGGTGAGACAATGTATGCCCTACTGGCTGTAACTTTGCTGCACTAAATAGAATGGTTTGACCATAATTTATCTCCCTATCTCACTTCTCATACTGTGGTATATGACTACTTACCTGAAATTCTTTTTTCAAAAAGTCAATTCTTCACTGTAACTCACTGACAACCTGTCATTGTCGGTCAATCGGCTAGTTCAGTCTCAGACCATAGTATAGAATTCTCAATTCTGCATGACTAGCAAACTGATCTTATTCAACCGAAGTTATTGTGTAAACTTTCAACATTGCACCGATCAGTACGTCACTGGGGCCGATTACATTCTATTGATCGCATGTTTCAACCTTGCTCCCCTCGAGTTGCCTAGGAAGTTAAAATTGTAAACATTAATAATATTGTCAAACGGTGAGTAAAATTCTGTTTGACCTTGACCCGTCGTGACCTTTCTGTTGACTAATCACATTCAACTAGATCTGGCTCATCGAGACTACATTAATAGAACTACACAACAAGTTGTACTGATTCTTTCGATAATAAGTTATAACTTTATGATTGATATCAAACGAAAACTGAAAGATTCTGGACAGACAGAAACTTATTCTAATACTTTGAATAGGCCTATTTAAGAAGCATTATTCATGAGCTAAATCCGCCAAAATTGCAGGTTAATTAGACATTTATTAACAAGACAAGACCATATCAACTCTTCTTGATGCCATCGCATGGCTCCGATTTTAAGTAGATTAGAACGTATCGGCCATTTAATATTTTAATTTAAAAATGGAAAAGCCAGGTTAAGCCTCGAATAACCAACCCCGTGTTTACGATTATAAACAATCAATGCACACGCCTTGTCAAAACTACAAACTTTGATAACTTCGCTCAGAATAAAGCAATTTGAATGAATTTTTCAATATATTCATTTTGCATTATCTATATTTGAATTATTATCGCAAGAACGATCAAATCTTTATCTAAATCTTACATAATGCATCTTTAATCTCAAGGAGATCCACACTCAAATCGCAAAATTAATGAGAGAGAGAGGGGCGGGGGGGGGGGGGGGGGGGGGTTAACGTCCACTCGACACAAACTAGGTCATTTCGGGACTAACACATGGTTCAACCTTATTTCAACAATTCGTGTGTGTGTAGGGGTCTTTAGTGGTGGGAGAAAACCGGAAGACCCGGAGAAAACCCATAAGGGCAGGCGACCCTACTCCTTGCTACGTACAACCAGTAAGGTCTTATGTAAAACAATGCATGCGCCATTGAGCCAATGATTGACGCCGCGTCATGAAACGTCACGTGTTGAATGTAGTCATCTTTTACAGAGATATTAGAAACACAGATTGGTGCTAACCCTTCGGCCATTCAACCCCCCAGCTGTATTGGAAAGTTATTTATTCATACTATTCGTAGAGATCAACTCGGTTCCCGGTTCTTAAATATTGTTAATGACATTTAGTACAAAAAAAATTCAGAACCATTTTTTTTCCTTTGACAGTACTGTAATTACCATAAGATTACAGTAACTAGATTTTTTACTTTTTTTGTGGCCTGGATATTTGGATGGCCCTAAGGCACGTGCAGTTAATCCGGCACTCGTGAGCCGTCCATTTTTTGGGCAAATGTATTCTCTTTTTTCGCACTCGGCAAACCTCAGCAGATTCCGTTACTCTACATGACGGTAAGTGATATGTATCTACGCCTACAATTGCGATGCGGCACCGGTTTACTTATTAGGAAAATTTGTCGCTTCTTAAACCAAGTTCTCAAAATTGCGTCGTTCGCAGAGTGTGTAGAATTTTCAGTGCAAAGTTGTCCTTGTTTGAAGAAAATCGGATAAACTTGAAAGTAAAACCGCTTCAGACATCGAAATGAAACATTCCTCAAAGGCGTCGTCATGGGCAACGCCGTTGGTAATCTGGGAACTTGAATCCGCCAAGGTTTGCCGAATGCGTTTTTTCGGGCACAAACAGGTAAGCGTTTTTTTCCATCCACTGGAGCCAGGTGTTATGACGTCATATGTGGATTGTGGGTTAGGAATGGTCCAGGGTTAGGGTAAGAGCTGTGGCCTGCAGATTTCGATGTAGACAGGGCTAGCCCTAACCCTAACCCTGGACCATTCCTAACCCTTACCCTAACCCATAATCCACATATGACGTCATAACACCTGGCTCCAGTGGATGGAAAAAAACGCTTACCGCACAAACATCAGAGAATGGGGAGCATTTTTGCTTAACATGTTGTTAATTTATGTTGTTGTGTAATTAATTAAAAATAAACATCCGTCACATATCTTTGTGGAAAATTTGTTTTACCGGGTAGTTAATGACTGATTCATTCTGAAAATTCGGGTGATAAAGAAAATGTTCGTGCAAATAACTTGCATTGGCTCCCTATGCCTATAACTTCCAGTGTAGCTAAACCTCTCTTCTTTGGCAACCGGAAATTGACACCCATGGATTACAACGCATATAATAATGTAATATAAATGTATATAAACGGATTTAGATTCAATTGTTTCTGTTTTTACTCTAATTTCTAATCAGTTCTGTTGGCGAAATACGCAAAGAGACCAAATTGAATGGCAGTCTTTGGCGTCTGGTTATTCCAGTCTTCATCGGTAGTATTCTCCTGTGGGATATGTTTAGCCTCATTGCAAATGGCGCTCGAAAGCATTTTAAATTTTTCATTTTGTATTAAATATTGGATATCTTTTCATCAATGTTGATTTAAATTGACCAATAAGTCGTGTTTGCAATGTGGATGATATTGAGTTAGCGACCTGCCTCCTTTAAACCACTATAGTCACACGGGACTGATCATGAAATGAAATGAAATGGGGTTTAACGTCCTACTGTTCTGCTCCTAACCTGGGCTAATGAAGACGGGCATATCAGGCCAAGTTAGATAATGGCAACAAAACTAATAAAGAAAACATAATTAGCCATTTTCTCTTAACAACACCCCAAATGTTATGGCTCAGTAAGTAAGACGTTGGCTGGGGATCCCGCATGTTGGCTGAGAAAGTTCATTTTACGGCGTGGCCCCCCCCACCCCCCGTTGTCATGGAACAGGAATATGTATAGTCATCCGTCCGGGGCGAAAAAAAACAAGGTCCCGTGTGACTTAGACATTGACGTCCACGTAATACATCCCCTGGCAGTTGGAATTCGATATAAGAGTAGGCGGTGGCACCAATGTCCAGGCCAAAAAAAAATTCATAGCAGAACAGGAAGTACTCATTTCATTTCGTTTAAATAATTATAGTAAAAAATGACAACCATAGCTTTCAAAATTTATTAACAAAAGGCTTCAAAATAAATCATTTAACAAATATAAAAATTATTTAAATTGTAAATATTTATAAAACAATAATACTATACAAAGCATTTAAATTGTAAATATTTATAAAATAATAATACTATACAAAGCATTTAAATTGTAATTATTTATAAAACAATAATACTATACAAAGCATTTAAATTGTAATTATTTATAAAACAATAATACTATACAAAGCATTTAAATTGTAATTATTTATAAAACAATAATACTATACAAAGCATTTAAATTGTAAGTATTTATAAAATAATAATAATATAAAAATGATTTAAATTGTAAGTATTTATAAAATAATAATACTTTATATTCCTGTATATTTTGACACAAAACGATTGATACCTAATGCAAAACAGTAATACATATTTTAATTATTCTACCATAGAACTGTACTGATTATATACGATCCATGATTCTACTACAAAACAAATTTGATTAAAATACAGATTATATTTCGTTCCGTTTTTTTTTTAACTTTCGATGGCCTCTGCTACATGCAGTAAAACAAAATTTTGAACTATAATACAAGGTCCATGGTTAAAGATTTTAATCGAATCTGAATTTTCTGACGAGGTCCCCACCTTTGCTAGAGACACTGAGAGTTGGTGATCCATTGGCGCCACTGGTTCCTTTGCTTCCACTTCTGACAGTAACACGATAATTTCCACTAGTTCCGGTCCAACCATTGAATTTGGATCCACCAATACGTTTAACACCAGTTGGATTCAATTTCTTGAATTCTCGGAGTCCGGTGAAATAGTTGCCTGGTCTGGAATAATGTTTGGTAATTCTGGCACCACTTCTAGTTATTCCATTTCTAGCATAGCGACTTAAGAAAGCTCGTCCAGCTGAAAAGGCAAGACGTCCACCAGCAATGGCCAGAGGAACCCATCTTTTTGGTCGAAGTCCCTTCTTGTCAGCGTATTTTTCATTTAACTCATTGGCACCGATGTAAACGTCTGAAAATAAAAATTATAATTAAATGCATGTAGTAAGCGTAAATGCTATAAAATAAATAGGTGAGGGGGGGGGGGTAGATGGCCGAATGTTTTGCCCGTGCTCGTTGTATCATAAGGTCTGTCATTGATTCAGTTGGCGTGGTTTCGATTCCCAGGTTGTAAGTGACAAGGAGTATGGTCGGCTGTCCAACCTTATGGGTTTTCTCCGGGTCCTCCGATTCCTCCCACTGCTAAAAGGGGGGTTGGATGGCTGAATGGTTAGCGTGCGCGCGCTGTATCATAAAGTCTGTCATTGAGTCGACTGGCGTGGTTTCGAATCCCCGGTTGTACGTGACAAGGAGTAGGATCGCCTGTCCAACCTCGTGGGTTTTCTCCGGGGCCTCCGGTTTCCTCCCACTGCTAAAGACCCCTACTCACAATCGAATTATGTAAATAAAATTACACCATGTTAGTCCCGAAATGACCTAGTTTGTGTCGAGTGGACGTTAAACCCCATTTCTCTCTCTCTCTCTCTCTCCCACTGCTAAATTAAATTGACCCCGAAATGACCTAGTTTGTGTCGAGTGGACGTTAAACTCCACTTTTCTCTCTATATATAAAAAAAATTGTTTCAGAATTTAAAGATACAAATTGCAAATTGTTGGGAAAATGCAAGACTTCAGTTCGTAAAAGTCACCTTGGGAAACCTGCTAGATCTGTAAAAGTTTGATATATATATATATATACACATGTAAAACCATTAGCGGACTGGGTTTCTTGCCACAAAATAAGACAAAAATAAAGAAAAGGGGGCGCTATAATCTTTCCTAAAATAATCGTCGGTCGTTAATAAAATACAGTTACGTAAACTATTCACTTCTTATAGAACAGAATCTATTAAAATTTGTTTAATATTTGGATAGATTTGATAAATCACGGAATAAGACAATATAATCACAATGTGTGACTTTGTTTATGTGGACAACTTAAAATTATTGTATAGAAACCATGAACTTTGACCGTGTGATAATCAAAAATGTCATATTACGTAATAAAAATGTCAACATTTTATAATTACTGCTGTAATCTTTTTCCGAGTCAGATATCATTTTGCTGTTAACTACTTGTATTGTTTGCATACCCTGTTGTGTCAAATCGCACGTGAGCCAGCGTAATTACCCCTTGTCACTGAGTTAGATCTATTTGATAAGGCCATATCATTATAAACTGAAAATCATAGACGTGATAGGCCTATTTTTTTTCAGTTGTCTATAATAATGGCAGCCAAAAATCTACTCATGGTAGGCCTACACTAAAATATGTCTACTCACCGAGTTCACCTGCAAATTTTTTATCTTCTGCCTCCATCAGCGCCTCTAATTCTTCTTCTGTAAGAAGATCGAGATCAATGCCATCGAATTTTCTAGGAGTATTATTAACAACATCATCATCAACAATTTCTGGCGGTACAGGTGAAAGAGCAGACGACAGGGCCAGAACTGCAGCAACCGCAAACAAAACAACAAGCTTCATGGTGGATATATATTCTTAGCAGCTTTTTCTTCCTTCTGGTTTGAAGTTGGAAATGAATGAAATTTCCCATTTTCAAAGACATATATATATACCGATGTTATATCCGGAAGTATATGTTTCTGCGAATAACGGATTCTTGGGTGTCGTTGAGATGTTTTATGACTTCTTTAAGCTTCACGGATGTTCGAGGTGTATAAAATTCCGTATGTATATAGTATGTATGTAAACAATGAAGTTCATGACCCAGTTCACCGCTAGTTCGGATAATATATCAACAACCAAGCCCATGTCATACCAAATATTAGGTCAGCACTTGAAATAAATTTTGTTTTTAATAGCCATTGGCGTCTTTGTCTTAAAACGTATTGAAAAATATCGTAGAGAGAGAGATAGAGAGAATTTAACGCCAATTCGACACAAACTAGGTCTTTTCGGGACTAACATATGGTTCAAGCTTATTTCAATAATTCGCTTGCGCGTAGAGGTCTTTAGCAGTCGGGGGAAACCGGAGGACCCGGAGAAAACCCACGAGGCTGCGGAAGGCGACCCACTCCTTGCCACGCAAAAGCGGGGAATCGAAGCCACGCCATTTGATTCAATGACAGACCTTGTGATTTCATGCGCACGCGTTAAACCACTAGACCATCCAAACCCCCTTGAAAAATATCAAGAAATTATATAGAATACAACGGGGTTTCACGTATCGTCCATACAATACTTCGGTTATTTTGAGACTATTATATGGTCATTTAAATCGTGTGTGCTGTGCGAAAGAGAGGATTTGGCCTGGGCAGCGACATTTTCATCTCTATTCTTTCAATTCCAACTGTAGACGCATATGAACTGGGCCTTTTATACCATCTGAAAGACAGGGCACACTCTCCTTGTGGTGCCCGATTTGAAGCCGAGAAATTCTAGTCACAGCTAGGACCGGTGCCATATACCTCTCTAAAGAAATGGGCTATGTATAGATTTTATTATTTAAATATCGTTGTCTTAAAGCAGACCCGCGGCTAAAGTATCTCTAGATCTGCAATATTCAATAAAACCAGCTATCAAATAGATTCTAAGATGGGGGTTGGATGGCCGAATGGTTAGCGCGTGTGCGCTGTATCATAAGGTCTATCATTGAGTCAACTGGCGTGGTTTCGATTCCCTGGTTATACGTGACAAGGAGTAGGGTCGCCTGTCCAATCTCGTGGGTTTTCTCCCACTGCTAAAGAAACCTGCGCGCAAGCGAATTATTAAAATAAAATTAAACCACACGTTAGTCCCGAAATGACCTAGTTTGTGTCGAGTTGACGTTAAACCTCATCCCGCTCCGTCTCGCTTCCAAAATATGTTATTGACCTCAATTTAAAAGCTGTTTATGGTTGAAGTTTTCTAATTTAGAAAAATAAAACACTGCAATGCACGTATCTCCAAAAATCTAACAGGATTAACAATGAAAAAGTTTTCGAATCCGGTTCTAAAAGTATGTGTAACTGGGCTGATGAAGACGAGCGTGCGCCATTAAGTGTGCTGTGAGGGAAATTTGCCCGGGCAGCGGCGCTACGGCCTACTCTTATTTCGAAGTCCAACTGTAAATGGTTCTTTTACGTGCACGTCAATGTGTACACGCGACCTCGGTTTTTTGTTCCATCCGAAGGACTATACCTTGTCCCTTACCTGACCCTCTTTCCTACAACACTGACATGGGGGTGGGGTGTAGGGCTACGCGGACACGGGACATCCAGGTTAGCGAGCCAACGTCTCACCCACTGAGCCACCGCGTCTCCACCAAGGTACGTAATATCTTCATACTTTCAATATCTATATATTTACTTTTCTTTAATGACAATTCGGGAACGGAATGCGATTTAACGCCGCGTCAACATATTAGAGACTAACATATGAAATGAAATGGGGTTTAACGTCCTACTGTTCTGCTCCGAACTGGGCTAATGAAGACGGGCATATGCCATACAGTGTGCTATGAGGGAAATTTTGTCCGGGCAGCGGCACTATCGCCTACTCTTATGTGTATTCTAATGTATACACGGGACCTCGCTTTTTTGTCTCATCCGAAGGACTAGACAGCTGTCCTTGTCAGGCCCTCCGACCTGCATCACTGAAAAGGGGGAACCACGCCGGAAAATCTGGATGAACTTTCTCGGCCAATGCAGGGATCGAACACCCGACCTCCAGGCTAGCGAGCCAGCGTCTTACCCACTTAGCCACGTGATCCCCCTAACATGATATGGTAATTTGTTTATGGTTACGTTTGGAATGCGAGACGGGGAATTTAATCTGGGAAGCGACGGTTTCGCCTCTCGATTGAATTTTTAATGCCAAGAGATCAAGTAGAACACGGAAACTCTCTCGGTTTTTGTCTCTTACTAACAACTAGTCATATTTCCCTTATCATTAAAAAGCCCATCAGACACCTGTCCTGACAAGTGAAAACAAATCTTGGAAATTAGGGAAGATTCTTCTCGACCCTCGCCGTTAATAATTCAGGGAAAAGTGTCAATTAAACGTCTTAAGCGCATGCCTCACCCGTGCCTCAGGCAAATCAGTCTAAGTGTGATAGGCATAGATGTGACAAATATTTTTCAATTGCTGGGTTTTTTTGTCTTTTTTTTTTAATATGTGTCAAGCATGTGGAAATTATGGACTGTTATATTACGTACAACATGACTAATGTAAAGGGTGCAGCGTATAAATTTTCTTGAAATAATGTATTCCCTTTCAAACGATGTCCGTTACAAAGGGATGGGGAGGGGCTGATGGGATTTTTTTTTATTCTAAGACCCCACTGCATCAGCATTAAAGATACATTATGGGAGATTCGATAACGAGTTGGCAGTTCTCACTATAATAGTTAAAAACTAGATAATGTCAATTTCGTGAAAATTTCATTCAAATTGATCCACTATGAACCGAGAAATAAGCGGTTGAAATTTCCGGCTAGCCTTGATCATCATTACTAAAGTCAGTACGATAAACAGCATAGTCCCGATTATCCATTTAATCGTTAAATCGTGAAGGAAAGTTATGCAGTAAATCGGCTCATACTCCACTAAAGTTCACAGTCTGGATATGTTAATTAATGTCTAATTAATAGTTTATATAACATTTCAGGCCTATAGAAAGACCTGCAATAGATAGATTTAGCTCTTGCATAATGTATGTTTAACTAATGTTTGTAAATTTTAATACAAACCAATATTATGACCCTTTGTTTTTGAACATGACATAATATGAAATATATTGAAAACATTTCTCGCTTCGCTCTGCAGTAAAATGAAATGAAACGTCCTACTGTTCTGCTCCGACTGGGCTCTGCAGTATCAAGTTCCTCAGCCCCGAAAAACGACTATCTTAAATCTCTCAGCACACCAAAACAACTATCTTTCATCTCTCAGCCCCCGAAAACAACTATCTTAAACCCCCCAGGTCGTAAAAAGCCCCAGCGCCTGTGTTTGAGTGGAGTAGGCCGATCGTGAAATCTTTATTTATTAATTTTTTTTATTTCTTTTTTCGTGGGGTTTCTTTTAGGGCCTATCCACTTTTTATCATTTCTAGGTAAATTACTGAGTAGGGTTCTTGAAAATTAATTCCAAATTTTCAATGTTGGAGTAATATAGGGAAATGAAAAACAAATTTATACTTGTCGGTGATTTTGGCTCCAAATAATAGGGTCGATCGGAAAATCACATTTTATTTATTTTTTATTAACTTTTTTTTAGGGGGGGGGGGGCGCTTAAACATGCCTCATAATGCAAGAGCTAAATCTGCCTATTGCAGTTCTTTCTTTGGGCCTGAAATGTTATCTAAATTATTAATTAGACATTAATTGACTGATCCAGGCCATAATCATCTCTCGATGCCATCGGTAGCCTGCGATCTTTAATGGATTTCAATACATTTTGCGATGGATAATATCTTGGTTAAGAGTGAAGCAATTTGGCTGAAATTTTTAGAATTTTCGGTTTTCATTATCCATTTTTTAAGTAGTATAGCGAGAACTCTCAGCTCTTTATCTAATCTTACCTGAAATGAAATGGGGTTTAACGTCCTACTGTTCTGCTCCTAAACTGGGCTAATGAAGACGGGCATACGCCATACAGTGTGCTATGAGGGACATTTTGCCCGGACAGTGGCACTACGGCCTACTCTTATATCGATTTCCAACTGTCAAGGGATCCTTTACGTGCACGCCAATGTGTACACGGGACCTCCCGTCATGCATCACTGACAAGGGGAAACCACGCCGGAAAATCTGGATGAAATTTCTTGGCCAAAGGGATCGAATATCCGACCTCCAGGCTGGCGATCCTGCGTCTTACCCACTTAGCCACCGTGACCCCCAATGCCCCTGTAATGATGAATAAATTAAATATAACGATAGACATCTGTAACCAGGAGAAGTCCAAGTAATTTTGTCGGAAAAAGTTAAAACGAATTTGCATTTTTTATTCGTACGTCATAGAATAGAAACTTTATTGCATAATAACAAGGATATAATAAATGAAATGAAATGGGGTTTAACGTCCTACTGTTCTGTGTGGGGGGGGGGGGTATGGCCGAATGGTCCACAAGGTCTGTCATTGAGTCAACTGGCGTGGTTTCGATTACCTGGTTGTACGTGACAAGGAGTAGGGTCTCCTGTCCAACCTCGTGGATTTTCGCGGTGTCCTACGCGCAAGCGAATTATTGAAATAAAATTGAACCATGTAAGTCCCGAAATTGTCGAGTGGACATTAAACCTCATTTCTCTCTCTATAATAAATAAAAATGAAATGAAATGGGGTTTAACGTCCTACTATTCTGCTCCGACTGAGCTAATGAAGACGGACATACGCCATACAGTGTGCTATAATGAGGGAAATTTTGTCCGGACAGCGGCGCTACGGCCTACTCTTATATCGAATTCCAACTGCCACGGGATCTTTTACGTGCATCCCAGGGACGTCGATTTTCTATCCCATCCGAACGACTAGACAGCTGACATGAATAATAAACTATAGCCTACTATAGAGTACGGCCCAAATCGACGAGAACACAGAACGTTGAACAGTATTTCATTTCATTTTAATTGTCAGGAATCGTTCAATTCATTCAAGTTTTGTTTCATAGTTTTGTCTTTATTTTTAATCTATAGAATCCGGACATTTTTGCCTTTGGAATTATGTTTATTTCCTAACAGGAAGTAGGTTA